TTGGTTCTTAATTGCCTCCGTAGCAGGGGTCCATCCTAAAGTGTCCAAGCCATTTAGCTGTGGCACTTCCAAGTGATGAGGTTCCAGGTTCAAACCTTGTTCCGGCGTGTATTCAGCCAAACCTCCGAAAGGGGATTTCGCATGTGCCCACTCCTGGGAGTGGATATGCCAACCTCGATACCCAACGAGGCGTGTAAACAGATGGGTAGGCGGGTTCCAACTGAAAGTCATGTACAACAAAGGGGGTTTTCCCTCTACTTTACCGATACGTTTTACCATCTATTAAAGGGTCCAAGTCGCTTGCAGCATCTCGGCGAACGGTTGGGCGCATAGCGTCGATTGTGCGGGTTCCTCGTCATGGCCATTTTGGGTTCTTCCCGTAGTTCAGGTAGAACGGCGATTGTTTTGTCTTGGCTGACACGGCATTGTTGTAAGCGAACTTGATGAACAGTAGCTACTGCTCCCATGTTGCGGAGTCGTCACATACAACGCAAATCAACAACCCCATCGTCTGATTTGTTCATTCGTCTGTCCGTCGATTTTGGAGTGATATGTTGAAGCGAACTGTAGGTGCGTGCCGAATTTCTCCCAGATGTTCTTCTAGAAATTGCTCGTAAGCTTCATGTTGGGGTCGCTGATTATTGCTGTCGATATCAAGTGAAGTCGAACGACGACTGCGATGAACATACGAGCAGTTTTTTCGGCTGAGATGGACTTCTTGCATGCAGCGAAGTAGGCCATTTTCGTCAAGCGGTCGACGACAACTATGACTACGCCATTACCACTAGAACCTGTAGGTAACCCTATGACAAAATCCATGGGCATTTGCTGCCAGGCGCGTTCACGTTGCGGGATCTAAAAAAATTGCCCTGCCTGCTTTTTCCGCGAAGCATTCATTGTCAAACAATGCATATTGTGTTTGTGTAGGCTGCTAGTGGGGTAGCCCATATGGGGTACAACCCAATGTTAGGGTTAGCTTATGTACCCAACTCTTGATCAATGCATTCATTCTTGTCTCTAGATTCTGACATGGTATCAGAGCAGTAGGTCCGTAGGACCGTTTTTTTTCGGGCCCACCTACCGCTACCCCACGCCTGTGCCTCTGCCTGTGACGTGCTGCGCTGCGCGCGCCGTCTGCCTGTAGCCTACTGCCTGCTGCCTACTGTGTTGTCTGCTGCTGCTACCGCGCAGACCTAAGTAACGCACGCTGCCCGCTGCTGCCTCAAGCGTCGCCCTCGCTGCTCGCGCCGCTCTGCTGCCCCTCACACGCCGTCAGCGCAGCGCACAGCCCCCAGCGAGCCGCGTGCAGCCCCGTCGAACCGCGTGCAGCCCCGTCGAGCCGCGCGCAGCCCGGATTTGCCGCGCGCAGCCCCCGCCGAGCCGCGCGCAGCCCCGTCGAGCCGCGCGCAGCCCCGTCGAGCCACGCGCAGCCCGTTTTCTGCTGCGCGCAGCCCCGTCGAGCCGCGCGCAGCCCGTTTTCTGCTGCGCGCGGCCCCGCCGAGCCGCGCGCAGCCCGTTTTCTGCTGCGCGCGGCCCCGCCGAGCCGCGCGCAGCCCGCTGCTGCCGCGCGCGACCCCCTCCGAGCCGCGCGCAGCCCCTGCCGAGCCGCGCGCGGCCTGCTGCTGTTGCGCGCAGTCCCTGCCGAGCCGCGCGCGGCCTGTTTCTGCCTCCCGCAGCCCGCGCTCGGCCCACAGCAGCCCCGCGCGCTGCCCTGCATAGCCTGCAGCTGCATCGGCCCCGACCTTCCGCTGCTGCGGCCCCTCGCTGCTGCTGCCGAGGCTCCGACCTGCCGCTGATGCGGCCCCCACTCTGCGACTGCCGCTGAAGCGGCCCCCCACCCTGCAGTTGCTGCGGCCCTACTCTACTGTCGCTGTTCCGGCCCCATCGCAGCTGCGGTCGTGCGCCTACTCGGCCCTGCTCGCCCGGCGAGCACCTGCCCTTCCAGCCTTTGGTGAGCACCTGCCTGCCTGCCTGCCTGCCTGCCTTTCGGCCTGCCTGCCTGTCTTTTGCTTGCCTGACTGCCTACCTGTCGGCCTGCCTGCCTGCCTGCTGGCCTGCCTGCCTGCCTGCCAGCCTGCCTGCCTGCCTGCCTGCCTGCCGGCCTGTCTGCCTGTCGGCTTGCCTGCCTGCCTGCTGGCCTGCCTGCCTGCCTGCCTGCCTGCCTGCCTGCCTGCCTGTCAGCCTGCCTGCCTGCCTGCCGGCCTGTCTGCCTGTCAGCCTGCCTGCCTACCTGTCTGCCTGCCTGCCTGCCTGCCTGCCGGCCTGCCTGCCTGTCTGCCGGCCTGCCGCGCCTGCCCTGCCCGAGCTGCTGCTGCTACTAGCTATTAGCAAGGGACCAGATGCAGCTCCAGCGACACTCACGCGAGTCTCTCACGCCCCAGCAGCTTAGTGAGTGGTATACTAGCTGGGGTTGTCGCAGTAGCCGTCGTAGCTGTCGCCCTGGAGCTGGTCAGTTGGGGGCCTCTAGCAGCGGCCAGCTGCAGCTGCAGCGGCGTCCACGCGAGACACTTACGTCTCGGCAGCTCGAGGAGTGGTACGCTCAGAGTAGAGGGTCTTTCAGTCCAGTGCGCTGCCGGTACGTCATTCGCACAGGTGATCGAGCTGGTCAGACCTGGGTGAGCTGCGCAGCTACCTTGGCTTGCAGATCACCCGGGACAGAGCACGTCGCACCATCACTCTGACTCAGTCACACATGGTGCAGCAGGTCCTTCAGCGCTTCGGCTTCACCTGGTCCTCGCCACAGTCTACTCCTCTGGCTACAGGTCACTCGCTCTCAGCTCCACCTTCGGACGAGTCCGTAGAGCCGAGTGGTCCTTACCCAGAGCTAGTAGGCTGCCTCATGTACCTGATGACTTGCACTCGTCCTGACCTTGCGTACCCTCTTGGCCTTTTGGCCCGCTACGTGGCTCCTGGTCGGCACCAAAAGGTGCACTGGGATGCTGCGAAGAGGGTACTGCGCTACTTGTGCAGTACATCGGGCATGGGGCTCGTGCTTGGAGGACGGCGAGAGGTGGTCCTCACTGGGCACTCAGACGCGTCTTGGGTTGACGACCAGGCTACACAGCGGTCGTCACAGGGTTACACTTTCAGCCTCGGCTCTGGTTCTGTTTCGTGGCGTTCTACTCGCTCGTCTTCTGTTTTCAGCTCCAGTTGTGAGGCTGAGATCTACGCCACCGCCATGGCTGCTCAGGAGCTGCGCTGGCTCACGTACCTGCTGACCGACCTGGGAGAGCGGCCTCGTTCTCCTCCAGTTCTGTACGTTGACAACAAGGCCGCCATTGCCTTGTGTGAGGAGCATAGACTGGAGCACAGAACGAAGCACATCGCTCTGCGTTACTTCCTGGCTCGAGAGTTGCAGCAGCGTGGTCAGCTTCGTCTTGCACACGTGGCCACTCGGGCCAACACTGCTGATATATTCACCAAGGCACTTCCGTCTGGTGATCATCAGCGCTTTTGTACCTTGTTGGGCCTTGTGCCTACGTTTCCACACTTGCTGTAGACTTTGTCTGTACTGTGATCTTTATATATATACCTGCATGCTTGCTCTTGCTAGGTAGTGATCACTGTACTTTGTTTGTTGCATATATACCTCTGCATGTGGACTGGCCTTGTGGCCCTTTGCTTGTGCTCAGTCTGTGTGGTGACGTTGTGATCCACCCTGAGCTTGGTTTGTTTCTCTTGACTGGTCTTGTGACCCCTTGTTCTCCCCCACTTTGCCTATGGGGGTGTGTCAAACAATGCATATTGTGTTTGTGTAGGCTGCTAGTGGGGTAGCCCATATGGGGTACAACCCAATGTTAGGGTTAGCTTATGTACCCAACTCTTGATCAATGCATTCATTCTTGTCTCTAGATTCTGACATTCATCACCTGACACATGGGGCACGATCCCATGTGGTGCTGCACGCCAGTTAATAGCTCCGGCTAGTAGTAATGCCGCTGTAGTTGCTGTCTAACTTTTTTCTACCCTGAAGTGGCTGGGGTAACCCCGTTGTGTGCCTCCCGACGTAACAGCTCCCGCTGGAGCGGTTACGTTGGTACCCAGATGCGGTGGTACCCGTTTTTTCGTAATAGGCTCCTTGCGTGTTGCAGTTGAAACTAGGATACACCGTTGTGTGTCGTCATTATTATTTGTGACACCCCAAAGGAAATTGAGTGAAATTGGATGTCCCTGGACTCATAAGCGCCTGTCAGCGTTCTCCTTTTGTGACGGACCGCTCTGCAACGAAGCGAACATCTGCAGCATCGTGCAAAATTCTACTGCTCGAAACCCTTTCCAAACGTTCTAAAACCAAAAAGCCACTCTGAAACACATACAAGCTCTCTCCACCGCAGCAAAGAGATTTTGTTCGACTCGCCTAGTATGGCAATGGATCAGGGGGAAATGAACCCCATCTAGTCCCCCCCAAGGCGGTTTGTTATTAGTCGACGGGTGGAGTCTGCTTTCGGCTGCTCCGTCACCGTCGCGTACCATGCTGCGCGTCTTATCGCAGAAGTTTTAATATCCTATTTTTCACCTCCTCTTTGCACAGTAGTTTCGTGCAAGGGACGCGACGCGCAGTCGCAATGGTAGGCCCGCAAACCACGACGGCAGAGAGGACCGGCCGACTGAATTCCAATCCGATGGCCGAGAAAACGCACGGAGGTCCGGCTGGTCGATCCCTGACCGTCGATGCGATCCAGCGCGACCGCTTGATGAAAATCGCAGCCGTTAACTGGTTAAAATCCGAAAGCTCGCTCCCCCATTCACGTGTAGTTGCGACTGACAAATCAGGAGACGGCATTCGCGGGGAAGCTCCGAAGCCTGCTACCGCAATTCGATTCAATCCGGATCTGGTTCGGAAAATATACCGGGAGGATCTGAAAGTGACACGTGGCAGGAAACCCGTGCCACTGCAGCGCGTGATGGTTCTGGAAGTGAGCCAGTATTTGGAAAAATACCTATGGCCGAATTTCGATCCGGAAACCGCGTCCGTGGAGCACGTGATGTCGATCATTCTCATGGTCAATGAAAAGGTGGGGGGTTCTGTTCATTTGTTTCTTCAGTATTTGTCTTTTGTGTCACTTATCCGTCTGTTATGAATGCTGCAATCCCACTTGATGCGGTCTTTGCGTAATTGTCGATTACAACGCGCAGTTTGATAATTGGCTTATGGGGTTGCCGGTAATAATGAAAGTCATTGCTGCTATCGCTTGTGCATGTTAAGCCTTAGCCTTATTTTTTGCTGATGAACCTCACCTTCCCTGACCCGAAAACTTGATTTTGAAGCGAAATCTTTCTCGCACCCTTGACTTCCTGTTATCATTTATCCACACACCCTTTTCCACTCCAAGTTCTTTGGGTTTTATCCCCTTTTCTAACTGTACATTTCTTTTAAATATTGTTGTCGCCTGTTAGTTCCGCGAGAATGTCTCCGCATGGGACTGCTTTCAGTCTCGCGCTGACGTCTTCCCTGCATTCTTCAATCGAGTCCTCGCTCTCAAGGTAAATCCCAGCAATGCTGCCATCAATTCCCCTCCTAAAGCCCACGTTGTTCAGCCTTTACTGATCATTATGCGTCTCTTCTTGTGTGAGATGAGATTGAACCTCTGCTTACCGCGCATCATCATTCATCATCCAATCTCGGCCGGTACCCGTTTGCTTCTTCCTAGGACCCCAAGCGGAAGGCAGGGAGCAAGCGAGCTCGGCAGGAGGAGCAGGAGGAGGAGCAGGAGCAGAAGCAGCAGGAAGAGAAGGAGCAGGGGGAGCAGGGGGGGCAGGGGGAGCAGCAGCAGATGTCCGTTGAGGGAGAACAAGCTCTGGCGGAGGATGGAGCACACAAAGAAGCTGCTGCGGAGGGCAACGGAGCAGAGGGGGAGGGAGGAGAACCAAAGGAAGGGGAGGCTGGGGAAGGGGGAGCGGGAGGAGGTGCGGAAGGTGGGAGTGAGATGAAGAAGCAGGAGAAGAGCAGGTCGGTTGCGGGCGGAGAGGAGGAGTACGAGCTGAGCATATACGAGCGTGTGAACTACATCGTCTTCATCATCCACTGCTTCCAGGTGAGACCCGCCTTGTCCATCCACACAGCGGGTTTCCCACGTGCTGCTCCTTGCTCATGCCCGCTCTTTCACTCCGCCCCACCCCACCCGAGATGAGTCGATTTTTGAGTCGACTCAAAAATCGACTCATCCAAACAGCCGTTTTCCATGTGCTGCTCCTTGCTCATGCCCGCTCTTTCACTCCTCCCCACCCCACCCCACCCCCGCTTCCTCCACCACTCCTCCCTCCCTTGCACTCTCTCCTGCCCCCTCCTCCTGCCATCTCTCTTTTGAGGCGCCTCAAAAGTCATGCCCGCTCTTTCACTCCGCCCCACCCCACCCCCGCTTCCTCCACCTCTCCTCCCTCCCTTGCACTCTCTCCTGCCCCCTCCTCCTGCTACCTCTCTCTTACCTTCTCCTCCGTCTCCCCCTCCCCATTCTCCCAGTCGCTGGAGAATCCACTGGTGCGGGCGTGTGTGCTGCCGCTGGTGTCGCTCCCCCTGTGGCACGCGCTCTCACCGGCCCGCAGGGAGCGCGAGCTGCTTTGTTTGTTCCACGCTTCAGTGGCATTTTCTATTCACATCTCCTTCCCTCCGTCCCCCCAGTCGCTGGAGAATCCACTGGTGCGGGCGTGTGTGCTGCCGCTGGTGTCGCTCCCCTTGTGGCATGCGCTCTCACCGGCCCGCAGGGAGCGCGAGCTGCACCCCCACGCGCACCTGCTCGCCCTCTGGGCCCGCCTGCTCAAGCGCGACGCCAAGAACCGCGCTGCCAGGCTGGCAGCTGTGGCTGAGGGTGGGGAGAAGCGGGCCGAGGCGGAGGCGGCTGAGAGGAAGGAGAGGCGCGGGGTTCGATTCCTGCCTGGTCTGATTCTGGAGTTCTTTGCTGTGAGTGCTGGGCTCTGTGCCGGCTGTTGTTCTTTGCTCTCTGCATCTCTCTTTCTTTGTTGCATGCTTTTTTTGTCGATACACCATCCGCATCGCTTCCCGTCTGTGCGGTGTTGTGCTGTGCTGTGCCTGCCAGGTGTTGGACGAGGTGGTGGAGAAGGGGCCAGACTACGAGGACGACCAGAGCGAGTCCGCAGGGGTGCTGCTGGAGAGGATGGTGGACTAACTATGTCTCTCCTGCTTTCTCTGCTTCTGTGTGCTGCTGTGCTGCTGTGTGTCTCCCTGTGTGCCTCGATGCCTCCCTTTCTCAGGTGTTGGACGAGGTGGTGGAGAAGGGCGCTGACTACGAGGACAACCAGAGCGAGTCCGCCGGGGTGCTGTTGGAGAGGGCAGTGGACCAGCCGCGGCTGCTCTTCTGCGAGCGCTTCCTGGAACTGCTGATTGACCTGCTCAGCCAGCTGCCCACACGCAGGTGCGTAGTCGCGTATGCCTTACAGCACAACCTGCGTGTTGTCTTCTGCACTGGTAGACTGGGTCACTGGGCCATATTCGCCCGTTTAACCACCTTTATTGTGTCTTCTAGCATCCTCCGTAACCATTCTTCCTTTTCGCCCCTGTCCCCATTGTCATGTTCCCGTTGCTCCCCTACAATCAGGTTCTTTCGTCCTGTAGTGGATGACATGGCAGTCGCCGCCCGGTGCCGCCTGAGCCGCCTGTACCGGCACCCGCGCGGCCGTCTTTTTGTGCAGCTGGTGGATCTGCTGCGATTCTACGCTGGATTCCAAATGGACGACCACGCCGGGCGGCAACTGGATGAGGAGGAGGTGGACAGGGAGCACTGCGCTCGCGTGTCAGCCCTTCAGTTGTTCTTGTTCAACAAAGTGCCAGAGGTGGGATTTACTTGAGATTTTTTTTAGAATTCTCAAAAGTACATTTTTACAGCAACTGGATGAGGAGGTGGACAGGGAGCGCAGTGTGCTGGTGTGAGCCCTTCAGCTGTTGCTCTTTAACAAAATGCCAGAAGTGGGTGATGGTGGTCGCATGGTCATGACATCCGTACTGTTCATTACTGGTTCACCCGTGCACCTCCCCTTTCATCCCCACTCTCTTCCCCTCCTCCTTCTTACATACTGTGTCTCAGCTGCATGACATTGCTCAGACCAATGTGGGCAGTGTGCAGCATGCTGATGGTGTGCGCAAGTGGTTTAATAAAGATTTTGCTGCATGTTCCCTTCCTACCCACCCCACGCCCTCCCCTGTTGCCTGTATATCTTTTTCTTGTTGCCTCTTTCAGCTAGACATCGCGCTAACCAACGTGGGGAGCGCCGAGCATGCTGACGGAGTATTGAAATCACTTTTGAGAAGGCAACACAGATTCTCAAAAGCAAGTGGCTTATCAATCTGTGTTGCCTTCTTATGTTTTTTGAGAATTCTTTTGAGAATTCTCAAAAAAATCTCAAAAGCAAGTGGCTTATCAATCTGTGTTGCCTTCTTATGTTTTTTGAGAATTCTTTTGAGAATTCTCAAAAAAATCTCAAAAGCAAGTGGCTTATCAATCTGTGTTGCCTTCTTATGTTTTTTGAGAATTCTTTTGAGAATTCTCAAAAAAATCTCAAAAGCAAGTGGCTTATCAATCTGTGTTGCCTTCTTATGTTTTTTGAGATTTCTTTTGAGAATTCTCAAAAAAATCTCAAAAGCAAGTGGCTTATCGATCTGTGTTGCCTTCTCCCTATCCCCCCCCCCCCCCCCCCCCCCCCCTCTCGTCCACCCACACTCTTTCCAGCTACGTGACATCGCGCTGACCAACGTGGGCAGCATTGAGCATGCTGACGGTGTGCGCAAGTGGATGGGGCGACTTACAGACGAGCAGCTGGCAGAGCTGGTGCTCAACAAGGTCAGGACAAACCGAGCCGACCCAAACGTGGCATATTGACAAATGTGTGCGCGCGCGCGCGCGCGCGTGTGTGTGTGTGTGTGTGTGTGTGTGTGTGTGTTTGTGTGTGTGTGTGTGCGCTTCTTTGCTTTTCTGCCTTGGGCTGCATTCTCATTCTTAACATTTCTCTTTCTTGCCCCTGTATCCTTCATGTATGTTTTGAGAAGCAAATCTGTTCTTCCCTGTTCCCCTTTCTGCCACCGTGCAGCTGAAGCTGCTGTCTCGAGCAGGCCTGCCGTACCGCCCGCCACGCCACCTCCTCTCATCCGCTCGCTGCCCCAAAGCCCCCACACGAATGGCAGTGGAGGAGGGTTCAGAGGAGCAGCAGCAGCAGGACCAGCAGGAGCAGCAGGAGGAGGAAGAGGCAGAGCAGCAGGAGTACTGGGCGCAGCAGCGGGCAGTGCTCTTCCACCGCCTCCGCCCATTCCTAGAGGAAGTAGTCGTCTCTTTCTTCGAAAAAAAACGCTCCCAGCGAGCAGCACTCAACGCACTGCCGCTCTACCCCAACGAGGACGTCATGTGGGACGAGAGCCTCATCCCCAGCGTGAACTACACCGGAGAAGGCTGCCTCGCTCTGCCGAAACTCAACCTGCAGTTCCTCACGCTGCACGATTACCTGCTTAGGAATTTCAACCTGTTTCGGCTCGAGTCGACGTACGAGATCCGGGAGGAGGTGCACGACGTGCTGAAGCGGATGGGCGCGAAGGGGAGTATGTACAGCAGCGTGGATAGAGATACGGAGTTCACTGGGTGGGCCAGGATGGCGATTCAGATCTCTTCTTTCCGGATTGTGGAGGTTAAGGCGCCGCTGCTAGGCGAGGTGCAGCCCGCGGCGGTTTTAGCGGAAGTGGAGTACTCTATAGCGGGGTATAAGGCGGCGATGAGGAGCGAGTGGGAGGAGATTAAGGAGCATGACGTGCTGTTCTTGCTGGGTATCCACCCGGATGAGATCGCGCTGCAAGCTGCAGCTGATGCGGCCGCGGCACAGGCAGCGGCTCAGGCGAAGCGAGAGGCAGGGGAGGATGGGGCGGAGGAGGAAGAAGCAGCGGCGGATGCTGCTGCGGTGGTTTCGTCTCTGTCTGTCCCGCAGAGATTCGGGTTGAGATATGTGCGGGGGTGCGAGGTGATCGAGTTGCGAGATGAGGATAACAAGCTGATGAATGACTTCTCTGGGCGGGTGAAGCGAGAGGAGTGGAAACCACCCAAAGGCAACAAGCGCACAGCTCTCGTCGCCCTCGATCCAGCCCAGTTCCAACTGGACTTAGAGGCCAACGGAGGGACGCTGAGAGGAGCGCAGGAGGAGGTATACTCGGCTCTCAACGTGGTGATGAGGAGGAAGCCAAAGGAGAATAACTTCAAGCCGATTCTGGAGTCGATTCGAGATCTGATGAACGAGGAGGCGTCGGTGCCGGGTTGGTTGCATGACCTGTTTTTAGGGTACGATGACCCGGCGGCCGCCAGCTGGCGGCGCATGCCTGCTGAGCTGGCGCCGTGGCGGGTGGAGGTGGTGGATTTTAGGGATACGTTTGTGGATGCGGAGCATTTGAAGGAGTGCTTCCCGGGGTTTAAGGTGCGGTTTGTGGATGCGGATGGGTTTGAGAACCCTAACCCGCAGCCTCCGTTCCGCGTGACTATTTCGATGCCCAAGCCTCCGCAAGAGGAGGGGCGTGGGGTTGCGATGGGGGGGAAGAAGGGGCAGGAGAAGGGGAAGGGGAAGGGGAAGGGGAAGGGGAAGAAGGGGGGAAAGGGGAAGAAGAAGGGGAAGGGGAAGGGAGGGGAGGAGGAGAAGGGCGGGGAGAAGCAGGAAGGGGAGCAGATGGAGGTGGATGGGGAAACGGCCAAGGGAGAAGATGGGGGAGACGAGGCTAAAGGAAGCAGCAAGGGGGAGCAGCAAGGGAGGACCAAGGAAGAGGAGGGTGAGGGGGTGGTGATCGCAGAGTCAGTGCCTCTGCCTGACCCTGGGCCATACCCTCCAAGGATACAGAAGAAGAACCACGTCCGCTTCACACCCACACAGGTACCGTAACTCTTCTCTCTTCTCTTGGTTTGCTCCCTTGCTGTGTCTCATCTCACCTCGTCTCACCACCTCTCTCACCTCTTTTCACTGTCTCCCACCTCTCTGCACCACCTCGCAACCTCTCCCCACCGCCTCTCACTGCTCTGCTTCTCACCGCTTTCAACTGCCTCTCACCTCTCCCCATCACTTCTCTCCCCACCGCGTCTCACCACTCCCTACCGACTCCCACCTCTCCTCACCATATCTCACCAGGTGGACGCTATCATCAGCGGGGTGTAGCCGGGGCTCACTATGATAGTGGGGCCACCACTACCAGCTCTTAAGCCTCATCTCACTACTCCCCCTCACCTCTCCCCACCGCTTCCCACCAGGTGGACGCTATCATCAGCGGGGTGCAGCCGGGGCTCACTATGATAGTGGGCCCCCCGGGCACGGGCAAGACTGACACGGCTGTGCAGATCCTGCAGGTGAGTGGGTTGCCCGAGGTGCAGTGCTGTGCGGTGCGGTGCGGTGCAGTGCGGTGCAGTGCGGTGCGGTGCAGTGGCCTGAAACAACACACGCTGTTATTTGTTTCAACTCACATTGCGCTCATCATCCCTGATTTCTCCGGACTCAACCCCTCCTGTCCCTATCAGGTGCTGTACCACAATTGCCCAGAGCAGCGCACGCTGGTCATCACTCATTCCAACCAGGCCCTCAACGACCTCTTTGAGAAGATCATGCAGGTGGGTGCAGTGCGGTCTGTTGAGTTGCTGTGTGGTATTTTGTGCATGGTGTTACATTGGAGGTTTTTGAGAATTCTCAAAAACCAGGTCTGTTGTGGCGCTGTGTGGTGTTTTGTGCATGGTGTTACATTGGAGGTTGGTGCGGTGCTGTCTAGTGTTTTGTACATGGTGGTGTACATTGAACTTTTATCATTCCAGCCTAACCCTAGCCTAGCGACATGGTGCATGGTCAAGAGCATCAACTCCTCTCCATCATCAACAGTGATGATGCTAAAATTAAAATTTCCTCCTTCTCTCACCCCTCCGACCCCACCCCACCCCGCTGCTCCTCCCTCCTTCCCAACTTCCAGCGGGACGTGCCGGTGCGTTGAGGTCGTTTTTGAGGCGCCTCAAAAACGACCTCTACCCCGTGAAAAAAGAAGAGTTTTGTGACGTCTCAAAACCCAACTTCCAGCGGGACGTGCCGGTGCGTTGAGGTCGTTTTTGAGGCGCCTCAAAAACGACCTCTACCCCGTGAAAAAAGAAGAGTTTTGAGACGTCTCAAAACCCAACTTCCAGCGGGACGTGCCGGTGCGTTGAGGTCGTTTTTGAGGCGCCTCAAAAAGACCTCTACCCCGTGAAAAAAGAAGAGTTTTGAGACGTCTCAAAACCCAACTTCCAGCGGGACGTGCCGGTGCGTTGAGGTCGTTTTTGAGGCGCCTCAAAAACGACCTCTACCCCACCCCGCTGCTCCTTCCTCCTTCCCAACTTCCAGCGGGACGTGCCGGCGCGCTACATGCTGCAGCTGGGCATGGATGGGCGAGCAGGATTTGAGACGTCTCAAAACAACTTCCAGCGGGACGTGCCGGCGCGCTACATGCTGCGGCTGGGCATGGGCGAGCAGGAGCTGGACCCGCCCTTTCCCCTTGACATCCCTACCCCACACCTTCCCATCCAAACACCCCCCCCCCCTTCATCCCTCCCCAGCGGGATGTGCCGGCGCGATACATGTTGCGGCTGGGCATGGGCGAGCAGGAGCTAGGCTCACTCTTCTCCCTTGACACCCTATCCCCACACCTCCCCACCCAAACGCCCTCCCCACTCTTCCCAGCGCGATGTGCCAGCGCGCTACATGTTGCGGCTGGGCATGGGCGAGCAGGAGCTAGGCTCACTCTTCTCCCTTGACACCCTATCCCCACACCTCCCCACCCAAACGCCCTCCCCACTCTTCCCAGCGCGATGTGCCAGCGCGCTACATGTTGCGGCTGGGCATGGGCGAGCAGGAGCTAGGCTCACTCTTCTCCCTTGACACCCTATCCCCACACCTCCCCACCCAAACGCCCTCCCCACTCTTCCCAGCGCGATGTGCCAGCGCGGTACATGTTGCGGCTGGGCATGGGCGAGCAGGAGCTGGACACGGAGCAGAAGTTCAGCCGCATGGGGCGTGTCAACGACATGCTTGCTAGGAGGCTGGAGCTGCTGGCCGAGGTGGGCTTTAATGGGAGGGGGCTTGGTGCGGGAGTGCAAGGGAGAACAGCAGAGAGTAGTCACTGTTGCCAGTTTTGCAGGAGGAGGGGCTAAGGCGGATTCTCTGGGTTTATGGCCAGTCGAGGTAGACTTGGCGGCAGCTGAAGGGTTAGGGTTCCAGGATTCAGGCTCCAAAGTCTTGTTTCGGGATTAGGGTTACTTGTTTCGGGATTAGGGTTACTTGTTTCGGGATTAGGGTTACTTGTTTCGGGATTAGGGTTACTTGTTTCGGGATTAGGGTTACTTGTTTCGGGATTAGGGTTACTTGTTTCGGGATTAGGGTTACTTGTTTCGGGATTAGGGTTACTTGTTTCGGGATTAGGGTTACTTGTTTCGGGATTAGGGTTACTTGTTTCGGGATTAGGGTTACTTGTTTCGGGATTAGGGTTACTTGTTTCGGGATTAGGGTTACTTGTTTCGGGATTAGGGTTACTTGTTTCGGGATTAGGGTTACTTGTTTCGGGATTAGGGTTACTTGTTTCGGGATTAGGGTTACTTGTTTCGGGATTAGGGTTACTTGTTTCGGGATTAGGGTTACTTGTTTCGGGATTAGGGTTACTTGTTTCGGGATTAGGGTTACTTGTTTCGGGATTAGGGTTACTTGTTTCGGGATTAGGGTTACTTGTTTCGGGATTAGGGTTACTTGTTTCGGGATTAGGGTTACTTGTTTCGGGATTAGGGTTACTTGTTTCGGGATTAGGGTTACTTGTTTCGGGATTAGGGTTACTTGTTTCGGGATTAGGGTTACTTGTTTCGGGATTAGGGTTACTTGTTTCGGGATTAGGGTTACTTGTTTCGGGATTAGGGTTACTTGCTGACGCCTTGTTCTTCTCGTTGCTGTCCTGAATCTTGACTCGACTCGAAAATCGACTCACACCACACCACACCACACCCCGAACCCCCCCTCCAGGTGGAGCGACTGGCAGTGACACTTGGGCGGCCATCTGACGTGGCGTACACGTGTGAGAGTGCTGCCTACTTCTGGCTGCTGCACGTGCTCGCCAGGTAGGGAGCTAGTGGTGGTTTGCCTACTCAGATGATACATTGTTTTGGGTGGTGTGCTTTTGAGAGATTTTACAGACACCCTGTGGCTCTCTGTTGAAACGTACACATGTGAAAGTTATGTGTGGCCTGCTGTGTGCTCCTGCAAGTGATGGTGGGCGGGGCAATAAGGCAGTCATAATGTTGGTGCTGTTCGCCAGCAAATCGTTTCTTTAACAGAAAATGATGGCATCGGCATCGCGACCGCATCCGGAAATGGGGGCGGAACCCTCCTCCGAGGTTTGGGCGAAATGCCGCCCGAGAAACTACGCGCGCCCGAAAGGCGAAATTTCGCAACCGCATTGGGAAGGTCCATCCCCAATGGCGCGAAAGTTTAGCCTCACTGACCCTTGTGCTGCCCGCTGACCGAAAATTGCGCAACGTGGGTAAAAAACGCAAATAAAACACACCTTGCTCAAACACAACCCCCGCCACTGTTGACCGCTATTTGGGATAGATAGGCTCTAAACACACCTTTAATTCACACTAGGTACTCCCCACAGGGTCACCTCCAAGGGTCCTTGGGTGCCTGGCAGAGCCAGCCCCTATCCAAGGGTCCGTGTTTGTAGAGGGAATTCCCTAAGTGCAAAAACAGTCGTGTGTACTAGAGCGTTCCCAACATTCGTTGCGCAGCGTTGACGACGAAACGGGCTCGTGTGCAGAATAACTCTTCACGTCAATACGTTGATAGAGCACGTTAACTCGTGAGAGAGATTCAGAAAATATTTCCACTAGAAAGGATTGTCACAAACAAGCACAAGCAAGCATTTTATATTTCGTCTAACACACAAGCAGAGGGAAATAGCAAAGCAGTTGTCAAACTGAATTTCGGATCTTCGCCATGCTGTACTCGAAAACGGTTGCTCAACTTGTTGGGCTATTGTCTTCTTTCTCCTCTTGTAAAAACCTGTACTCAAATTTCACTTAGGACAATTTCCCCTGCTGACTCCTCGCATGAGCACTCATAACTTCCATGTGCCTCCAATGTGACTCACATGAGTTCCATGCGAGTTTACGGTTATAAAACGGATTCAACCGTTGGACGACGCGAGTAACCGAATTGTACCTGTGGCGAAATCATTCCGCAATACAGAGTGACTTTCGTGCGCAATTTCTTGTTCCACGAGTCAACTCCGAAAACAGTTTTTCAACTGTAATTTCCGAGCACCCTTCGGAATCTTGTAGCACCCCTCGAGACACATGCGCACCCCTCATGTGCACAATCATGCACGACCAGACAAACTGGTCGTGCTGTACAGCGCAAAAACGTGCGATCATTCGCCCTGTCTTGTTGCGATCGTGGGCCCTGCCACGCTCGCAACAGTGCGCAAGCACACGCTCGAGCCCTGAGGGCCCATACGCGAAATCGGGACCACACGCGCGGTCAAGATTTCGCGTGCTTGACCAGCGCGAAAGTCATCAGCATCCCCCTTGACTAGTCAGACTATCGAACCTCACAGAAACACCCCACGGTACACCACTCGCTCACATGAGCCACGAATGAAACATTCGAAACAAACGGGACTTTCATGGGAAGCTCATTTCAGCCTCATTAGAGCTTCATGAGAGCTTTCATTTGAGCGCATCATGTGAGCCTCATTTGAGCACTTCATGAGAACAGTGAAAATACAAGTGCAAATGCACTAACACAAAATGCAGTTACGGATGAAAACGAAACACACAAAATGCAAAAACAAATGCACACTGAACACACACAAAAATGTGCACACACAAAATGCAAAATGAAATGCACATCTTCCACGTCACAAATTACCTTCAACCAAACACCCCATTTTTATTTCACTGTCGTCGAATAGGCGGTAGGTTGACGTGCAAATTAAATATTTGCACCCAACAGCCACCTCGTGCTCATGCCCAGACCCAACTCACACTCCTCGAACTCCTTTACGGAAAAATGGGGGGTATACGAAGCCCCCTTTGTCAAACTGCAGGCTTGTTCAAGGGTTACCCTCTGAACAGCAATGCGTCGGCTGTGCCACCGCTGTGCTTCGAAAAACGCGGCATGACGATGGCATGGTTAGGGGATGGTATCTTGCCTGGGGACGAAGTTTCGTCCCCGCTTCCATATGCCGTCGAAGCGTTAGATTTGGTGGACAAAAGTGGGCGTTCGCCAGACGCCCACTTTGTTTGTTGGTTTGGACGGTAGGTGAGGCTCGGCACTTTTTTCACGGGCTGACCAGGCTGACGGAGGTTAACGAACTCTAACTGACGGGATCAGGAAGGCGAGACCCACCTTCCTGATCCCGTCCTTATCCCGTGTTTTTTTGCTATAATGGTGCTGGCGAACAGCCCCGTTGTGTTGCTCCCACCTTGTTCTTCACGTACCTGTGTGCATATGTGTGTCTTGCTGATAATGGAAATTGTGTGTGTCAGGTGGGAGGCCTATGTGGCAAGTGTGAGTGGGTCCACAACGCTGCTCCCTCTGCTGAGGGAGATGGTCCTAGACTCGAACTAAATAATGAACCGTCTCTCATGTCTGTGGACTGTGTGTGACTGTCTGTGTGTGTCTCACTGATATGATGTGTGTCAGGTGGGAGGCCTTTGTTGCCAAGTGTGAGTCGGTCCGCGACGCTGCTCCCTCTGCTGAGCCCACACCTGCTACTCCTGCTGCTGAACCCACGCCTGCTGCCGAAGCCACGCCTGCTCCCCCTGCTGCTGCTACTGCTGAGGAGGGCACTAAGGATGTTCCAATGCAGGATGCCAGTGACGCTGTTCCTGCTCCTGCTCCTGATGCAGCAGCTGCTGCTGCTCCTTCCAGTGCTGCCGCAGCTGCAGCAGCTGCTGCAGGCAGTGGAGGGGGCAGCAGGGCAGCGAGCATAGTGAGGGACACCTTTCCCTTCACGGAGTTCTTTCAGGAGGCACCGGGCTTTAAGATGATGGGCGCGTCGTACGCGCAGGACATGCGCATGGCTGAGAGCTGCTTCGAGTTCCTCAAGGGCATGTTCCAGGTGAGGCTTTAAGAAGTGGGCTGTCAGAAGTGGCTTTAAGCTTTGGGCACGTTCAGCTCCTCCTTTCAGTTCTCCCATTCCTCCACCATGGGCTGAAAGTGTGCCATAGCCTTGAGCTTGCTTAAAACTGCTTGTGGAGACCTCAAGAATCGCCTCCCTCCTCCCTCCCACGGCTCTCCCCCATTTTTTCCTGCCAGGAACTCGAGGAGTGCCGTGCGTTTGAGCTGTTCAAAACCATGTCAGACCGCTCAAACTACCTGATGGCACGGCACTGGATGAGTGTCGTGCTTTCAAGCTCTTTAAAACAACAGCAGACCGCTCAAACTACCTCATGGCGCGGCAGGCAAAAGTAGTCGCCATGACGTGCACGCACGCGGCGCTCAAGCGGCGTGACTTGCTCAACCTGGGGTTCCACTTTGACAACCTGCTCATGGCGGAGTCGGCTCCCCTCTCCCTCACCTCCTCCCGTGCCTCTCGCTCACTCCCTGTTTTTGAGACGTCTCAAAAGTCTTTTACTCCCCCTCCTCCCGTGCACCCCATGCCACGTGTAGTGAGGGTGTTTTTGAGACGTCTCAAAAACACCCTCACTACACGTGGCTATTCTTTATCTGGTTTTGAGACGTCTCAAAAACACCCTCACTACACGTGGCTATTCTTTATCTGGTTTTGAGACGTCTCAAAAACACCCTCACTACACGTCGCTCACTCCCTGCTTTTGAGACGTCTCAAAAGTCTTTTACTCCCCCTCCTCCCTTGCACCCCGTGCCCCGCCCCTCCCTACCGCCTCCCCCTGTCAGGAACTCGAGGAATGTCGCGCATTCGAGCTGTTCAAGACAACAGCAGATCGCTCCAACTACCTCATGGCGAGGCAGGCCAAGGTGGTGGCCATGACGTGCACGCACGCGGCGCTCAAGCGGCGGGACTCTTCATCCCCATGCTGCTGCCTCTTTCTCCCCCTGCCTCCTCTTCTCTCCTCTCCTGCCCCTTCTCCTGCGCAGGAGCTTGAGGAATGCCGCGCATTTGAGCTGTTCAAGACCACGGCAGACCGCTCCAATTATCTCATGGCCCGCCAAGCAAAAGTAGTCGCCATGACGTGCACGCACGCGGCGCTCAAGCGGCGGGACTTCCTCAACCTGGGGTTCCACTTTGACAACCTGCTAATGGAGGAGTCGGCTCAAATCCTCGAGATCGAAACCTTCATCCCCATGCTGCTGCAACGCCCCGACGGCCCCTCCCGCACCGTCAGCGGCTCCAGCAGCACCTCTGCTGCTGCTGCGGGTGGTGCGTCTGCTGGTGGTAGCAGCAATGGCGCCTTGTCCTACTCACGCCTGAAGCGCTGCATTCTAATCGGTGACCACAACCAGCTGCCCCCCGTCGTGAAAAACATGGCCTTCCAGAAGTACTCCCGCATGGACCAGAGCCTCTTCACCCGCTTCGTCCGCCTCGGCGTCCCCTACATAGAGCTCAACGCCCAGGGCCGCGCCCGCCCCTCCATCGCCCAGCTCTACAACTGGCGATACCGCGACCTGGGGGATTTGCCCGTGGTGAAGACAGGAGAGGAGTATGTGAAGGGGAACGGGGGGTTCGCGTGGGAGTATCAGTTGGTGGATGTGGGGGATTGGATGGGGAGGGGGGAGAGCGAGCCGAACCCGTGGTTTTACCAGAATCTGGGCGAGGCTGAGTATGTGGTGAGCGTGTTTCAGTATATGCGGCTGCTGGGGTATCCGGCTGAGAAGATCTCCATTCTGACGACGTACAACGGGCAGAAGCACCTCATCAGGGATGTGATTGAGAGGAGATGCGCCGGGAACCCCCGCTTCGGCCGTCCCAGCAAGGTGAGTGCGTGGTATGGCTTAGCTAGCCTGGTTGTAGGTAGGTAGCATGTCGTCTGCTCCCTGCTCTCCCTTACACGGTTACACCTACTATCTTTTTGCTCACTGAATCGACGCTATCCCTGCTCTCCCTTGCACCTACTATCCGAAAGAGTTATTCAGAGTGGTGAACAGCATCGTTTGCTCACTGAATCGACGCTATTCACCACTCTGAATAACTCTTCGCCTCTCTTCACCGCTCTTTCTCCCTCCAGGTGACGACAGTGGACCGTTTCCAGGGCAGCAGAACGACTACATTCTGCTCTCCCTCGTGCGCACGCGCACCGTGGCTCACCAGCGCGAGGTGCCCTTGTTTCCTGGTTGATACTATTTACTGCACATCACCACTCTTCACCTTTCTTCACCTCTCTTTCCCCCCCTTTCCCCCTCCCTCCAGGTGACAACAGTGGATCGCTTTCAGGGCCAGCAGAACGACTACATTCTGCTTTCCCTCGTGCGCACGCGCACCGTGGGCCACCTGCGCGACGTGCGGCGCCTCGTCGTCGCCATGTCCCGCGCCCGCCTCGGCCTCTACTGCTTCTGCCGCCGCTCCCTCTTCGAGCAGTGCTACGAGCTGCAGCCCACCTTCCAGTTGCTGCTGCAGCGCCCGGACAGGCTCGGGTTGGCGTTGGAGGAGGGGAGTGTGAGGACGGGGAGGGCGGTGGGGGAGGGGAGTGAGGGGGCGTATCTGGTGGGGGGGATTGAGGAGATGGCCCGGCTGGTGGAGTGGCGGCTGCAGAATGTGACAGAGCAGGTGAGGAGTTGAGGGGTGCACACAGGAGGGTTGTGGGTTGTGGGTTGAGGCAGGTGGGTTGTGGGTGCACTACAAGAGGTCAAGGTTGACTTCTCCAATGCAGTTTGTGGTTTGTTTGTTTGTTTTGTCGCTCAATCCTACTTACGTTTTAGTTATTTCGCGCTCCTCTCCTTTCTCTGCAACTGTTTTTTTTTTGTTGATTCAACCTGTTTCTTTTTCTCTCCTGCGACGCAGGAGTACATATTCAGAACGTGCCAGGGGGGCAGCGGGAGGGGAGTTTTGAGTCGACAAAAAACTTAACTGATACTGAATTTGTTTCTTTCCAACCCCCTTTGCACAGGAGTACATATTGCAGAACGTGCCAGGGGGGCAGCAGCAGGCAGCACTGGCCCAGCAGCAGCAGGTGTGGATGCAGCAGATTCAGCAGCTGAAGCACGCACAGGCCCAAGCACAGGCGCAAGCACAGGGCCAGACCCAGGCCCAGGGACAGGCACGGGCACAGGCACAAGGGCAGGCACAGGCACAGGGGCAGTCCCCAATGCAAGTGCAAATGCAAGGGCAGGCACATGCATCACCGCATGGGGCCATGCAAGGGCAGATGCCTGTGCGGTCGCCTGTGCAGATGCTGCCAGCGCATGGGGTTCATGTGGGGCAGGTGCCATCTCCTGGGCAGATGCTTCCAGCGCATGGGGTTCATGTGGGGCAGGTGCCATCTCCTGGGCTGCCAGGGCAAGCCCATGCGCACATGCATTCACAGGCGCACATGCACATGCAGGCACAGGCGCAGATGCACATGCAGGCACAGGCACATGCCCATGCCCATGCCCATGCCCATGCGCAAGCACAAGCACAGCTGCAGGTGCGGGAGCAGGCGCGGCAGATGGAGATGCACGCTCATATGGAAGCTCTGGCACGGCTGCAGCAGCAGCAGAGGCTTCAGCGGCGGCAGCACAAGAGCGGGAGAGGGAGAGGCAGAGGGAGGGGCAGGGGACGGGGAGGTGGGCAAGGAGGGAGGACGGGAGGGGAGGGGAGGGGGAAGGGTGGGAAGGAGGGGGTGGAGGAGGGTGAGGGGAAGGGGGAGGAAGGGGGGGCGGGGGAGCGGGAGGGGGATGAGGAGGGAGAGGGTGGGGAAGGAGAGGAAGAGGAGGAAGAGTGGGGAGAGGGTGAGGGAATGCAATGTGAGGACGAGCATGTGAGAGTGAAAGAGGAGCCTGGTGAGACTGATGCTGCTGCTGCTGGTGACGGTGCTGGTGGTGCTGCTGCCTCTGCAGTGCAACCAGCAGCAGCACGAGGACGACCACCTGCTGCTCCTGCAGGGCTAATGCCGCCCTCGCTCAGGAGCAGCAGCAGCAGCAGCAGGAGGAGGAGCAGGAGCAGGAGCAGCTGTAGCTGAACCAGCAGCAGTTGCAGCGGCAGAGGAATCAGCAGCAGCACGAGGACCACCACCTGTAGCACCAGCAGGACTGATGCCACCACTAGCAGCATCATCAACAGCTGCAGCAGCTGTAGCACCAGCAGCAGAACCAGAAGCAGCAGCGCCAGCAGCTCCTGAAGTGGCACCAGTGGCTGCTGCTGCCCTGGCTGCTCCTATCGCTCCTGCTCCTGCGCCTGCTGCTGGGGGAGCATCAGAGAGCGTGCGAGTGAAAACAGAGTTGGTGGAGCAAGCGAGGGAGGCAGGGCGAGTGAAGCAGGAGCTATTGGAAGAGGCGGGGCAGGGGGTGGGAGTGGTGGTGAAGGAGGAACCAGCTGAACCTGGCGCTGCAACTCCTCCTGGGGGTTCCTCTGACAGTGAATGATGCATGCGGTAAAGCTCAAATGGGACATGCAGGTACAGGGTATGTGCATGGTTCTGAGTTGCCAATTGGGCTACCTACATGAGCCTGGGGCAAGCTGTTTGTGGGGGTGAAGCAGAAGCTATTGGAAGAGGCGGGGCAGGGGGTGGGGGATCAGCAAGTGGGAGTGGTGGTGAAGGAGGAAGCGGCTGAACCTGGTGCTGCCACTCCTCCTGGGGGTTCCTCTGATAGTGAATGATGCGAGCTGGGGTGAAGGTGTGGGTGGGGAGGAGGTGAGGTTGCGGCAGGGTTTGGAGAAATGCTGTGGGTTATGCTTGCGGTTACAGAATTACTGATTGTGTCACAACACAGAAGGCTGATAAAACAACAATCAAACAAAAAAAGAGCTTGGATTTGTAGGCCAGCTGGCCACTCAGTTAATTTTACAAAAGGCTGATGTCACAAAACCGGTGCGTGCCTGTAAGCAGTTTTGATACTTTACAGTGTTTCTAATCGCTGGATTTCGTCTACAGAGTTTCTCATCCAGGCGACGGGAATCGAGTGCCTCTCAAGCATGGTGTAGTTCTGTCTCCCACAAAACCCAAAGTGGGGGGTTTGCGATTTGGCTCGAGGTTTCTCGCACCACCCGACCTCCCCCTCATTTCGTCCTCGTAGATTATATCTGTTGCTCGTTGTTCTTCTAGCTTTGAGATTCTTCCCTATGGCTAGTCGGAAGAAGCCTTTATCGGAGCAGTTGGCGGAGCTGCTAACCCCCGCGCCCACCGCGGGCCACGAGGATCCTGAAGACGCGCAGGGGTTCGGCGCAGAGGCGCGCGCAATCTTCGGCGGAGACGAGTCGGCGGAGGCGGCGGAAGGATGGGGCGCGGCGGAAGCCGGGGTTGTGCGGCAGGGGGAGGCTGGCGCAGGGCGGAAGCGCGGGGAGCGCAGGTCCACTGTCAAGGAGAAGGGGCTGAGCTTGCGGGGGAATTTGGTAATGGAAGGGCGGGAGTATGGCGGGAACAAGAGCAGCAGGTCGGCTCTTTTCGGTGGGTGGGCGGATGACGATGATGACGTGGAGGATGACGTGGATGAGGGGGGAGAGGATGATCAAGAGGGGGAGCAAGGGAGTGAGGAGGAGGAGGATGAGGATGGGGATGAGGATGAGGAGGGGGGAGATGTGGAGGAGAGGGGGGACAGCGCAGACGAGGATCGGAATAACGGGGATAACCTTAGCGAGGATGCCGAGGAGGAGGCTCTAGAAGGGAGCGAGGAAGAGCTCGAGGGCGGCGCGCTTTTGGCGGCGGCGCGCGCCACGATGGACCTTGGGATGGACGCGCTCGATCGAGACTTCGAGGCCGCGCTAAAAGACGAGTTTCGGCCACCTGCTACAGTAGCCGGGAGGGATCTTAGAGCTGGTAACGAGGACGATGTTGACGAGGATGGAGAGCGGGTAGGTCAGCGGAGCGGCGGTGGGGACGGTGAAGGTGGCAGCGCGCCGGTGGCGATAGCGAAAAGTGCTTTTAAAGGGGCGGTTCGTGACGAGGATAAGGGCCGCGCGGTAGCCGCGCAACGTGCGCTGTGGGACCGCGCGCTGGAGCTGCGCATAGCGCTGCAGCGCCCGCTGCAGTCCGCGTGCCGCCTCCCCCACGCGCGCGCGCACGCCACCTTCGCGGCTGTAGCGCCGGACGTGGCGGCGGAGTTCCAGGCTGTAGCGGCCGGCACGCGGACGGCAATCCGGCAGTTACTGACGTTGCAGGACGAACTGTTCACCCGGAACGCGGCGGTTGACGGCGCGTTCAAAGCCACGCGGGAGGTGCTGGCTGGAGGCGGAAGCGGAAGCGGAGAAGAGGAAGGAGGGGAACGAGATAGAGAGGGAGACACAAACGGGGGTTTAAGTGGAGGTTTAGGGTTCAACCTGGGTTCTATAGACAGTGGGAGCAGCGAGGAGGTGTGGGAGCAGATATCGAGGATGTATGAACGGTTTCGACCCTTCTCCCAGAGCTCCATAGACAGGTGAGGCTAGACTCTGTGAGGGAGTGTGAGGGAGTGTGAGGGAGTGTGAGGGAGTGTGAGGGAGTGTGAGGGAGTGTGATTGGCGTAGTGTGAGGGAACGTTAGGCACCAACCAGGAGCGTGATTGACTGCGTGCGAGGCCTCAACCAGGAGTTGTGTGCTCCAGCTCGGTAGTCACTCACCTGCTTGTTTCTCTCCCTCCTCCCGCCTGGCCATAATCCTTCTGATCTGACAGTACATGGAACGCAGGTGGCATTGCAATATTCACCTGCGTGGTTCTTTTTTCCATTTCTGCCCACTCTCCTCTTGTTTTGAGTCACCTCAAAACACGTTCCATTTCTGCCCACTCTCCTCTTGTTTTGAGTCACCTCAAAACACGTTCCATTTCTGCCCACTCTCCTCTTCTGAAGTGCAGGTGGAATCGCAAAACCCTGCTGACGTCAGGGGCCATGGCGGCGGGTCGCAGCAGCAGCCGGCTGAGGGCGCTCAACCAGAGCGTCTCCCAGCAGGTCGCCTCTGCCCTCCGCGCTCCCGATCGCCTCATCCAACGATCCAGATTGCCCTGTAAGGCCGTCAGTGTGATCGGAGCGAAAGCGGAAGCCCTGGCTGCTGGTGCTGCTGGGAAGAAGCGGAAGGGGCCGGATGGTGTTGGTGCGGGGGAGGAAGGTGGGGAGAGAGCAGTAAATGGTATTATGCATGGAAAGCCAGGTGAGCAGAAGCAGGATGAGGCGGAAAAAAGGGAGCAGGAGGGTGGTGAGGAGAATGAGGGGGAGGAGGAGCAGGAAGAGCAGGAGCAGCAGGAGGAGCAGGAGGGGGAGTGGGACATGGACTCATACGACGACACAGAGTTTTACCAGCAGCTTCTGCGGGAGTTCCTCGACTCCTCCCACTTCGAAGAACTCGGCATAGCGTCCCAGCAGGTGGTGCGGCGGGTGCGGGGCGGCAAGGGCAAGGCGGTGGACAGGCGGGCGTCCAAGGGCCGCAAGGTGCGGTATGCTCCGATGCCGGCTCTCGTGAACTTCATGGCTCCAGAGCCCGTTCAGTTGCCACCAGTGGTAGAACGGCTGTTTGGGAATCTTTTTGGGAAGAAGTAGCTTCTGCAATAGCTCCCGAGCTCATCCCACGTGGAGGAGCTGGGCTTACCGTAGCAGCGGTGAGCAGCAAGGGCAAGGCGGTGGACAGGCGGGCGTCCAAGGGCCGCAAGGTGCGGTATGCTCCGATGCCGGCTCTCGTGAACTTCATGGCCCCGGAACCCGTGCAGCTGCCGCCCGTTGTGGAAAGATTGTTTGGGAACCTCTTGGGCTAGGCGCAGGGGAAGGGAAGGAGTAGGTGGTTTTGTTGTGGGAGTGCAGTGGAGCCGATGCCAGTAGTTGTGGTTTCGGTAGACGAAAGCTGACCACCATGTACCTGCGTTGTACATCATTATGTTATGGGATAAAGTTAGAGCAACAACATATTTCAAATCCGATTGGGTTTGAGTTCCCTATCATGCGAGCCTTGTGTGTGCCCTTGAAGCTAAATTTGATGCAGCTCTCTAGTTATGGTTAGCTGAACATGGTTAGAGTAATGTGGCTGGCTGTAGTGTTCTGGATATCAGGTTCATTAAAGGTAGATGTGGTGTCGTACTTTGCTATGGTGTAATTGTGAAGCAAGAGACACGTGATGGTCAATATCATCAATGAAGCTAAATACAGGTAAGAAATCCTAGAAGCATGCTTTGCAAAATTATGGTCAAACCATATTCTGGTTTGACCATCACTGATGCTTTTATACATGGATAACCCTGTCGAGTCGTCCACCTACCCAAGAGCGTCAGAACAACTGTTGCGCAGGAAGCACTGAAAGATTCTCCGCCTGCCAAACTCGTAAGCAGTGTGGTCTTCGATCTTTCAGTCACTGTTCCAGATCGCATCGCAACTGTTCTCCGGTCATCAGCGACCGACGGATTGCCCCGCCGTGGTCCCCGGAGGTCGCTCACACGTGCCTAGAGAATGGAAGATTGCTGACATGTCAGATTTTAAGCCTTACGATTACGGATCGACTTTATTACAGGTTACCAGCATCTACTTGGTCTTTGACAATTTGCTCAACTTAAAACCTCAAACCTGAATTGCTCAACACAAGTCAATGCGGGGCAAAACTGTGGGCTGCGGGGCAGTTTGACTTCATCTCTTGTAATTCAAATTTTGGGTTTTAAAATTCCGCAAATCATAAGAGGTGAAGCGTGATTCGGTTAGTCGCCAGCCTTCCATCAACCTCAATCATGTCACGTCGCGTCGCCAGTCTCATCGCTTGATGTCGTCGTCAACGCGCCAGCCATTCCCTGCTGCTTGCCTGAGCATAATTCACTGTTGAACCAAGTTGCCCACCGAAATCCCTTGGGAATTGTTGGAGGCTTACTGGAGAAATGGTTCCTGCAGCGTTCCAGCAAGTGGGCTGTGAAAGTGCAACAATTCGCTTGCTTTGCGGTTGAGTAATATTCTCTGCTTCTGAAAGCATTTCATCTACGTTATAAAACGGTTCATAAGAATATTACACCAAAATGCAAGGTCTCCTGTCCAGTTCCTAGCAACTTCAAGTTGCTGTTTCTTGTCAGTTTCCGTTCAGGTCTGTCAGAATAGCGGCAGCCAACACAGAACTAGGGCTACAAATCTTATTGCCGTTTAGATTGTAGCAGTCCAGTGCAACCTAATATCCTCCACGCTTAGTTGGTAGCGTATACGTGTATAGCAGGGGAGCGAGGTAAGCAGGTGTTAATTCGCAACAACAGCTCCCGAGTGAAAATGTTAGATTGGTTTGGCGGTAACGCTATTCGATAAGGTCTATCAATGCGTATTAGTTAGTGACTCTGGGTGCGTGCTAACGGCTAGACGAACAAACGCTTCTCCTACTGCGCGTCCGACGGTAGGATACTTTTCTCAGGAGTACTCGTTAACTACAAGATTTGCGAAGCAACGGTGGCCAAGCATGAAGCCATTGTAGCCAGCGGAAAGTGATACATCAGATGAACAGTAGGGATTGTTGATGGCAAGCTCAGCAGGTTCTATCAGAATGCAGGTTAGATTAAGCCAATGTGAGAGCACTTGGTGTTCTCGAAAGCGAGTTCGTTTATTCATCAACAGGTCTTTTTGATACAACGTAGTTTAGGATTTTATCGAAAAGTCAGCAGCACAGGCCCTAGAATTCGAGTTTGACATTGATGGGCAGAGGTTTTCGGTTCCAATGTTCCAGAGAATGTGGCTTGCCGGTATACAGCACGATATAAGAAACCGCGGTCACCTATTTCGCTGGCGACTCGTTCACGGCAGCAGTTTAACTATGGGTCCTAGTCCGAGAAGATGCCAAACTTCAAGGCTACAGTGTCCCTTCTGGTAGGGTTTCATACAACGGTTATGGACGGCCATGGAGGCACAGTGACGTCGACCTCGTCCCAGTGGAGCGGATCGGACGGCTCTGATCTGTCCCCGAGGGACGTTAGGTGCGCGCGAGGCCCGAGACGGCGGGGATGGCGAAGATTGACGGCCATTCTTATCGGGACCCGGCATGAGGAGGGGGATGAGCGGGGAGTTGAGGGGAGCTTGGGGAGAGAACGCGGGGACGAGCACGAGGGAAGGGGGAACGAGGAGGGTGGTTTCGACGCGCAGAACCGCGGAGGCGGAGGGTTGCCTTTGGACGAGCGTGACTATAGCGGTGCTGATTCCGCGGCTCTGAATGATTCGCACAGTAGAGAGTCACAAGGGTACGTTACGGTGCGTGTACTTTTTACTGCATACACAGCGACCTGACTTTTGAGTCGACAGTCAGACCTGACTTAGAATCGACAGTCAGACCTGACTTTTGAGTCGACTCAAAAGTCAGCTCTTTTTGCTGCATACTCAGCGACCCCTCTGCATTCTTTGCGTCCCACCTACATGCATGTGCCGTTCAAGAAGACAATCAACGTTTGCACTATGTCAGGAAGAGTAACAAGTGGTCCAGAGCGGTGGTAAAGAGCGTAGATGTATGATCAGGGACCAAAAAGGACGTTCAAAAGCCCAGGTTCAGGTGTAATCGGGCGTAATTAGGAGGATTCAGACGCGTATCTTAGTCCACCAATATTTTTCTCTTTGCTCACTTGCGATCTCACTTCCCAAACCCACTGCCTCGCACATGTGCTACAGGTTCTGGCACTCGGCACATGACCATCCACATGGCGCGTCCCCATTGGATCAGGTCGTGGTGGACACGTCAGCAGCACCCTCCGTGTCATTCAGCGACGCGCTCATGCGGGAAGTCCTTCCCAAAGCCTTCCCGGATGGGAGTGAGGGGGAGGGGGAGATGTGGAGGAAAGGAGACAGCCTGAGAAAGGGTTTTGGAAGGGTGGGTCGGCGGCTTATTCGGGCTGTGAAGAAACGACCTGTGCTCATGCGACGGCTAGCAGCTGTGGTAAGCAGAGCGCTGACTTCATCACCCCGTCACACCACTTTGCCTGCCGGCAGGTGCTCCTTGCTGTTCCTTTTCCCCCGCCTCTTCTACCCTCCGTTTGTCACCCCCTTTCAACCAACGCCCTTCCAATCCCAAACCCCTCAACCTCCCTCCCTCTCCCATATCCCTGGGGTCCAGCCCATCCTTCACGATTTCCATTCGTCCTCCCTGTCACATACACCTCTGGTTGACGTCTCGCTTCTCCCTTCCATGGTCGCCCGTGTCCTTGCTCTTCCCTCACTTGGCCTCCAACCGCCTTAATAGATTTTTTATGCGCCTCAAGAATCATCCATCAATCTCTTGTCTGGGCTTTCATGGTCCCAGACAAGTCATTTCCTGCTTCGCTATCCAAATATCCCCTCTATATGCGCACGTGCTCCCCTAATCCCCAATTTCCTCCATTCTTCCCTCCCCCCTTCCCCCCTTGTTTCCCCTTCCCTCCCTCCCCCATTTCCCCCCCTTCCCTCCCTTATCCATTTCCTCGCCTTCCCTCCATCCCCCATGTCCCCCACTCCCACCCTCCCCGCTTTCCCCACTTTCTCCTTTCCCTCCACAGATATTTGTTTATATCCTCGTTGCAGCCTGCATGTCCCTCACATGGGCGCTCATATGCTCCTCCCCGTCTTCCCTCGCGTTGCCCATGTGCTCCTCGAATCCCCCCCTTCGCCCCCACTTCCCCTTCCCTTCCGCCTTTCCCTCCACAGATATTTGTTTGTATCCTCGTTGCAGCCTGCATGTTCCTCACATGGGCGCTCATGCGCTCTCATGCCACGTCAGCCCTCACCATTGTGGGCCGCGACATGCGGGCTCAACTGGTGCAGGGCGTATCTGCAGGGATGGGCGCAGCCCTTGCCACCTTACCCTCCTCCTCTGAAGCCCAACTGTCGTCTACACTACTGCAAGGAACGTTCGTCTCCTTCTCAGGAACCTTCCCTGGAGACGACTCATCAGGCCACTTGCACACGCACATACTCCTCGCTAGAATCACCAATAACACTCTCCACTACACCGTCGCTCCTTCACAACCCACCAGTCCCAGCCTATCCAACGCTGCCACGTCAGCCAGCCCTGTTGCATCCGCTGCAGCACAGTACCTTGCTTCCGCAGTCCCCCCCGCCCAGCTCCTCTCCGCCTGCTTCTTCTCCCCTGTCCTTGTCCAATTGGGGAACCCCGCAGTTCTGGGGAGCCTGGGGATACTGGGGCCGCCAAAACCACCGCCCAAACCACCGATGGGGGTACCGAGCAGCAATACTATGTAGACGCATGCCCTGTCAGTGTCAACGCCTCCGCCTCTAGCCTGCAGGGGCTGGTTCAGCAGCAGCAGCAGCAGCAGCAGCAGCAGCAGCAGCAGCAGCAGCAGCAGCAGCAGCAGCAGCAGCAGCAGCAGCAGCAGCAGCAGCAGCAGCAGCAGCAGCAGCAGGGTGATGGTCTTGTGGTGATCTCCATAGTGCCGTCGGCTCGTATCTTCTCCGCCTTGGATTCCGGCAGTGACACTGTCATGGCGCTCTGCATCGCCCTGTCTCTCGTTGTCCTCGTTATAGGCTTGCTGCTCGTCTGCATGAACCGATCAACGGACTCGGCTCGAACCGGCCAGACGCTGCGCCAGGAGCTGGTGCGGCAGCTGGTGGAGAAGCACAGGGTGGAGCAGCGCAGCAACCACAAGAGCCAGTTCCTCGCCAACATGAGGTGAGTGCTTGCGAGTGTTTTTTGAGAATTCTAAAAAATCACTCACAGGGTGGAGCAGCGCAGCAACCACAAGAGCCAGTTCCTCGCCAACATGAGGTGAGTGTGTGTGTCTACCTATGCTGATTCTGAGGTTTTGTTTGAAAATCTCCAATGCCTCTTAGGCGCCTGAGAAGCTGGTTCCACAGCTGGTGGAGAAGCACAGGGTGGAGCAGCGCAGCAACCACAAGAGCCAGTTCCTCGCCAACATGAGGTGAGTGTGTGTGTCTACCTATGCTTATTCTGAGGTTTTGTTTGAAAATCTCCAATGCCTCTTAGGCGCCTGAGAAGCTGGTTCCACAGCTGGTGGAGAAGCACAGGGTGAAGCAGCGCAGCAACCACAAGAGCCAGTTCCTCGCCAACATGAGGTGAGTGTGTGTGTCTACCTATGCTGATTCTGAGGTTTTGTTTGAAAATCTCCAATGCCTCTTAGGCGCCTGAGAAGCTGGTTCCACAGCTGGTGGAGAAGCACAGGGTGGAGCAGCGCAGCAACCACAAGAGCCAGTTCCTCGCTAACACGAGGTGAGATTGTGAGGCATATCTTGATTTTTGAGGCGCCTCAAAAATAACATGAGGTGAGATAGTGAGGCATATCTTGATTCCTTAGAGGGCTTTTGAGCCGTTCCAGAAGCTGGTTCAACTGCTGGTTCGCGTGTTTTCCCCCGCTCCGCCCCTACCCCTGCAGCCACGAGCTGCGCACGCCGCTAGCAAGCATCGTCGGGCTGTTGGACTGGACCTGCCGAAATGCGACAGTACTCTTGTTCTGAACTCCAAGATTTGTCGTCCTTTTTGTTCCACTCCTCTTCCCCCCCACGCAGCCACGAGCTGCGCACGCCCCTGGCGGGCATCATTGGTTTGCTGGACCTGCTGGCGTGCGATGCACTCTCCCCCGAGCAGGAGGCCATGGTGCTGCAGATCAAGCGCTGTGCTTCGGGCCTGCTCGCCCTCATCAACAACGTTCTCGACATCTCCAAGGTGAGAGCCCCGCCCTCTGCCCTGCCCTAAGCCGTGTCTTGTCTACTCTTGAAGCGAGTTTGAGGCGCATCAGAAAGCGCTGCACCTCAGGGCTGCTCGCGCTCATCAACAACGTCCTCGACATCTCCAAGGTGAGACAGGCATAACCTGTTTGCTCTTGATATGTGCGAGTCAAAACGGGAGTCAAACCGGTGACAAAAGTGCCGCATCCCTCAATCTGCTCTGCATCCATACATTCCTACTAACACCCTTCCAGGCGGACAGAACAGAACAATTCGAGTCACTGGGAAGGGACATCTTTGATCTTCTCTGCAGGTATCCATTCCCACAAAGCCTCTGCCGTTCTTCACAGCCCGTTTCTCCACTCCGCCCCTGCCTGCCGGTCCCTCCCCTGCAGGTGGAAGTGGGGGCGCTAGAGCTCACTATAGCGCCCTTCAGTATAGTCACGGAGATGGAGACGCTACTGGACATGTTTGCAGTGCACTGCATTGGCAGCGGCGTTGACCTCTCAATGGATCTAGCGGACGACCTCCCAGACATGGTGCTGGGGGATGCAATGCGGTTCCGCCAGGTGCTCAGCAACCTGCTGTCCAACAGTGTCAAGTTCACGGAGCAAGGGTATATTCACGTGCGCGCATGGGTCGTGCACACTCCCAACACGGTCGCCATGGTGAGTGAGTAGTGATGGTTTTGGGATCTAAGTGACTTTTGAGTCGACTCAAAAGTCACCTTATGGCCCATGGTGAGTGAGTAGTGATGGTTTTGGGATCTATCTCTCATTCTCCAACACCCCTCTTTTTCTCTCTGAACCAACAGTCCTTCTCCCTCCTGTTCTTACTGAACCAACACCCTTCTCCCTCCCTCTCACTGAACCAACGCTCCCTCTGCCTCCCTTTCTCAACGAACCAACAACCCTCCCTTTCTCACGGAACCAACAATCCGTCTCCCTCCCTTTCCCCCCTCTCTTTCATTTCTCCCTTCCCAGTCGCCAACAGCCCTGGAGAGCGGCGAAGACATATATTCCCTGCAAATGAGAGCTCTCAGTCCCCTTCTCCCCCACAAGCTGCGTCCGCTTGCTGCTTCGATTCGACTCAAAATACACCAATGCTCTCTCTCTCTCCCTCTCTCCCTCTCCTCCGCCCCACTGGTTTTCCCTCTTCCTTTCCAGTCGAGAACAGCCCTGGAGAGCGGTGCAGATATATATTCTGTGCGGATGAGCACTCTCAACGCCCTTCTCCCCCACAAGCCGCATCCGCCTGCTGCTGCGCCTGCTCCCTCCGCTCTCGCCTCTGCTGCTTCTTTCGGCAGTGCTGCTGGTAGTGTTGTTGGTAACGCTGCTGCTGCTGCTGCTGCTGCTGGGGCAGCTCGTGGTCGCAGCAGGCACACCTTACAGGCGACAAGAGAAAACACATTGGTAGGAGAAACGGAGCAGGAGGAGGAGGAGGACGGGGAAGAGGACAGGGAGGAGGAGGAGGATGAAGAGAGCGTGAGGGGTCACAGGGACAACCCGGGCTGTTCTCCCATGATGGCAGTAGCAGGATGCTTACCAGGCAGCCGGGAACGAGGAGAGCGAGGGACAGCAGCAGGCACAAGTGCACACGCAGAAGGCGGGGGAGGGAGGGTTGGGGGAGCGCGAGGGCAGGGTGAGGGAGCGAGAGGAGCCTTGGCCTGCGCAGGTGGGTTTCCCTGTGCAGGCGGGCTGCCCTCCTCAACCTCACTGAACCGCTCTGATAGTCTCAGGGAGCAGAGCAGCCCACTGTTAGGGATCCGGGAGGGGGGAGTGAGATCCCACAGTAGTCGTAGGGCCCCAGGAGAGGTCGTGAGAGGGATGTGCGTGGGAGGTGTGGCAGGTACGGCTGCTGAATCAGACACAGAAGGGAGTGAACTAGTAGATATCGTGATTGAGGAGGGAGGGCCAGTGGGAGAGGGCGAGGGAGAGGGCGAGGGAGAGGGCGAGGGAGAGGGCGAGGGAGAGGGCGAGGGAGAGGGCGAGGGAGTGGGGAGGGATGGGAGGGATGGGAGGGATGGGAGGGCTGGGAGGGATGGGAGGGATGGGAGGGATGGGAGGGCTGGGAGGGATGGGAGGGATGGGAGGGCAGAGCCTGGCGGTCAAACGGATGGGATGGTACGCAGAGGGATGGAATCAGGGTCAGCTGGGGCAGGTGTTACCGAGGACAGCGCACTTGCAGGCGCGGGGGAGGACACATCGGGAGACGGCCTGTCTGGGGAAGGTCCATCTGAGGAGTTTCCACCTGGGGAAGGCCCGCCTGTAGGGGAGCGCCCATCGGGCGAGCCTGCCCCGGACGACCGAGTGCTGATAATCTTTGAGGTGGATGACACGGGGTGTGGTATACCACCGGAGGAACGCGAGGCGGTGTTTGAGAGCTTCTCGCAGGTGGACGAGTCGGCGTCGCGCGTGCATGCGGGCTCAGGGCTGGGGTTGAACATAGTGAAGGGGCTCGTGGAGCTCATGGGCGGCCACGTGGCTGTTGCTGATAAGGAAGGTCCTGGTGCCCTCATCCGCTTCTCGCTAATGCTTCCCCGCATGCCCTCCCCTGGTGCTGCTGCTGGTGGTAGTGGTGACGGTGCTGCTTGTATGGACGACCCAGACCTATCAGCGTCTTTCATTCCAAGGTGCGTGTGTGCTCTTGAACACTCGATACACACTCACTCAGATGCTCTCGAGCATGTCAAATGACTTCTGAGTCGACTCAAAAGTCACCTCACTCGATACACACTCAGGTGCTCTTGAGCATGTCAAATGACTTTTGAGTCAACTCAAAAGTCACCTCACTCGATACACACTCAGATGCTCAGATGTCAAATGAGAATAATGTAACCACTCCTTGCATCGCCCCCATCCCATCCACCCATCATCCCATTCGCACATCCACCAGGTTTGGTGAAGGCCCATCAGATAATCCATGGGGGGAGCTGGTTCCCTCCCCTCCCCAACCAGCCCCACCTGCTCTCAACCACAGTGAGGTAAGCTCCTTCCCACCTCTTCCTTTTGAGTTCACTTTTGAGTTGAGGCGCCTCAAAAGTCTCGTCCTTGGCAGGCGACCTGGCTGGCTCCCTCGCCTCCTCAACCAGCCCCACCTGCTCTCAACCACAGAGAGGTAAGCTCCTTCCTACCTCTTCCTTCCGAGGTTCTTTGCTCACATCGCTGGAAAACCCATGGGGTTACCTGGCTGGCTCCCTCCCCTCCCCGACTCATCTTTTTTTTTGCCCTGGGGTTGCATTGCAACAAGGAGGCAGCTGTTTCTGCACTGAGTTAGTCCTTCCCTGCCCTCCCCTTTCCTCTCCCGAAGTGCAGGTTCAGGTGGTCTTGGCAATGTCTTGAGACGTCTCCTTCCCTCCACTCCCCTTCAGGTGGTCTTGGCATTGTGTTGAGACGTCTCAAAACACTCCTTCCCTGCCCTCCCCTTTCCTCTCCCGAAGTGCAGGTTCAGGTGGTCTTGGCAATGGATGAGTGCCCTGGCAGGGCCACAGCAACCACCTGGTTGGAAGGCAAGAAAATCGCAGTGAGGGAAGTGGGGGCGTGGGAGAGCGTCAAAACCGCACTGGACCACGCTGTTCACACCTCCCTGCTGCGCCGCCGAACCGCTGCCCTCACTGCTGCTGCCGCCACCATCGGCCATGGGAAAGGTGCAACGGGAGACAGAGGGATACAGAGCGGTGCAGCGGGGCGTGGAGATGCAGGGAATGGTTCTCAGAGAAGGGGCGGGGCGTATGTGTCGTCTGAGGCGCGACGGCGGTCGTTCACTGCACCCATTGTGCTTGCCGGGCGTGTGGGGGACACCCTGGGTCCTGCTGCTGCTGGCGCCGCTGCTAGTCGTGCTGCTGCTGATGGAGGCAACACCGTAGACGGTTCTTCTGCTGGTGGTGGTGTGGGGAGGCACGAGGGAGGGCGGGAGGAAGAGAGGGGAGGAAGCAGGAGGTGGCTGCCCTCCCGTCTGGCACACTTTGACTCCACTCAAAAGCCTTCGCAGGGGTTGCTTTCAAAGATGGAGCTGTCCTCAATGCTGCCGCATTCTCTCGCTGCTCTGACTGGCCTTGGGCTCTCGTCACATTACACGTTTTCTTCCTCCCACCACCACTCTCAGCCAGGGCGAGCAGGTCAAACAGGTCAAACAGGTCAACCAGGTCAACCGAGTCAACAGCACAGAGCAGCATCTCAAGAAGCCCCCGCGGTTCTCACCCACAGAGCGAACACCTGGGATGGGGACAGGGAGAGAGAAGGCTGTGAAGGGGAGAAGGGGAAGGACCGGGAGGAGAGTAACGGGGAGGAGGAAGCAGAGACAGAGAGGGAAGAAGTGAGGGAGAGAGAGGAGGCGGAGTGGGGAGAGGAGATGGACAGAGTCACAGCAGCCACAGACAAACACACAGATGCAGATGCAGATGCAGATGCAGACGCAGACGCAGACGCAGACGCAGACGCAGATGCAGACACAGATGGGATCAAGCTTGCCGATCGCAGCTATCCCATTCTGGCAATCATCGACATCATGCTGCTTCCAGGAAGCCGCGGGCTGTGCAACGCCATGCTAGATCCAGCAGAACAGGACCCGCTGGCAGTGGGGGCGAGTGCTGCCAATGACCTGCCCCGCTTTGACATCCATGGGGAGGAGCCGCGCTTTGGCGGACACACCAGCCCTGCTGCTCGTCCTCTCCTCGTTCCGCCGGAGCTGGAGAGGCTGTGTGCTGACCTCAACGCCATCCGCACCCAGTCCCCGCAGGTGAGCTGGTCGGGTCCTTTGTGCTTAGGGCTTAGAGCAGGAAACGCTGGCAGTGGGGACGAGTGCTGCCAGTGACGTGCCTTGATTTGACGTTCATGGACGTGGGGAAGGTGCGCACACCAGCCCTGCTTCTTGGCCGTTTCTCCTGCCGCCAGAGCTGGAAAGGCTGTGTGTGTGTGTGTGCTGATCTCATCTCAACACCGCAAGAAATCATGGATTCGAGCCGCAGCAAGCGTAGGTTCTCCTCGAAATTCTTGAGTAACAGCTAGGAGTATTTAGAGTGGGAAAAAGGGTAGAATCAGGACTTGGTAAGTCCAACTTCAGTAAAGAACGTAGGCGTACGCGTTTCGGCCGTGAGGCGTTCGTCAGCGCCGCCAGAGCTGGAAAGGCTGTGTGTGTGCTAATCTCATCTCAAGTTGAGATTGCTTTTGAGTCGACTCAAAAGCAGAGCTGGAAAGGCTGTGTGTGTGTGTGTGCTAATCTCATCTCAAGTTGAGATTCTCAACACCATCTGCACCTAGACCCCCGCAGGTGGGATCAGTGTTAGGTCTGTATAGGGCTGACTGCCTGGACCAAACGTGGCTTATAAGGTGCATAAGAAGCAAGAGCCCTCTGAGCTGGACAAGCTGTGTTTGTGCTGACCTCAACACCATCTGCACCTAGACCCCGCAGGTGGGTAACGGGTTGGTTCTGTCTCTCTCTGCTTAGAGCTGAGGCGGCTCTTGAATTGAAGGAAGACCAGGGTCCGCTTGTTCTGCAACCCTTAACTTTGTGCCTGCTGTATTTCGCCCTCTTCCCCCCTTTTCCCAGATGGCTGAGTCTCTCGTGGTGGCATCGCTAGTCCCCCTGGGGGTTGACCCTCGCCTGCGTCGCTTCTTACACCAATTTTGAGAATTCTCAAAAATGATTTCAATACAGCACCACTCACTCGTCACCACTCGCCCCCTGCACGCCTCACCCACATCCCTTGTGCCCTGTGTGTCCCCTGTGCCCCTTTTTCAGATGGCAGAGTCTTTTGTCGTGGCGTGGCTAGCCCCTCCAGGGGAGGACCCGCTGTGCGTCGTTTCCTCCTTGCCTCTCCAAGTCCCCCCTTATGCCCCTTATCCTTCCCCTGTCCCTCTCCTTCCCCCCCACCTCCCACAGATGGCAGAGTCTCTTGTCGTGGCATGGCTAGTGCCTCCAGGCGTGGACCCGCGTCTGCGTCGCTTCCTGCAGCAGCAGCAGCACCACTCACTCGTCACCACGCGCCCCCTGCACGCCTCCCGCCTCACCCACATCCTCTCCTGCTTCGCCCACGCCCTCAACGGGGACCCCATGGGCGGGGGCTCCTCTCGAGACTCGTTTGCCATGCAGGCCCCACCCGCTGCGGAAGTGCCTGTTGCATCGGCTGCTGCTGCTGCAGCTCCTGAGATGATTCAGCAGCAGCAGCAACAGCAGCAGCAACCACACTCCCCTGCCCATATCACCACCCACACGCCCTTGCATGCGTCAATACCAGCTTCTCCTCAAAATGCTGTTGCTGTTTCCGCACCCTCACACTCCCAAGGGCCCGACGAGTCCTCAGAGCAGCTTGCTACAGTCCCAGAAGCACTTTTGAGTCGACTCAAAAATGTTTCCGCACCCTCACACTTCCAAGAGCCCGACGAATCCAAAGAGGAGCTGGCTACAGTCCCAGAAGCAGCTGTCGCAGGCGTGGGAGTAGCAGGAGGGGGAGAAGTGGGAGGAGCAGCAGGAGTGGGAGTAAAAGGAGCAATAGACGGAGCGGCAGGAGGAGCAGCAGGGGCACGAATTGTTGCAGAAGCATTTAGTAGTGCTGGTGGTGCTGGTGCTGGTGCTGGTGCTGGTGCTGGTGCTGGTGCTGGTGCTGCTGCTGGTGCTGGTGCTGCTGCTGCTGGTGGTGCTGCTGCTGCTGCTGCTGGTGCTGCTGCAGCAGCAGCTGCTGCTGCTGCTACAGGTGCTGCTGGTGTGGGTTCAGGCGCCTCCTGGGGTGGGTTTAGCAGCTTCAGTGGCGGCGCTACTGGTGCTGCTGCAGGTGGTGCCCCTCCAGATGACGAAGAGCTTCCTTCTCAATTGTATGACGTTACTGAACCAGAAAATGCCTGCCTCACACTTTTGCCTGACCCAGAAATGCCTGCCCCGACAGTTCCTGCTTCAGCTGTGCCTGCATCAGAAATGCTGTGCTTAGCTGCGCCCCCAGCCTCCCATGTGGACGTCCCTCCTTCGCTCAACTCGGTGTGGGAGAGCATCACACGCAGCACCAGGCACCAATCTGTTGCTGCCACTGCTGCCGCCACTGCCACTGCTGCCACTGCTGCTGCTGCTGCTGCTGTTGATGCTGCTGGCGCAGTGGGAAAAGCAGTAGCAGTAGGAGCAGACGCAAGGGCAGCAGGTGTGGGGACCGGGGAGGGAGTAGAGGAAGAGGAGGAAGAGGAGGAAGAGGAGGAAGAGGAGGACAATGACGAGGAGGAGGAGGAGGAGGAAGAGGAAGAGGGTGTGGAGAAGGAGGAACGGGTAAAGAGAGGAGGGAGGCGGCGCCTCTCTTTCAACGCTTGGCGTGTGCCTGCCTCGGTCAGTTTTGAGTCGACTCAGAAGCTGCCAGCGTCTGTCGTGCCCTCTGCTGGTAGTGCTGAGGTACTGCTGCCGTTGACGGCTGCGCTTACTACAGCTCAGCACCCCTCTGCATCTTCTCCCACCGTTCACCACCTCTCTGCATCTCCGCACATACATGTGCACTCCTTGCAGCAGCGTTCCCACTCAGACCTGTACGCTCGCCGCACAAATACCACCAGTCCCGCTTACCCGCACAACCCCCGCTCAAGCCTATCTGACGGTCTGGAACGGCTTAGATTGATCAACGTGAATCTCAACCATGCCGCCTCCTTCCTGGCCCAACGCCCTTCGGCTGCTGCTGCTGCTGCTGCTGCTGCTGCTGCTTCGGCGTCGCTTGCTTCCCCCTCTGCGCTTCCGCATTTTACCACTCTAGTCAGCCCGGGCCAGGGAGGCAGCCTCGGGCGAGGCTCGGCACAGATCCGGAAGCTGAGCGGCAGCTTCGGCGGCAGTGCGCGTTTTGCTGCGGGTGGTGCTCCTGGTGCTTCTGCAGCAGGTGCGGGGAACCTGAGTGGCATAGGGTTGGGCTGGCCGGGTCTAGCCAGCCTGCCTCAGTTCGCATCTCTCTCCGGTGCCTCCCAACTGGGTCTCATTCGGTCCATGTCAGCTGTACAGAGCTATGCAGCCGCCTCCTCCCTCTCCGTCCTCTGCCAACCCACCATGCTGTCTGGGATCGGCTATGATCAACCCAGCTTGCTCTCCGGTTTGGGATATGACCAGCCTGCTATGCTCTCCGGTTTGGGGTACGATCAGTCTAGTATGCTGTCTGGATTTGGCCCTAGCAGCCTGGGTCACGAGACCATCTTTGAGACTCCGCACGTGTCGGCACAAATGTCGCCGCACGTGTCACCTGGCAGGTCACCTGGCGTGTCACCTGGCGTGTCACCTGGTGTGCTGTCCGGCATGCTGTACGCGATCGGGTCGGAGCCGATACCAGAAGCATATAAGGCGTCACCTGGGCATGGGAATGCCCCTGGGAATCTCCCTGGAGGAGCTACTAGTAGGCCTGGTCTGCGGGGAAGTGGGAGGAGCAGCAGTGGGAGCCCGATTCTCCCAGGTGGTAGGAGAAAGTATGATTTATTGGGAGGAGGGGGGAACAGGAGCGGGAGGAGCAGGGGCATGGGAATGCATGTAAGGGGAGGCAGTGCTGGTAGTGCCAGCGGATTTGAAATGCCTGAGAGCAGTGTAGGCGCTGGTATGGGCATGGGCATGGGGTTGGGAGGTTCTACTGGTAATCTGCTGCATTCTGGTCCACCTTACACCAGTAGTGCCCATGCCACGTCACCTGCCCATGCCGCATCACCTGCTCATGCCACGTCACCTGCTCATGCCGCGTCACCTGCCCGCGCCATATCACTGGACCAAGCCACGTCGGCCAACTCCCAGCCAGTGGCTTACCACAGGAGGGGGGCAGCCAATGCAGAGCGAACATTCTCACAGCCACCAGCATTCCTCAAGGGCAGCACCGTACTCTACTCCTCCACCACCCATTCCAACCACTCCCACTACTCCCAGCAAGCAGGAAGTCCCCTCGGGCCGGGATTAGCAGCAGCTCCGTCTGCGGCTGTGTCGTCCCCTCACTCCCAAGCAGCAGGCTACCTGCGAGGCTTTCACAGCATGGCCCGTACCACCGCCAACTCCAACGCTCCAGCTAGAACGCCCCAACTCAAAAACATCCAAAGGCATGCCTCGCACCACCTCGGCTTCTCTCGACGCGCCCAACAAGCGCATGCCGCATGCCAGATCCAGCGCTCTTGATGCCGCGTCCAAATGCGTCAGCCACGCCAGCCTGGCCCCCAGCAGCATGCCGCGCACGAGCTCGGCCCCTCTGGATGCCCCTCGCGTGGTTACCAGAAGGTCGTTCCAACACCACTCTGCCAGGCACTCCGTGAGCGGGGCGTCTGCTCTCCTTGAGGCGCCTCAAAAGCATCATTCTGCTAGGTACTGTGCTGCTACTGGAGGGAGTGGGTTCAATGAGGCGTCTGTTCTTGAGGCGCCTCAGAGACAGCAGTCTGCTAGATGCACTGCTTCTGAGGTGAACGGGGTGAGTGGAGTGAATGGGGCAAATGGCCGGCCCATTCTCCTCGAAGCGCCTCAGAAACAGCATTCTGCTAGATACACCACTAGTGGGGCGAGTGGGGCGTCTTCTCCTCTTGAAGCGCCTCAGAAACAGCATTCTGCCAAGTACACCACTAGTGGGGCGAGTGGGGGAATTGGGACAGTCGGAACGAGTGGGAGCTTTTCTGTTGCTGCTGCACAACCAGTCGCACAAACAAGTAGCAGTCAGCACCCAGGCACGCAGTCTAGCATGCTGCCAGGCGTGCACTCAGGAACGCAGGTTCTAGGAGTGCAGGCCCGGGCAGGACTAGCCGGAGGGGCAGTTGGGAAAATGAGGGGAGGAGGAGGGGGCGCAGGGGGCGCATTAGCAGCTGGGGGAGGAGCGGAAGCTGAAGGAACGGGAGGAACTGCCTGTGCTGCTGGCTGTGCTTCTGCCAGTGCCACTGGCATTGCTGCTGGGATTCCTGCTGGCAGTGGTGCTGACAGAGGTGGTGACAGAGGTGGTGACAGAGGTGGTGACAGAGGTGGTGACAGAGGTGGTGACAGAGGTGCTGATAGAGGTGGTGACAGAGGTGGTAACAGAGGTGGTGACAGCAGGGAGGGGAGTGCGGCTACTAGCGTGGAAGCAGGGCAGTCAAGAGTGCCTGCTGCTTCAGAAACAACACACAAGGATGGGCACGGCACGGGCACGGGAGGGATAATTCTTAGGTCAGGATCGGCCTTGGAGTTTGGGCCTATGAGGGGGCTGTCTGTGGTAGTGCCTGATGATTCTGCGGGACCAGAGCTGCTCGAGGAAAGAAACTTGATCGGAGGTTTTGAAGGGAGAGGTTTTCTGGGAAGAGGGTCTGAGGGGAGAGACTCTGTGGCGGTTCTTAGTGAACCTAGATTGAGTTCAGGTGAGTCGAGGGAGGTTGATGTTGACCTGAGGAATCACCTGGAGCATCCATCTGGCCATAGATTGCAGCAGAAGCAGCAGCAAGAGGAGGGGGAGCAGAAGAAGAGGGAGCTACAAGCAGTGCAGCAGCAGCAGCAGCAGGTGCCAGAGCAGCAAGTAGAGGAGCAACAAGAGAGGCAGCAGCAGGTACCACAGTCACCAAGCTCCCATCAGTTCCCTCGGCAGCACTCGCCATCTCTCCTGCGATCCACATCTGCAACACCCAACACCCTGCAGCACCACTCGTCACACCTCTCCACCGCATCAACTTCCCACGCCCAGAATCAGCCTGAGCCGTTCCCCTCTCTCTCCCACACCATACCTCAACGACCTTCCACGAGCCCTTGCTGCGGCGACAACCCGAGGGGTTTTTCCAGGCGAGGAACGGGAGGGAGAGGGGTGGAGAGGATTGCTGCAAGGGCGGAGAGTGGGGAGAAGGAAACGGAGGGGGGTGAGTGGGGGGTTGACACAGAAGCAGGATCGGCAGCAGCAACTGCCACGGTTGGAGCAACAGCAGCAGTTGGCGCAGCAGCAGGGGTAGCAGCAGCATGCATGTCAGCTTTCAGTAGCCATGGCAGCCAGTCAAACACCCCTAGTCCACGAGCACTGCTGCCCTTTGGTTCTATTGCGGAGGTGCTGAGCTCGGTGTGGGGTGGGAGCGAGAGGAGGAGCGCCGGAGGAGGGGTGGAAGGAGGGGGAGGGAGAGGAGGGGAGGGAGGAGGAGAGAGAGATGGGGAGGGTGGGGAAGAGGGATCTGGGGAAAGAGAGGGGGAGAGAGGGAAGGATGGAGAGGCAGAAGGACGCGGGGAGGCTCAGCCTCGGCCGACAAGAACACAGTCTAAGGCTCGCGTCCCCACGACTTCCCTCTCTCTCTCCCTCACTCACTCCCTCGCACACCGCCTCTCAGGCCTGTCCGGCCTCTTCCGCAGCAACTCCTCTTCAGACTACGAGGCAGCAACAGCAGCAGCCGGCATTACCAAATTCGGCGACAGCAGCAGCAGCAGCATCAGCAGCGGCAGACGAGCCGTCACCCCTGGAAGGAGGTCAAGAGGGGGGAGCGTGGAGTCCACCCAAAAGTCGCTGCAGCAGTCACGAGAGGGAAGCATGGGGTCAACTCAAAAGTCTCCGCAGCATTCGCGGGAGGGAACCGTGGGGTCGAATCACCAGTCCCCGGCGGTCACACCCGGAAGGAGGTCGCGGGAAGGGAGTCGGCAGAAGCAGCGGCGGGCTAAAAGACTGTCTGGTCCATTGTCTTCCACAGCTGCTTCTGCTTCTGCTTCTGCTTCGGGATCTGCTTCGGGATCTGCTTCGGGACTCACTCCTCCCACGCCTGCCCTCTCCGCCTCCTCCCTCCCAGGCAGTGTGGGCCCGTCCACGCCCACCACTCCTCCCACAGCAGCGCGACCCAGCTTTGACGCCCCGGCCAGGCGAGGGCGGCCCAGCTTTGAAGTGCCTCAGAGCAAGGTGAGACGTGGCATGACCGGGTCCCACACCCCTGGGAGAGACACCACTGTTAGACCCACAGCAGCAGGAGGAGTAACAGGAGGAGCTGCAGCAGCAGGAGGGGGAGCAGCAGGAAGAGCAGCAGGGGGAGGGGCGATGCCTACAGGCCAACCGCTGGCAGGGCTGCATATTCTGGTGGTGGAGGATACGGCGGTGCTGCAGAAGCTGGCAGCGTCGATGCTGCGGAAGATGGGTGCACGCGTGGCTGTGGCGTCGGATGGGCAGCAGGCTGTTGCTGCTGTGCTGAGCTCGTGGAAGGATGAAAATGGGTGCACTATCTGCTGCTGCTGGTGCTGCTGCTGCTGGTGGTGCTGCTGCTGGTGCTGGTGGTGCCGGTGGTAGTGGTGCTAGTATTGCCGGTTCTAGTGGGAGCAGTGGCACTGGCAGCAGCAGGAGGAAGAGTTTCAGCATGGCGAGAGAAGCAATGCTAGCCGGCTCATCTGCAGCAGCAGCAGCAGCACCTGCAGCAGCAGCAGCAGCAGCAGCTGCAGCAGCAGGGCAGCAAGGGGAGCTAGAAAGGGCACGCAGCAGCAGCCCCCGCAACCCCACCAGCACCGTCAGGTCTCTCTTTTCCACTGCTGGCTCTTCCCTTCACTCTGCCACTGCCTCCCTCTCTGCCACTGCCTCTCCCTCTTCAGCTGCTCCTCACTCTGCCGCTGTCTCGCCCTCCGCGGGTTCCTTTCGCTGGAAGCCGCGTCGTGGCAGCAGCGGCACTGTCTCCTTCCTCCTCTCCGCCCTCCCATCCGCGTCCGCCCTCCCATCCGCGTCCCCCCTCTCTTCCAGTCCCCGGGCGTCATCCCTCTCGTCCAGCCCTCCTGTGGCAACAGCAGGGGGAGGGGGAGGAGGCAGACCAGCAGCGACTGGAGCAGGAGGAGGAGGGGGAGGAGGTGGTGGTGTTGCTGAAGGGTGTGCGGCAGCAGGAGTGCAGCAGAGTCAAGTCACTGAGGCTTCTGAGGCGCCTCTGGTAGAGAGGGGAGAGGAAAGGCCCAGATCATCTTTTTCCAACCCGTTTGATCCATCAGGGGCAGCTGTTGCATCATCATCTGTAGCATCAACGGCTGTAGCAGCAGCTTGTGGCAGCAATGCAGTGGGTACAGCTGGAGAGGATGTGTCGAAGGGCAGTGGGATGAATGGAGGAGGGGATGCAGCAGCAGATCCGTTTGACATTGTGCTCATGGATTGCCAGGTACTTTGACGTTTGTGCTCAAGTCTTCCTCTTACAGGTGCTGGTGTGCTGGTTCGTAAGGTAGCAGCAGCAGCAGATCCGTTTGACATTGTGCTCATGGATTGCCAGGTATTTTGACTTGACGTATGAATGGGACTGCCATATACTTGACGTTTGAGGCTTGACGCTTGTGGTCAGGTCTTCCCCTTACATAGTGCTCGTCGCTGCCTGCCCACCCATATAGATGCCATTGATAAATGGGTACCCCACCCACCTTATGAGGACCATGTTTGAGGCGCCTCAGTGCACCCCTTGGAGGGGCACACATCGATGTGTGCCCTTCTTTCCTTCCATGCTCTTCTTTCCTTCCATGCTCTTCTTTCCTTCCATGCAGATGCCAGTGATGGATGGGTACACAGCCACAAGGACCATTCGGGCAGCAGAGAGGGGCACGGGACGCCACACTGTCATCTGTGCACTCACTGCTCATGCCCTCGCCAGGTGAAACGCTCTTCACTGCTCTGCACCGCTTTGCACACTGTCACACGTTCTCTCACCGCCCATGTGTCAGAGGTCCACTGGTGATCCCCGATTGATCCTAGGGAAGGGTTACAGGCATGGCGGCCTGGGGGGTTATGGGCGCACTCACCCGCTACACAAATAAGCCCTTTTATCCCAGTGGTTAGTGGCTGGGATTCTGACATGGTATCAGAGCAAAGGTCTCGGGTTCGAATCCCGGTGTGTGCACTTCGGGCATCCCAGTGCGGGGGGGTGTCAGAGGTCCACTGGTGATCCCCGATTGATCCTAGGGAAGGGTTACAGGCACGTTGGTCTGGGGGGTTATGGGCGCACTCACCCGCTACACAAACAAGCCCTTTTATCCCAATGGTTAGTGGTTGGGATTCTGACACCATGCACTTGCCAGGTGAAGGTGGGAGTGGTATGCGTATCCTGTGTTGCCTTGGCTTCCCATCATGTCGTTTTGCCTCTTCCTTTCTTGCCACCCTCTCTTTGCCCCCGTTGTTTGTCACGTAGTGACGAGGCCAAGTGCAGGCAAGCAGGGATGGATGGGTACCTCACCAAGCCAATCAACATACGGTGCGTATACTCACGGGGAGCCATGCATATGCACAGATAATGCACTCTTGCCTGCATGACGGCTCTCCTGCATGTGTTGATCATCTCAATCCGCTTGACTTACAATGACCACCGCACCATCTGTATGCTCCACTGCTACGCTAACAGTGCACACACTTCCCTGCAATTCTATCCATCTATCCAAGAATTGTACACCTTGCCCGTTGTTCAAGCGCCAAGAAAAGCCAACTCCCTGTGACCCTGACTCTCCATGCCTGTCTCTGCTTCTATCTTGCGCAGGTTGCTGGTGGACACAGTTCAGCGGCTGGTCAGCAGGAACAGCAGGGCAGCAAGGCGGAGCATGAGCAACCTCGGCGTGACTGCCACTGCCAGCGGCACGGCCTCGGCAAATCAAGGCAGCTTCAGCAGCGCTTCCAGTAACAGCCCTTACACCAGCCCTCTAGGGTCAACTGCTAGTACTACCGGCCCTACTACAGGCATACGAACATCGTTCTCCTACACAATGGGGGCAGATAGTAAGGGACATTGAATGTTACTGGTAAGGGGTAGTCCAGCTTTGTGTAGGTAGCAGGTAGTTTATTGTACAGGCTGCAATTGTGCAGTCTATGAGTTGCAGGTGAAAAAGTTGGTGCTTTCAACAGGTGTGGGGATCTGCTGGAGAAAGACAGCACTGCTAAGAGGTAGTAAAACAATACTCTTTAATGTCAGATCAGAAGACAAGGCTACGGTATAATGAGCTATAACAGTTATAATTGACCTCTCCACTTCATTCACCAGGGATTGAAACCCCCTGCTTGAGCCGTTCCCGCTTCAGCTTCCTCTGTGAGACAGGTTTCTTCTTCTTGGGAGGCATGACGCTCTGTGCGTAGAAATACATGGCAGCGTGGCCGACGAGGAAGAGAACGAAGAAGCCCACCACGACCAGGATGACCAGCAGCGTAGGGTTGAAGCCTGAATCAGGTGGCGTTTGACCCTGTGTGAGAGAGGGAAATCAAAGACGACGAATACTTCTAAGGTCATGATCAAGAAGGAAAATGCCATCTAAACACGAAAATCAGGCAATCCGTTAATTTCAAGGCTAATTAACGAGCTATCGGATGTAAAAGTCGTAAAATGGCGGTATCTAGCCTAGCGTAACGCGAGATCCAAGAGCAGAATGACTGGCTAAGAAAAAAAGCACGAGTGCATTACCTCTCCTGGGCCCGCCATGACGAGGTGCTCTCAGCAACGATCCTCCTCAGCGGAGATAACAGGGGAAGAACTGGCAGGCGAGTCACTGTCTTAGAGAGCTAAGTAAAAGGATAAGTAGGATCTGCGAATCTACGCTTGCGAACTAAAATCTAGGGTTGACGGAATGCGTCTGTGCTGGTGGTGACCAGGGTAAACAGGAAGAGGCTCGAAGTTGTTGGGTGGGATGCTGGATTCTAGAAGTGTGGGGCAGGTGTAGAAAGGGATGTGATAATAAACGGGGGAGCTTGTCAGATCGGAAGAACAGTGGCCGTTGGTTCCGTTGGTCGTGTTGGGACCCCCTACAGATCGACGATGTGGAAGGCGGAGGAGCTGATGTCCGTGTTTCAGATTAGAAGTTGGCGCCAAAATATTTGGCGAACTCGGTGATTGGCTTGCCAGTTCATATTTCAGTAACTCGGTAATTTGTAGAAGAGAACTGACACATTTCTCTAAGATTTTTTTTTATCATGAGAAGAACTGACAGTATTGTAACGCGTATTCCCTCACCCACAATTCGGCAACCCCAGTGCCTGCCAACCCAATTTCAATCTATTTGTCAGATTCCCAGTCTTACCTTGTCCTTGCTTTCACTGAAGTCGTATGTAAGGGCTCTAAGTGCATAATAGCCGCTTAGCTCAGTGAATTTGAGAGTGACATGGGTGAATGATTTCTGTTCATTGAGGAGCACGGTCTGTGTTGTCATCATCATCATCATCATCTCATGCTGCAGCCACAATGTCATGGCGCCCGTGCTCTGCTCACGTTCGGTCTTTTCCGAGAAAGCACAGTTCTCGTTCTTGGCTTTTCGGTCAAGAAGTTGACGGCGCGAGGTTTATTTATACCGGACAGTCTTTCTTACTTGCCGGCGCCTGCAGACAGCTTGCACGTGGAGACGGCGATGGGGTAACCAGATGTTCCTGGCGTGTAGTTGTTTTCGCAAGTTCGCTTGAGCGGCGTAAGCGACAGAAAGGTGGTATTGCGAGTGGTAGTAACCAGCTCGGCGAAGACATTAAGGCGCAAAGCGAGCCTGGAAGGTCTAGACGAGCTTCGCGAAAGTATGTGTACATCCGTCGCATCTCTACATTCCCTTGATTGCTGGACAAATTCCAAAATTTTTATCTACTAGAATTCACTCCATCCATGGCACGTCATGATGTCTGGTTTTTTATGTGAGGTTTGTTGGTACCTCAGATGCTTCTTGAGTCGCAGGGAGCATTCCTCCTTAGACGCTTGCGCTCATCCTTTTTCATTCATCCGTTTAATCTCATCCTTTTGTTCTCTCATCGTTTTGCGCTTGTCTGCTCTTCCTTTTCGCTGTTGTGCGCACAGGAATCCGTTGCGAAAGGCTTGGGAAAAGAGCGCACGAGCAGGAGGAAAGGACGGGGAACCGAAACACCAGACTGCTTTGGAAAAGAATCCAGACGAGGAGGGGGAGAGGGAAGCGAAGCACCCAGGCGAGGAGGACAAGCAGGGGGCTAAGAGGGACGAGAAGGAGCGTGCCGAGGGTCAAGACGCACACAGCCAATCCGGGCCGAGGAAGCAACACGAATGGATTTATTCTGTCGGACTTCCCAGCGGTATTTCCTTTTCAACAAGCTAACTAGATACATAGACTTAGAATTTAAAATAGAGGCTAACCATTCCCCCACCCCAGCTGCTCGTCCAGCCCTCTTCCAAGCGTCTGATCATTCATGAAGGAACGCATCTGGTCATTCCTTCTATCGTTTCTTACCCTCCACTATTCAACCATCCCTCCATGCCACTTTCCACCCCTCCTTCCCATGCGCAGTCCCTTCCCCCAGCAGCAGCGATCTCAAACGCCTACCTCCCGCACTGCTGTCCCTTGCTGTGGCCGCCGCTGCTGCTGCATGTGCCGCTGCTCTCCTCCTGCTGCACTCTCGTTTCTCCCAAACAGCAGCAATACGTGCAGGGAGGCGTGTAGAGGAGGAGGAAAGGAAGCGTGCAGAGGGGCAGGCAGGGAGGCGTGCATACGAGGCAGGGGAACGTGCAGAGAAGCGAGCAGACACACAGGAAGGCACATTAATGGAGATGGGGGTGATGGCAGACGATGCTGCACGGGATGAGGGGTTAGCAGGGGGCACGGTAGAGAAAGAGACAGAGGGTTCTGTAGGCAAGGTAACTGACAGGAGGAGGGTGGACGAGAGAGCAGAGGAGGGGAAGGATGGGCAGGAAGTTTGGACGGATGGTGTAAGGGAGCGTGGTGGGGAGAGTGGTGGGGAGGGCGTTGGGGGGGAGGGCGGTGGTGGGGAGAGCAGTTTGGGGGAGAGGGAGAATGACGCTGTGTGTGTCGCTGGAGAGGGGAGCGATGAGCAGTGCACAGAGGGAAGTGCCGAGCAGATGGAGGGAATGGAGGGGAGTGAAAGGAGTGAGCCAGATGGGCAAGAGTGGCTTGTCCCGGCTGTGGCTGGAGGGGCGGAGAGCAGGGAACAGGTGGGGGAACGGCAAGGGGGAGGGGAAAGGAGTGGAGGGGCGGAGGGAGGAGGCGAGAGTGGGGTTTGGAGAGTAGAGGGCAGAGATGCAGATGGGGGGAGTGGGGATGCGAAGGAGAGAGGTGGTGATGATGGGGATGAGAAAGAGGATGACGGGAAGGGTGAGGGGAGGGATAAGAGAGACTTACCAGAAGACTTGGAAGAAGAGGAACGTCTCAAGTTGCTGCAAGGTAACGGAAGAGACATGCGTGTGTCACTTCTGCAAATTTTAAGGGCGAGCGGAGGGAAACGGGAGACCTGCCAGGAGAGTAGAAAGAAGAGGAACGCCTCGAGTTGCTGCAAGGTAACCTAAGGGACATGCTTTTCAGAAATTTCTAAGGGTGAGGGGAGGGAGGGAGACATAGACCTACCAGTGATTGGGAACAAGATGAGTGGCTGAAGTTGCTGCAAGCAAGGTAACAGGAGAGACATGAAGAGAGCAAAATAGCATACTCAGAACTTGTGTAGTCTCCATCATACCTGCTGCCATCCTCCAATTTTTTTGGCGCCGAGAGAATCATCTTCAGATTCCTTCGTCATTACCATTTCGCAACCGTTACCATTACGCAACCGTTACCATTACGCAACCGTTACCATTACGCAACCGTTACCATTACGCAACCATTACCATTCCGCAACCATTACCATAACGAACCTCCGTTACCATTACGCACCTCCATTACCATTACACACCTCCGTTACCATTACGCACCTCCGTTACCGTTACGCACCTCCGTTACCGTTACACACCTCCGTTACCATTACGCACCCCCGTTACTGTTACGCACCTCCCTTACCATTAGGCACCCCCGTGAGCGTTACGCACCCCCGTTACTAGGGATGAGCATATGGCGAAAGCGAACATGTTCGCGTTCGTTTTAGCTCGAACAGGGCTGTTCGGCGAACCGAACACTGTTCGGTTCGCCGAACACTTTTCACCTGAAAGGATGTTCGAAGTTCGCCAAGAGAGGCGAACATTTCGTACGTTTTGGCGAACACGAACACGTTCGCCAAGAACATGTTCGCGTTCGCCTTTGAGGGGTTGGCACTACAATTTTACGTATTGGATAGAGGCTACGGTCTTAGTATTGAACATCGAAGGCACCATAATGCCTAAACGCCATAGTTAACTAAGTTCAGTTTAGGGCCTATGTTACTACTAGAAAGTGAGGGTGAGGTAGGTTGTTGTGGGGTGGGCGGGCTGTTGGGAGCACCATGGTCGACAAGCTAAAAAAAATGAGCCCAAATGGTAAGGGCCGCGACCCTAAATTAGGTCGCGGCACTTTCGTCGACGAACATTTTTGGTGTTCGTCGACGTGCCTGTCGAACACGAACATGTTCGTGTTCGACGCGCCTCGGCACATCGAGGCGCGCGAACAGCGAACATGTTCGCCCGAACGTCGAACATGTTCGGGACGAACATTTTTTGGCAAAAAAAAATCCCGTTCGGTTCGTCTCGAACATGTTCGAGACGAACCGAACGGGTGTTCGCCAATATGCTCATCCCTACCCGTTACCATTACGCACCTTCATTACCATTGCGCACCTCCGTTACCATTACGCACCCCCATTACCATTACACACCTCCATTACCATTACGCACCTCCGTTACCATTACGCACCCCCGTCACCATTACGCACCTCCGTTACCATTACGCGCCTCCATTTTCATTACGCACCTCCGTTACCATTACGCACCTCCATTACCATTACGCACCTCCATTACCATTACGCACCCCCGTTCATTACGCACCCCCGTTCATTACGCACCTCCGTTACCATTACGCACCTCCGTTACCATTACGCACCTCCATTACCATTACGCACCCCCGTTACCATTGCGCACCCCCGCTACCATTACGCACCCCCGTTACCATTACCCACCCCCGTTACCATTACGCACCTCCGTTACCATTACGCACCTCTGTTACCGTCACGCACCTCCGATACCATTGCGCACCCCCGTTACCATTACGCACCTCCGTTACCATTACGCACCCCCGTTACCATTACGCACCCCCGTTACCATTACGCACCTCCGTTACCATTACGCACCTCCGTTACCATTGCACACCTCCGTTACCATTACGCACCTCCGTTACCATTACGCACCTCCATTACCATTACGCACCCCCGTTACCATTACGCACCCCTGTTACCATTACGCACCTTCGTTACCATTACGCACCTCCGTTACCATTGTGCACCTCCGTTACCATTACGCACCTCCGTTACCATTACGCACCCCCGTTACCATTACGCACCCCCGTTACCATTACGCACCCCCGTTACCATTACGCACCCCCGTCACCATTACGCACCTCCGTTACCATAACGCGCCTCCGTTTTCATTACGCACCTCCGTTACCATTACGCACCTCCATTACCATTACGCACCTCCATTACCATTACGCACCCCCGTTCATTACGCACCCCCGTTCATTACGCACCTCCGTTACCATTACGCACCTCCGTTACCATTACGCACCTCCATTACCATTACGCACCCCCGTTACCATTGCGCACCCCCGCTACCATTACGCACCCCCGTTACCATTACCCACCCCCGTTACCATTACGCACCTCCGTTACCATCACGCACCTCTGTTACCGTCACGCACCTCCGATACCATTGCGCACCCCTGTTACCATTACGCACCTCCGTTACCATTGTGCACCTCCGTTACCATTACGCACCTCCGTTACCATTACGCACCCCCGTTACCATTACGCACCCCCGTTACCATTACGCACCCCCGTTACCATTACGCACCCCCATCACCATTACGCACCTCCGTTACCATAACGCGCCTCCGTTTTCATTACGCACCTCCGTTACCATTACGCACCTCCATTACCATTACGCACTTCCATTACCATTACGCACCCCCGTTCATTACGCACCCCCGTTCATTACGCACCTCCGTTACCATTACGCACCTCCGTTACCATTACGCACCTCCATTACCATTACGCACCCCCGTTACCATTGCGCACCTCCGTTACCATTACCCACCCCCGTTACCATTACGCACCTCCGTTACTATTACGCACCTCCGTTACCGTCACGCACCTCCGATACCATTACGCACCCCCGTTACCATTACGCACCTCCGTTATCATTATGCACCTCCGTTACCATTACGCACCCCGGTTACCATTACGCACCCCCATTACCATTACGCACCTCCGTTACCATTACGCATCCCCGTCACCATTGCGCACCCCCGTTACCATTACGCACCTCCGTTACCATTACGCACCTCCGTTACCATTATGCACCCCCGTTACCATTACGCACCTCCGTTACCATTACGCACCCCCGTTACCATTACGCACCCCCGTTACCATTACGCACCCCCGTTACCATTACGCACCCCCGTTCATTACGCACCTCCGTTATTACTACGCACCTCCGTTACCATTACGCACCTCCATTACCATTACGCACCTCCATTACCATTACGCACCTCCATTACCATTACGCACCCCCGTTCATTACGCACCCCCGTTCATTACGCACCCCCGTTCATTACGCACCTCCGTCACCATTACGCACCTCCGTCACCATTGCGCACCCCCGTTACCATTGCGCACCCCCGTTACCATTACCCACCCCCGTTACCATTACGCACCTCCGTTACCATTACGCACCTCCGTTACCGTCACGCACCTCCGATACCATTACGCACCCCCGTTACCATTACGCACCTCCGTTATCATTACGCACCTCCGTTACCATTACGCACCCCCGTCACCATTGCGCACCCCCATTACCATTACGCACCTCCGTTACCATTACGCACCTCCGTTACCATTACGCACCCCCGTTACCATTACGCACCCCCGTTACCATTACGCACCCCCGTTACCATTACGCACCTCCGTTACCATTAAGCACCCCCGTTACCATTATGCACCTCCGTTACCATTACGCACCTCCGTTACCATTGCGCACCCCCGTTACCATTATGCACCTCCGTTACCATTACGCACCTCCGTTACCATTGCGCACCTCCGTTACCATTGCGCACCTCCGTTACCATTGCGCACCTCCGTTACCATTAAGCACCCCCGTTACCATTATGCACCTCCGTTACCATTACGCACCTCCGTTACCATTACGCACCTCCGTTACCATTGCGCACCTCCGTTACCATTACGCACCCCCGTTACAATTACGCACCCCCGTCACCATTACGCACCCTCGTTACTATTACGCACCCCTGTTACCATTACGCACCTTCGTTACCATTACGCACCTCCGTTACCATTATGCACCCCCGTTACCATTACGCACCTCCGTTACCATTACGCACCCCCGTTACCATTACGCACCCCCGTTACCATTACGCACCCCCGTTACCATTACGCACCCCCGTTACCATTAAGCACCCCCGTTACCATTACGCACCTCCGTTACCATTACGCACCTCCGTTACCATTACGCACCTCCGTTACCATTGCGCACCTCCGTTACAATTACGCACCCCCGTTACCATTACGCACCCTCGTTACTATTACGCACCCCCGTTACCATTAGGCAGTCCCGTTACGATCACGCACCTCCGTTACCATTACGCACCTTCATTACCATTACGCACCCCCGTTAACATTACGCACCTTCGTTACCATTACGCACCCCCGTTACCATTACGCACCTCCGTTACCATTACGCACCTCCATTACCATTGCGCACTTCCGTTGCCATTACGCAGCCCCGTTACCATTACGCACCACCGTTACCATTACGCTCCTCCGTTACCATTACGCACCTCCGTTACCATTACGCACCTCCGTTACCATTACGCACCTCCGTTACCATTACGCACCCCCGCTACCATTACGCACCCACGTTACAATTGCGCACCTCCGTTTCGATTACGCACCCCCTTTACCATAATGCACCTCCGTTACCATTACGCACCCCCGTTACCATTACGCACCCCCGTTACCATTACGCACCTCCATTACCATTGCGCACTTCCGTTGCCATTACGCAACCCCGTTACCATTACGCACCCCCGTTACCATTACGCTCCTCCGTTACCATTACGCACCTCTGTTACCATTACGCACCTCCGTTACCATTACGCACCTCCGTTACCATTACGCACCCCCGCTACCATTACGCACCCACGTTACAATTGCGCACCTCCGTTTCGATTACGCACCCCCTTTACCATAATGCACCCTCGTTACCATTACGCACCTCCGTCACCATTACGCACCTCCGTTACCATTACGCACCCCTGTTACCATTGCGCACCCATTGCGCACCCCCTTTACCATTACGCACCTCCATAACCATTACGCACCTCTGTTACCATTACGCACCTCCATTACCATTACGCACCTCCGTTTTCATTTCGCACCTCCGTTACCCGTGCCTTTCCCGTTTCGTATTTGTGGGTGATGTAATCGTGTTAAGCGTTGCTTTCTTCTGGCGCCTTTTGTTTTCCCCTTGTCGCACCCAACTGACTTTCGAGTCGGCGCATAGCCACTATTTTTTTCCCTTGCGTCGCCCAACAGCTCAAGCCATCAGTGATTGGAGCAACCAGATTGTGCTGCAGGTAAGGCAATATTTAAGTTCGCGCTTTTTCTCTCCACCTCTTGCTAAACGAATTTTTATTGCCGTAGTTTTATAACTCTATGTTTTGAATGTTACATGTTTCCTAACTACAGGATCGTATTTTTGAAATGATAATTTTTCGGTTTGTGCTTTTGGATTACGCTTTTTTACTAAAAAGAGGGTTAGCTGGTACAAGTGTTGTTTATACACGTACAACAGCTCAAAGCATTAGCATTTGATGCGTAGTTTGTTAATCATGCGTGTTCTCATGTGCTCATGTGCTCTTGTACGTTTCTAAGTTTCACACTTCCAGTCTCGCTTCTCTCACGCATCACTTCTCCTTTTCCCTTCCTTCCGCCAGGGCTTTAACTGGGAGTCACACGGCCAACCCCAGGGCTGGTGGCAACACCTAGCCTCCCTTGCGCCCGCCATTGCTGCTGCTGGCTTCACGGCTGTCTGGCTGCCCCCTGCCTCATCGTCCCTCGCCCCTCAAGGTAAGCCCCTGAAGGTAAGCCTCACAATAAGCTTCCTCGTTGTCCTGCGTCTCCCTGTCCTTCTCCATTACTCCCTCCATCTCTCTCCTCCCTTCTCTCTGTTTCCTTCTCTCTTCCCCCCTCCCTTTCCTCCTCCAGGCTATTTTCCCAAGGACCTCTACCACCTGTCATCAGCATACGGTTCAGAGGCAGACCTCCTTATCTCCCTTACCCTCTCCTGCTCTCCTCCTCTCTCCCTCTCCCCCCGCACCAGGCTACCTACCCAAGGACCTCTACCATCTGGCATCAGCATATGGCTCAGAGGCAGACCTGCGCGCTCTCATTGCTGCTTTCAGGGACGCCCAGCCCCACACTGCCGCACCCCCAGCTGCTGCTGCTGATCCTTCTACTGCTGCTAATTTCGCTGCAGTTGCTCCTAGTGGTTCTGCTTCTGTCGCTGCTGCTGCTGCGTCACCCGCAACCGCTGCTACAGGTGCTGCAGCGGCCACTGACATTAAGCCCGGCAGTGGATTGGATCAAGCAGCTGAGTGTGTGCCTGGTACCACTACTGATGGCACTAATACCTGCTGTGCTGACACTAATGGTGCTGCCACGGGTGGTGCTGGTAACGCTGGGGGAGTGACTGCAGTGGGAGTGAGGGTGATAGCGGACGTGGTGGTAAACCACCGAGTGGGAAGCCAGCAGGGGGAGGGTGGCCAGTGGACTCGCTTTGATGGCACGTCTATGCCATGGGATGAGACTGCTGTCACATGTGACACTGGCGGCAAGGTGAGGTGTGGTAAGGTGCGGTGGGGTGCGGTGTGGTGGAAGTGGCAGATGTGGTGCATGGAGTTGACTACGGGAGGGCGGGCAGTGGACCCGGTTTGACGGCACGTCCATGCCGTGGGACGAGAGCGCTGTCACCTGTGACACTGGCGACAAGGTGAGGTGCGGTGCAGTGAGGTGCGATGAGTTGGCGTGAGATGGGGCAAAGGGCGAGCTGGCCTGGCACAAGGTGAGATGGGGCAAAGGGCGAGCTGGCCTGGCACAAGGTGAGATGGGGCAAAGGGCGAGCTGGCCTGGCACAAGGTGAGATGGGGCAAAGGGCGAGCTGGCCTGGCACAAGGTGAGATGGGGCAAAGGGCGAGCTGGCCTGGCACAAGGTGAGATGGGGCAAAGGGCGAGCTGGCCTGGCACAAGGTGAGATGGGGCAAAGGGCGAGCTGGCCTGGCACAAGGTGAGATGGGGCAAAGGGCGAGCTGGCCTGGCACAAGGTGAGATGGGGCAAAGGGCGAGCTGGCCTGGCACAAGGTGAGATGGGGCAAAGGGCGAGCTGGCCTGGCACAAGGTGAGATGGGGCAAAGGGCGAGCTGGCCTGGCACAAGGTGAGATGGGGCAAAGGGCGAGCTGGCCTGGCACAAGGTGAGATGGGGCAAAGGGCGAGCTGGCCTGGCACAAGGTGAGATGGGGCAAAGGGCGAGCTGGCCTGGCACAAGGTGAGATGGGTCAAAGTTAGATGGAGGAAGGTAGAGTGGGCTTGACTCAACGTTGTCCTTCTCAACCGCAAGTGATCCAACATCAACCACTTTCAACCGCTTGTGACCATTCCTGATCAACGTCCCCACCTTTTCTCCTTGACAGGGCAACCCCAGCAGTGGAAGCGTGTTTGAGGGGGTATCCAACATCGACCACTCTCAGCAGTTTGTGCGCCGAGATCTCACAGCATGGCTGACGTGGCTGCAGGTGAGACGTGGCTGACGTGGCTCCAGGTGAGATGTGTGGTATGGCTGACGTGGCTCCAGGTGAGCGGAATATGCTACATGGCTGATGTGGTTTCCGTGGCCATATTCCACATAACGCATGCCCCATGCCCCATGCCCCATGCCCCATGCCCCATGCCCCATGCCCCATGCCCCATGCCCCATGCCCCATGCCCCATGCCCCATGCCCCATGCCCCATGCCCCATGCCCTATGCCTCATGCCCCATGCCCCATGCCCCATTTCCCAACCCCATCTCCGATGCCCGCAGACTGATGTGGGCTTTTCGGGGTTCCGCTTTGACTATGCCAAGGGGTATAGCCCGGCCTATGTGTGGGGGTATGTGCAGGGGGCACGCCTGCGCCTGTGTGTGGGCGAGTACTGGGACACCTGTAACTACGTTGGGCCACAATACGACCTTGACTACGACCAGGGTGGGTGAGAGGGTGATGGTGTGAGGGTGGGTGAGAGGGTGATGGTGTGAGGGTGAGCGTGTGAAGTTGAAGTTGTGGGACTGTGGGCCAGTGGTCATGTCTCTGTCATCCTTGTGCCTGAACCCCTCCCCCAGTTGTCACCTCCACCCGGCTCGTGTGCAGCCAGACTCGCACCGAGGGCGCATAGTGGAGTGGATTGAAGGGGCGGGCAGGCTGGCAGCAGCCTTTGACTTCACCACCAAGGCCATTCTGCAGGTCAGTAAGTGAGAAAGTGAGTGAGTGAGTGAGAAAGAGAGTCTGTGCAGCCAGACTTGCTCGGGGTCGCATACTGGAGTGGATTGAAGGTGCGGGCAGGCTGGCAACAGCCTTTGACTTCACCACCAAGGCGGTTCTGCAGGTGAGTGAGTGGAAGTGACTAGGACTTTGGGCATGAGCGAGTGAATGAGTGAGTGAGTTGAGTGAGTGAGTGGGAGAACGAGCGAGAGTATGTTTGTGAAGCGCAGTACCCTTTCCTTGTCTTACAATGTTGTTGCTCACATTGATAAACCATTCTTCCCTTCTCGCTCATTCCACCAGTCTGCCCCTCTCGTGCCCTCACCTCTGACTTTTGAGTCGACTCAAAAGTCACCCCAGCCTTCCCCTCTCGTGCCCTCACCTCACCTCTGCGCCTCGCTTGCTCCTCTGCAGGAGGCAGTGAAAAGGAAGGAATGGTGGCGGCTAAAGGACAAGGAAGGCCGCCCGCCAGGCGTGATGGGCCTGCTGCCCTCGCATGCCGTCACATTTGTCGACAATCATGACACTGGCTCCACTCAGGTGAATGCAACAGATTTACAGGTGAATACGACATGCCTTGGCTTGTAACTTCCTCCTTCCTTCAGTTCTTTCTATGATTTGTACCTTGTGTTGAGGACTGACTTGCCCGCTCTTGAGAGACTTTTGAGACGTCTCAAAAGTTGATTTGTACCTTGTGTTGAGGACTGACTTGCCCGCACTTGAGAGACTTTTGAGATGTCTCAAAAGTTGGATTGTACCTTGCGTTCAGGACTGACTTGCTCGCACTTGTGTGTTTCCCTCTCGCCCTGGGTGTGCCTGGGGCCGTGCCATGCAGGCTCACTGGCCATTCCCCTCTCATGCCGTCATCCAGGCACGCCAAACACCCTCCTCTCACCATGCTCTCATTCTCCTCGCGTTACCTTGCAATGGTTTTTTTGTTGTCCTTGTTCTTCCCAGGCAAACCCATTGCCCAGTTATCGTTGTCGTCATTGTCGGTTCTGCTGCCTTGGCCTTGTGATCGCCATCCTCTTGCACGCTCGCTCCACATGAACATTGCGGCCCACACCCTATCTGGCTGCATTTGAGTCTTCTCACACACCCAGCATTCTCTCATCACAAATTACCCTTGCACCCCATGTCATTCAGGGCTATGCGTACATTCTCACACATCCGGGCATCCCATCGGTGTTTTACGACCATTTCTTCGACTGGGGCTCGGATCTCAAGAACCAAATCCAGCAACTGGTGAGCGAACCTAATGAGGTGGGCCTTTCTAGAGGTTTGAGGGTTACATGCTTGGAGAACTGCCATATTGGATCTCATTATTCCTGGCCTGGTTGTCTTATATTGTGCGCACTTGCGCATGCTTTGCCTTGTGCTATTTGCTGGCAGATTGATGCTCGGCGGAGGGCAGGCATACATAGCCGATCTTCAATTCAAATACTGGCAGCAGATGATAGCAGATATGCCGCCATCATTGGAGGAAATTTGTGTGTGAAAATTGGAGATGGGGAGTGGAGCCCTGACACTAGCGGAGTGGTAGATTCATGTGATGTGGTTGATGATGGAAGGGTGGCGAGAGATAAAACAAGTGGTTCCTTGTTGAGGAAATGGAACTTGACTAGTTGCGGGGAGGGATATGCTGTATGGATCGGGGAATGATTTACTCAATGATATGTAATGTTAATAATATTACAGTGTATACGAAATGTCCAGGTTATCTCTTCTTAGCGCAGCAAGTTGCAGCGAATCGCTTCGCTTCAGCATCCTGTCAAATTCGAGGTGTTTCCCGCCAAAACTTGCTCGTCTGAATTTGGCCTTCAGAGATACGTATCTCTCCGATCAGCTTTTTCCAGCCATACTGATCAGCTTGTTATCGCGATTCGTCCTTAGCTGGAAATTCCTAATGGGCAAGTAGGCCAGTGATAGTTGAACGTTGACCTCGGTCGCGGCACGCGTACGATTCGACTTGATGGGGAGCCAATCCGTGCACACTTTGCGTTGGTTGCACACGTCATTGAAGTGTTCTGATTAATCCGAGTTTGAGTGTTACTCCTAAGTCTGAATTTTAGCGAAGTGTCGTCGTCTATGCCGTGGAAGGTGCTTCTTAGATTCACCGAGTTATCGTGTTAGACGACTCAGTCAATTGACGACCAAGTTGAGGCTGGAACTTGCCTGATCAGCTTCGTTCTCAAGAGATTTAGGCTTAAAATCTGAGGATAATAATCTTTAGGGTGTCCTTGACTGACAAGGACTGGGGTGATAACGAAGCGACTATTAATTGTGTACTGACTCTATTCAAGGGTGTCTCTACCCAGCCATCGCTCATGGCTTCCGAAATTCGTACCATCCGCGTTAGTATCCGTTGCACTCCGGTTACGCGTCGTTATATCGGGATGGCGTGTTCTGTTTTCCTGCTGGCGCTCCTGGCATCGGGAACTCCGCCAGTTGGCGCATTCGAGCATCCCACAGGCGACAGCTACACGTTCAGCGATTTCCACTTGCAACGAGGAGCCTCCAACGGCTATCATCTACAAGGTGTGTTGTCTGGACCCACTGAACCTCTTATTCTTAGTGAGTCGACGCAAAAGCTGGCAGAATTCACGGCGTGGAGGTTTTAGAGCCGGTACCAGCAGGCGATGTGTCTCGTAACAAATTTTCAGCCCGCCTCACACATTCGTCTTCTTTTCCCCACCCTAATTCTATCAGAGCTTCGTCTGGGTGTCAACAGCGTGGAAGTTTCAGAACCAGTAGCAGCGGGGGACGGCGCTGCCTCTGTGTGCATCGCTCGCACGCGCCTCCCCGCTCGGCCGCGCCTGAGGGGCGTGTCTCGCGGATTTCACGTGCTGAGAGTCACGGCCACCATCCCGGCTGCGGGAATGCCACGTGGGGCTTTTTCCAGCGGACCCAAGTTTGAGTTCTGTGTGCACTGGTGAGTGAGTGAGGGTCAGTGGTGGTTTATCTGGAGTGTAGAGAACTCAAGCATTGGCCCACTCACGTGCTGAGAGTCACGGCCGCCATCCCTGCTGGAGGGATGCCACTTGGGGCATTCTCGAGTGCACCCAAGTTTGGGTTCTGGGTGCATTGGTGGGCGCGACGAGCAGTGGACAGGAAAGGGAGGTGGACGGGTGGGTGGGTGGGCGGGTGGGTGGGTGATTGGTGTTAGAATTCCGTTTTCCCTGATAACTGTGTCCTTCCCCTCCCCTGCAACACTCCAGGAATGCCTCGCAACCCCTTGGGGAGTGCCCAAGGGGGGCGTGGCGAGCAGCGGACAGGAAGGGGCGGTGGGTGGTTCTGCGGTCACCTTTCGAGGGCGCGTTCATCGATGTGAAACGAGAGGGCGGGGTCACTGGGGATCACGACGTCAGCATCAAAGTAGATGAAGGTGAGGCGGAGGAGGAGGAAGGAGGGGGAAGGTATTGGAATACAATGCGGGCGGTTTGAAAGGAGAGCGATCATGTTCGTTCTTTTTCTTTCGACTATTTCTGAATGGTCTCATCACCTTTTTTTTGTGACATCCATATGTGTCACCTTGCTTTCGTTTCCTCTTCTGTGTTTGATCAGACCTGGAGCCTCACCGGGCGGTGTTCTTTGTCCTGGGGTTCCTGCTCATGCTGCTGGCGGGTCATCTGAGCTCCATGGTGGCCTTCTATTACGGAGGGGGGATGACGCTGGGCGTGCTGCTGGTGGTCATCGTCATTCTCTATCAGGTGTGTTTTGTGTGGCGTGTGGCACTTGCATGCTGATGTGCGGTGTGTGGCATCTGCTGCTGGCGGGCCATCTGTGCTCCATGGTGCCTTCTATTACGGAGGGGGCATGACCCTCGGTGTGCTGCTCGTGGCGATCGTCATTCTCTACCAGGTGTGTGGCGTGTGAGTGAGTGGGGGTGTATGTAGTGTCTGTCTGTATGCTGATGTACGGTGTCTGTGGTGTGTGTGTGGTCACCATCTGAGCTCTATGGTGGCTTTCTATTGCGGTGGGGGCATGACGCTGGGTGTGCTTCTTGTGGTCATCGTCATTCTCTACCAGGTGTGTATGGAATGACAATGACCGCGAGCATACCATGAAAATCCGTCCGCCCCATCATCCCTGCCACCACCCGCCCCATTACCCATCATCCCTGCCACCACCCGCCCCATTACCCATCATCCTTGTCACCACCCACCCCATTACTCATCCCATCAGGTCATGCGGTTGCTGCCCCTGGGTCGCAAGAGCAGCCTTCAGATCCTCCTCTATGGCTCGCTGGTACGTGCTATGGCATGCATGTAGTGCATGGCATGGGGTGCATGCGTGTGTGATTGCACCCACGGAGCACCTTTCATCTTATCTGGGTATTGTATTGTTGCTTATGGGGCATGTGCACTAGAGGCGTATGGAAGGGGTGGGAGAGCAAGTAGAGAGTGAAACGCAAAAAGGGAGATAAGGAGGGAGATGGAAGTGAGAAAAGAAAGGGGGTTCGAAAGGGAAAAGGAAAGGGTTAGAAAAAGGGAAAGGCAAGGGGAAAAGGAAGAAGGGGGAGACAGCGAAAGAAAAGGTTCCGGAAAAAAAAAAACAAAAAAACAAAAAAAAAAAAAAACAAAAACAAAAAAAACGGTTTTTTATCGAGAAGGAAAACCCTATACTTACACTTTTTTCGCAGCGGCTCAACCCGGCTTCGCACACCATGGCAGAGAAGATGACAGGTGTGCAGGGCTTGCATGTGCTTTAAAGATTGGTATTTCGGGGATTTAAGGTGTTACCATGTACAAAAAACATCTGTTTCGGCTGCGATCACAAAAAGAAGGTGCAGAGGTAACAGTAAGAGGGGTTTGTGATAGAGGGATTGCTGCGAAGGCCTCCGAGTTGCTGTACGTTCTGCAATGTCAACGATTTCTTCTCGTCCACGTGTTTACCATGCATGAAGACGTGAAACACGCGTTTTCTGTTTCTCTTCATCTTCACCCTCCTCTAGTCTTTATTGCTATACTTCTCTACCTCCTCGACCGGAACAAAAAGTGTGTGTTTCACGTCTTCATGCGTGGTAAACACGTGGACGAGAGAAAATCGTTGACGTTGCAGAACGTACAGTAACTCGGAGGCCTTTGCAGCAATTCCTCTATCACGAATCCCTCTTACTGTTATCCCTGCACCTTTTTTTTGTAATCGCAGCAGAAACAGATTTTTTTTATATGGTAACGCCATAAATCCCCGAAATACCAATCTTTGAGTGCACCTACAAGCCCCGCACACCTGACACCTTCTCTGCCATGGTGTGCGAAGTCGGGTTGAGCCGCTGCGAAAAAGTGTAAGTATAGGGCTTTCCTTCTCGATAAAAAACCGGTCTTTCTTTTGGATCCGGAACCTTCTCCTTTTCTGTCTCTCCTTTCTTCCTTCTCCCCTTGCCCTTTCCCTTTTCCTCACCCTTTCCTTTTCCCTTCCGAACCCCTTTTCCTTTCTCACTTCCATCTCCCTCCTTGTCTCCCTTTCTTTGCGTCTCACTCTCTACTTGCTCTCCCACCTCTACTTGGGGTTCATAGGGGTGATCATAGCATACGTCACGGAAGCAGTCAAAACTGCCATGGAGCCTCAATTGATGCCCGGCTCCACACGTCTCCTCCCCACCCCTTCCCACCAGATGGGGTTCATAGGGGTGATCATAACATGCGTCACAGGGGCGGTCAAGACTGTGATGCGTGCAGCCTTCACAGATGCACGCCCTAAAAGCACCTTCGATCCACTTTCGCACTCCTTCTTACCCTCCCTATCAGATGGGGTTCATAGGGGTGATCATAACGTACGTCACAGGGGCGGTCAAGACTGTCATGGAGCCTCTTGGCCTGGGTGATGACGTCATCTCTCCGGTAACCATGCCATCCCTCTTGTGATTACGTCAATTCCCTTGTAATGATGCCACTTCTCCCCTGTGTATTATGTCAGATTCTTGGAATTTCTTTTTATCTCACTGGAAACCATACCCATGCCTTTCCTGATAAGCCATACCGTTTTCGTCGTGATCTATACCATACCATGCCATGCCTTTCTTGTACTTCCCCCAATCCGTTTCACCTTATGCTTTCTGCCATCCCTCTTTACACCATGTGTTTCCATTCCCCAACAATTCTGCAGGTGGTGGTGTTTGTGCTTGTACTGGTGGTGCTTATAGGAGCGGCCCTGGGCTTCTGGGTGGTGCGGAAATTCATCCTCTCGCCCTCAGGGGAGCTCGACCCCCCAACAGTGTCATTTGTTAAGTGGGGCCTCAGAATAATCGCAGCTACACTGCTGATAATGGTACGTTGTGAACCTTGGATAAACGCATTTTGCCCTTCATGGTACATGGCAAGATATGCAATCTACTTGCTGTAGTATCTGTGGGGTTGGGTAAGGGCACCCACTGTCACCTACTGTCACCCACTGTCACCTACTGTCACCCACTGTCACCTACTGTCACCCACTGTCACCTACTGTCACCCACTGTCACCCGCTGTCATCCACTCTCACCCACTCTCACCCACTCTCACCCACTCTCACCCACTCTCACCTACTGTCACCTACTGTCACCTACTGTCACCTACTGTCACCTACTGTCACCTGCTCACCTAACAGTGGCAACGCTGCTATCATCTTATGCAATAGTTTCTGCACCCCTGTGCCTCCTCACACTCGTTCCTCAGTCCCTCGCTCCCTTCTCCAGTCTCTTTCCTAAACCCCACCCTCCTCCCCGCATACCCTTCCCTCCCCATCTCCCTTTCCCTCCTCTGTCCCACACACCCCCACAGAGTTCAGCCGATGCAATCATTGCCACGTCTCTCCTCTTCCTCTCTCTCTCCACCACCCTCCTCCTGCATCTCCTCTCCCCACGCGCCCTCGCCCTCCTCTCCCCCACCTCCACCCCTTCTGGCACCCCCGCCACCTCCTTCCTGGCCCGTGCTTGTGCCCGTAAGAGCGAGCAAGCAGCAGAGCAGGAAGGGGAGATGGGGGGAATGGGGGGTGTGTTCTCTCCCCCCCAGCAATACGGCACTCCCCCTCAGGGACCGATGCAAGGAGTGGGGGGAGGGCAGGGGTATGTGACTCCTTCAAGGGGGGTTGAAGGGTCGCCTTATGCGCGCATGGGAACGCCTTTCCAGGGACCACCAGGTACGGCCTTTTTGCGTCCTGAGGTTCTGTACGTCTTGCTCTCTCTTCACTCTCGCTCCCTCTTCTCACTCTCTTATCCCGATTTTGCTTCCTGGTCCCTCCTTCTCTTGTCCGCACACATGGACGGCCTTACACTCCTCTCCCCTCTCCCACCCCTCCCTCTCACAGGCACACCACGCACTCCTCTCCCCTCCTCCCCACTCGCCCGCACAGTCTGCCCCTCCTCGTTCCACCGCACTCCCCACCGCCGCCACCTCACCCCGGCACAGGCAGCAGCGATCTCCCACGAGTGCACCCACGCTGCCCTGCAGGAGCTGGCTTATTCCCCCGGGTTCGGGCAGTGGGTGCTGCATAACTTTGACCGGATAGCCATCACTCCTAGGATTCTGAGGGAGGAGCGGAGCGAGGGGGAGATTGCTGCTACAGCTGAGATGGAGGAGGGGTTTGAGGAAGAGGAGGGGTGAGGGGAAGCTGACCAGCTGGCTGGTTGAGTGATAAGGAGCTGGGTAGCCAGCTAGTCTGAGGTGAGGAGGTAGCTCCGAGTTATCAGGCTTTCCTGCAATGAGTTTGTGCTGCGTTCACCCCCACCCGCTTGACTTGGGCTGGATTTGGGCAGTGGGTGGGTGCAGTAGAGCGGAGCATTAGCTGGATGGTGTAGGGTAGTAGGTAAGTAGGTACAGTATGTAGGAGTAGATCGATGGTTTTCCCAGTTCTGGATGGATTGACTGGGATAATGCATGGTGAGCCACCGTACAAAGTTTGACGCCAGATTATTGAAGTTGATTAATCAACCCTGTTAGAATTAACACTTACGGTATCCGAATTAGTGTTGCGAGACAAGCATTACTATGCCTTCTGCTTATCTAATGCCAAGCCAGATCATTCATATGCCTGATTACGGCAGCACTGACTTCAGCAGGTGAGAACATCTGAACACTGAATGCTGTAGCAACCCAACCTGCCTTGTCTTGCAACCACAACCATTCAAAATTCCCAATTTCACTTTTATAATCACTGTTGGAACATCCATCATTCATCCTGAAACCTCAACACAGTCAATCCCACCCATCCCCAGCCCTAGGAAAAACCCAAAATCACCCCAACCAATCTCTTCCCTCAACCCATCCCCACCGATCTCCACCCCTCACCCCTTCCCTCCTGCCGCAGCCCCAGCGCTCTCCTGCACCCAAATTCTGACCGTCCGATCTTGATCCAACCCTCCAGAAGCAATCATATTCTCACTAGGGTGGCAAGCCACAGTGAGGACAATATCAGTGTGCCCTGAAAGCTTCTGAACCACTGTACGCGCTTGTAGGTCCCACAGATACACGCTATTGTCCTCTGACCCACTCACTATGTATTTCCCGTTGGTTACCGAAAAGGTTGAGAAGATGCAGTATTTCTTATTCACGTGCCCTGTGTACGTCTTGAGGCACTTGCCTGTCGCATAGTTCCACAGGCGCTGGTGGGAATAAAAAGGAAAGGGTGGGGGGGGAGGGAGAGTGGGGAGAAGGACGAGGGTGGCGAAGAGGGGTTAAGTAGAAAGAGTACTTCGTATTCACGTGCCCAGTTGCAGCACTTGCCCGTTGGATGATTCCATATTCGCTGGAGGATGGGAGGGAGAGAAGGAAAGGGGGGAAGAAGGGCTAAGATGGGGGGAAGAGCGCGAAGAAAGTGGAAGGAGGGAGGTTGCAGAGACAGTGGAGGGGAGAAGTGGGAGGAGTGGGGAGGAGTGGGGAGGAGTGGGGAGGAGGGAGGACGGGGAGTGGGTTACGGAATCGGGTTGAAATGTACGACTAGGAAAGAAAGGGGTGAAGGGAAATGTTGGCGGGAAAGCGGATAAGAGGAAGAGGGAGAGAAAAGGAAGGGGGGGTGAAACGGGGGTGGAAGGATGAGGTTGGTAGAGGCGGGAGGTGGGGGCGTCGGGAATCCTCACCAGAGTATTATCGAGCGTGCCGGCGAGAATGAACTTTCCGTTGGGCGAGAATTTGACAAAAGACACGGGCGGGTTGTCGTCGTCAATTAGGGTTTTCAAGCAGTGCCCCGTCTGCGTGTCCCAGATACGACAAAGCCCGTCGTATGAACTCGACACCACCAGCGACCCGTCGCGGTTGAAATGAACGGCCGTTACAGGGTCCGAATGGGCAGGCAAAACTTTCACGCACTTGCCCGTTTTCACGTCCCACAGCCGGACTGTCTCGTCAAACGCGCCGGAAACTATGAGGTTGGATTGCGGGTTGAAGTTACAGCAAAAGACGTAGTTAGTATGCCCCTTTAGGATCTGCACGCACGGTCGTGTGGTCGGCGCGGCTCCGCTATTAGCATCCCCGCTAGAAGCCGCCTGTCCTCCTGTAACGTCCCATATCCGCAGAGTGTGATCGTCCGATGCGGAGCAAATGTAACGCGAATCGGACGACCATGCGATGTCGCTTATTCCCTCCGCGTGCCCGACGAGCGGCGGGTCTGACGGCCTGCCGTCAGCTGCGTGCCAGATCCTGATGGTTTTGTCGGCCGATGAACTGGCTAACCATTTCCCGTCTGGCGAAAACTTAACGCTCGAAATCGCCTTCTTGTGGCCGTTAAGAGTGTATTTAAGAACGTATGGCACGTAGCCCTTAGGCGGCACTACTTGGACTGCTGCTGGAGCAGCTGTAGCAGCTGCACCGGCTGTGCCAGCGGCTTCTGCGGCGGGTTTTGCGGGAGCAGCTGCAGCGGCAGCCGTTGATCCGGACGGAGGATTCAATGGCTGAGAAGCGGGATTTCCTTGATTTCCGGGAGCTGATGTGTCCATCGGCACAGCCTCGGCTTTCGTCTCTGGTTGCTCCATACGGGCTTTATAATCGAGGGTAACGCGCTGCGACTACAGCACACGCAGGACGGGACTATGGGTGATCGCGCCTCGCCCGATAGCCGAGGAACAACCAAGGAAGAGCCGAGGCGCAAGTTGCGAGCTCGGCAAAACTATACTAATTCTGCACGATGTCTGGGTGTTTTTGTGAGGTGGCACCGAACCCAGACCATAAACCCGCGAAATGTGCTTCACTCGTAGGAAGACCTGGGCATGGCAGGGCTGGGGGATGCATTGAACAATCAGGGCGAAGGGTTTTACGAGGGTCTGACAGGGTATAGCGGGGTTCTAGCAGAGTGGGTCGGCGGCACTGACGTTGTCGGGGCCTTGCGAACGAAATTAGCCTGTTTGAGTAACCTCTTACGTTACACGGAACAAGCTGACTAATCTGGCTAGAATACCTACAATTTTTTTTTGCGTCCTTGTAGTCTGTCTGATAAGACTGCACCATAGCGGATCAGTACAGTCCACGTCACCTGACCTCCTGCTTGCGTCATTTGGGAGCAGTGCATGAAACGCTGCCATTCGTCGCGGTACAGGTAAGTCGAAGGCACCACGAGACTCACTTTGCTAAGCAACACGAAATTGCGCTGCAAGGGTGGTGGAGGGCTGGCCGCAGGTGGCGTCAGACAGACTCGATGGGCGCTTCGACAACCAGCCGCATCCCAAGCCAAGCCGAGCGAGCGGCCTTCGCGGTCCACCTGAACTTCCCCCACGGAAAATTTTTTGTCCGCGGCTGCGCATTATTGCACCCACAGTCTCCCCCAACCTCAATTATTTGCGCGGTTGCGGAAATTCTCTGACCCAAACGCACAACCAGCGCACCGAAACGCCTCGATCGGAACCGTCCATTCCCGCGAAACGCGCCGAAACGCGTCTCTCGTGTCTATCCATCCGCCGCTCCTCCCCTGCACAGTGCACATCCGCCTCGGCTCCCTTGTCCCTTCCCCCTGTCTCCCTCCACCGCTGAATTTTCTTCCCAAACCAGACCGAAACTAGCAAGCTCCCTGTTCTTCACGCAATCCAAAACCCCACTTCTCCTCTTTCTCTCATTCCTCTCCATTGTTCTACACGTTTGCTAGGCGTCATTTGCGTGTTGGAGTGGATTCCTTCCTCTTGCTTTCCTTTGCTTGCCAGACACACGTCACATCCAATAATTGACCCAACTTGAGTCACGAAGACTGCTTCCTGAGAGTCGCTCACTTGATAGCACAAGAAGCAACATACATACCACTGCCTGTTTGAATTTACTATACTTGCCTCTCTAGACTTCGACGGAGCTGTATATTTCTTCTAGACACCTCCTTCTTAAAAACCTTTTCTACTTTTCCCCGCCTTGAAAAACGCTGACATCGTTTCCTTGGTCTTTCCCACGTCTTTTCCCCATAGTCAAATTCTCGATCCGCACTCCTGAATCCGAGCCAGAGGTTTGTTACGATGGGCTTATCAGCCAGTCCCTACGCCACTGAGCTTCACGCCGCCGTTCTTTCCGGTCGAATCCTCGCCGTCCGTAAATTCATCGATCGCGGTGCGCGCGTAACGGCGCGTGACAAGATCGATCGCACCCCTCTTCACTGGGCGGTCGCCGTGGGCCTCGAAGACATTGCGAAGATCCTCCTCATAAGCACTCCTCCGCGCTCGTTAAAAGCCGGTGATAAGTATGGCCGAACTGTTCTCCACTACGCCGCAGCGTCGGGAAATGTTTCTCTTGCCCGCGTGATGATCAACCGCGGCGCGTCGGTGAACGCGGAAGATCAACGGCTGGTAACGCCGCTCCATCTGGCGGCGGAGCAGGTGAATCCGGGGATGGTGCAGCTGCTGCTGGGCCACGGCGCGCTGTGCGGGGCGGCGGACGCGGAAGGGCGGAGTCCGCGGGATTACGCGGAGCGGGTGGGCAGCGCGCACTGCGCGCGTCTGTTGCGCGAGGCGGAGGCACGGACGGTGGATCGGTCGGCTGCGACGGCTATGGCGGCGGTATCGACGAGCGCGCATCCCCGTGTACACCCCGTGAAGGTCGCAGATCAGTCGAAGGGGAATGGTACAGGGGTCCTATGGGAGGGTGAGGCACGTGCGTCGTTAGCATCACACGCGGAATCGCCTGTTGCAGAGCTGCCCGCCGGTTCCGATGCTCCCTCGCAGCTTAGGATTCCGTTGGCGAACGTGGCGAACGTGGCGAACGTCGTGGAGGCAGATACGGCGGCAAAGGGCAGCATACCGGCAGCAGACCCGCTGAAAGCCACTGAGGCCAGTTTCCACGATTCTGTGCCGCCGTGTCCTGAGAGGCTGGGTGGAGGGGATGTGCGATTTAGCAGGAGCGGTTTAGGAGGCGTGAGGTGCGGGGAGAAGCCGAGCTCGGGTTGGGATGAAGGCTGGGGTGTGTTGGGACTGCTCGGAGCATTTTGAGGTTGTTCAGATGACGATGGTGGGCTGTGCTGTATGGTGGGGATAACAGATTTAGCTGGTGCGGGGTCGCTGTTGTTCCTGGTTCTTTCTTCACTCACTTCACCATTCTCAAGCTCTGTTGTGGGGTTTGCAGTGAAGGGAACGCAATAAGTGTCTGGCTGGACACATGCCTGTTGGAGCCACTGAAGTGTGTTGCGCCTTCTGCGGGTGCATCGTTAGTGCAGACCTCTCCAGCAGTCGTTTGTGGAAACTTGTACATACAAACTTTTGCATATGCTCACCAGAGCTCATGTCGGTGGAAGCACATAATTAAATCTTCGGTGCCATGCCTGAATACCAAGTGCCTGGATACCATACGGTAAGTGCCGTGGAGCATGCACTGTTGGAGAGTTACTGGTACTAGATGAGAGCAAGACTTAGACACACAGCTTGTCTTCATAACACATGTTACATGTACACAAAACATTGGGCTGAAGGCAAGAATTGAATGCAGTCACAACCATGAGCAATTAATCTGAATCACCCGGTGCTTGGTACTTTTCTACATTGGCAGGATGGGCACACAAGGGAACCTGCCACAGGAGCAAAGAGAGGTACAGCGAAAGAAGAGTCACAAAAGAGAGAAAAGTAACAGCCTGACCGAGTATGCCATCATGCACATGCATGTGAATGTACATGTGGCGCATGTATATGTAGCTTACCAGATGAAGCAGGTTCAGATGGTGGAGCAAAGATGATATCTCCATCCCGAATTGTATCCATGTCAGTGATTTCCCCACCGTCCTTATTCACAAGGATTCGCACAGAGAATCCAAACAGGGTGCTCAGCTGCTCTTTCAGTGTGGCCATAAAGCGAGGTAGCAAAACCACCTTCCCATATGGTCGTCCCATGGATGGATTCTCGTCTCCAGCCCTTCCCTGAGCACCTCTTTCCATCCCAGGTTCAGGCAATGCAGAATCCCCTGATGAATGTATTGCCGGATCAGGTGAACATTCAGGTGGTTTGCCACAAGCTCCCCTGTGCAGTACAGCATCCCCACGAGAATCCCCAGGTGGTTTGCCAGCTTGGCCAGTGCCCCATGGGTGGCATGGGAAGACTGTCACTCGACGGTTAACCACAGCCGCAGATGGGGTGGGAGGCGGAGGCAAGGCCCTGAACGATCCAGAGAACGACCCTGCAGGGATGTAGTTGCGATGAGGGTAGGGAGTGATCGGCTCTCCCACTCCCACCAGGGGCCCTGACAGGGGCTGGCTGGTTGCATAGGGAGTCGAGGGTTCTGGCGTGGGTGGTATCAGTTGGGTGCGAACCTCGTCTAGTGATGAGTGCGGTGCTGTGGAGGAGCGGCTGAAGCTTCTGTCTGGAGGGTTGATGGTGATGGGTGTGGGCCGCTGCTGTGCACGGGGAGCAGAGGCTACACCAGGGACAGGTGGAGCAGGGGGGAGAGCAGCAGAAGAAGGGCGTGGTGCGGTGTGCACGGTGTGTTCGGCGTGCACAGCGTGTGCATTATGTGCTGTGTGTGGATGTGGAGCAGGAGGGACGGCATCAGAGGCAGAGGGGTATGGTTCAGAGAGTGGGAAGGTCGCTGAGGATGAGCGTGGCTGTAACGCAGAGCCGCCATCACACGAGGGCGGCGGGGTCAAAGAATGAGCACCATGGAGATTCGGATGAAGCGAATGTGCGAGGGGCGATGCAGGTGGGGTGGAGAGTGGCTGGTTCGAAGCCGTCTGGTGTTCTGAGAGGTACTCATCGATGACCGGGCCAGGGAGGAGGTCGACCAGGAGATCACTGGGGATGTGCACGGAGCTGGTGGGGCGGCGGCGCAGGTGCATGACGCGCTGCTGGAGGAGGGGGTCGGAGGGCAGGCAGGTGGAGGGGGATGCGGCTCCTGAGCTGCTGCCGTCAGGGACGGATTCGATCTGGTCGGACCAGGTGTCGACGCTGTGGGAGCGCCGCCTGCTGGCCAGGGAGTGGCTGGCAGTGTTGCTGGTGGCAGTGCCAGTGTTGCTTGTGCCAGTGGTGGTAGTGGCACTGTTGGTAGTGGTGGCGGGGGCCCCCGCATTGGAAGATGAGGGCAGGTGGTGGGTGTGGCGGCGGCGCTGTGAGCCTCCTCGAGTGATGGTTCGTCCAGCTGGAGTGGGGAACAGAGTAGAGCAGATCAATGAATTGAACGGCATGCAACGAGAGGCAAGCAGACACCAAGATGGTTGAATTTCAAACTAAACAATGAGCCAAAAGGATGCTCGACACCCCACATAAAGCTAAAGCCCTCTCAGCTCTGGGCTCTTTGAAAAGAATACCTGGTGGTCGGCTTGCCAGCGGTGGAAGCTTCACCCGCATGCCATCCTTGAGCAGTGCAATCACCGGCCTCGCCCCATTCCGGCACGCCTCATCGACTGGCAGGTTACCCAACCGGTCCCGTGCCCATGCATCTGCCCCATGCTCCAGCAGCAGGCGCACGAGAACAACGGACCCCTCTGCTGCTGCCACGTGCAGGGGCGTGCGCAGATCATGGTCCGCTTCGTTGGGGTCCAGGCCGAAGGACAGCAGGCGCTCGAGGTACTCCACCATACCGCGCTTCACCGCATGGCACAGCTCGCTTGCGGGGTCGTCCAGGAGAACCTCGGCGCCATGCTCCCGAAGCACCTCGGCTGTCTGCATGTGGCCTGCTCGAAGGGCCTCCAGGAGAGGCGTCACGCCAAACCGGTCTGAGGGGATTAGGGGAGGGAGGGAGGACACTGATGAGGCCATGTGCTAACTAAACCCTTGGGAGCTGCAATAGGAGCACCTTGGCTGTCGCCCATGCACAGTCATGGTCTGGTGCTAATTCCTCTTCCCCTTCTTCTCATCCAACATGGTGCTCACCTTTCCTGTTGGCAGCACCTCCTTCCCTCAGAATGAAACTGCAGATGTCCGGAAAGCCCCTGGAAGCTGCCAGGTGCAGTGCAGTCCGGCCGTCAAAGTCCCCTTTGGAAAAATCCGCTCCCAGCTTTCTCAACATCTTGAGGTGGTCAAGGTCCCCCCGTGCTGCTTGTTGTATGGCGCTCAGAGTCTGCTGTGCCTGCCGCTGTGACACGGCTCGGCGCACTTCCTCTGCCGTGTCTGTGAGGCGACGAGCCCTGGGCTGACCAAAGTCTAGCGGTTCAGATTCCAATTGCCCAAATTTCTGTAATGACCAGAAGGGTATGGGGTGGGGAAGGGAGGGGGAGGGCGGTTGGGGGTTGGAGAAGGGAAGGTACAGGAAGGGTGGAATGTAGTGCGGCCTACTACAACATGCTCCTGGGAACCATAACACCATATGACCAGATTCATTGCCCTGAACCGATTCCTTGGATCAATGCCATGCCATGACCATATCAACCAATGCATACACTCTTGTCATAATGTTCAAGAAAAATCTCAGAATCAATTTCTGGTAACTTACCTGCAAGTAATTGCTGATGATCCTCTCTCCATCTTCCTGATGAAACGCAATGGCCTCTGAAAAGACTTGGCCATCGATCCTCAGCACCTTGCAGAAAGACTTGACGTGCGCAGTGAAGGGGGAGAACTTGCTGGCGAGCAACCCTGCCTCCCCAAACATTTCCCCTGAACTCCACACCGTGGCCACTCGAGCTCCATTCCTACTAAAATGAACTTCTTCCTACATGTTGCCCAGGAAAAAAACGGAAAGAGATGTGAAAGCGGAGAGGCGTGAAGAAGAGAAAGAGGTGGAGGGGCAATTCAACAGCGTAGCGTACAGATGTTAAATCTGGTGATACACTCTCGGGTGGAACAAGGGTAGGGCAAACGGCAAGTGCGTCTATCTCACCACTTCTCCTTGCACGAGCAGATAGAGCTGATGGTTGTTGTCATGCCGACTCACCACCACCTCCCCGGGAAGAAAATACTCCACTCGCAGTCGTGAAACCTGCAATAAGCAGCAAAAGAAGAAAAAAAAGAGTTGGCCGTGGAATGCAATGAGATTCTGCAATGGAATGGAAAATTATTCAACACATATTTGAGCAGCGCAGCCTCGTTTCAGAAAATGAAAGAACTGGAAAGTGTGGCAACTTAAGACAAGTGCCACAATGTTGTGAACGCAGTGGTAAGAAAAAGGTTGTAGGTAAAATGGAAAAATCCTGCCTAGAGGAGTACGGCCTACCAGGAATTGAATGAACGCCTTTGAGCAGCCTCGGAACAAATACGCATCTGCAAGCACCTTCCCATGCAGGGACATTGCAACCCCATCACGGATGGAGATGGGAAACTCGTTGACCAGCTTGTTGTCCTCCTCCAACGCCTCTTGCTTCAGCACAACGTGGGATAGCAGCTGCTCCTTCATTCCAGCAGGAATCTGCTTTCTGATGGCGGCATACAAGAAAGGAGGAAACATCAGACTTATGGCACTAGCAGAATCCAACAACACTGCAAGAATGTTGAAATCCTAACGTTGGAAAAAAAATCCTCAACCGTAACAGGCACAACTGATGGCGACAGAGTGTGTAGTGCAGCACCTGTTGGCATATCTGGTAACGTTTGAAAGCCGTTCACGCAAAATCTCCGATCTTGACTGGTATCTGACAACCAACGCTGTGAAGTTGGCGATAAGGTATGCCGTGAACAACATGTCCCAGACCACAAAGGCAATGGTGAAAATCATCTCGCGGGGATTGACAGGATGAACATCGCCATAACCTGAAAATGGAAGCATTGTTAAGGGTATCACTCCACAAAATACGATAAAAATTACATAAGAATTCCGGTGGCACAAGAAAACGCTCCCGGACTCACCAAGACTCGCCATTGTCACCATAGCCCAATAGAGGCTCACACAATACAGCTGGAAAATGTTCATTTCTCGAAAGTCAGCGTAACTCTGGTCTCCAAGCTTAAGGCTTCCAATCCATGTGTATCCTGATTGATCTTCAGGCATGGTGAGAGCCAGAAAGTACATAATGCACGCAGCACTGTGGACCACATAAAATTCCGTGAGAAACATCTCCGTGCAGCGAACCAGGAAGTAGTGGTACCGGGTGTCCTTCCCCAGCCTGCACACAAAGAAGAACATTCTATGAGTAATCATTGTGCATTGTTTTTAACATTGTAGGAATGAAGGTTTGGTGATCTTGCCTGTCAGCAAATTCTTTCAAGTGTCGAGCGCGAATCAGTCGAAGCCACAAAAGAATCTCAAACACGAGGTGTCCAGATGCCTGAAAAGAACGAGCGAAGAAGCCTCAGCTCAGTTGCATTCTCAAGTGATCACCCAAGAGGTGCTCATGATCCCAGAAGTCTGCGACACCTGTAAAACAAACAGAAAAGAATATTACCTGGTACACGTATTCCCATGGAACGCATGAGAGGAAGTCAAGAGTGAACCAGGCCTGCAGGTACCTGCGAGATTTCTGCATCAGTGGTTAGGGGATTGGATTGAAAATAAGTTGCTATGGCAGAAACTAACGCACCTTATTGCAATCCTCCTTCGGTCAGCAATCAGAGTGCCTGTCCGATGATCCTTAACGGCTACTCTAAAAGTGATGAAAATGTCCGCCAGAAATGTGATATTTGACACAACGTCCATGATTAGTAAGCCCAAAGGAGGGAATCTTAGTCGGAAAAAAGCGAACTCAAATGGGGTGATAAGAGAGGAGTATAGTGCCATGACGATGACGATTAGTCTCCAGTACCAATGGAACCTGCCAGGCAAGACCAAATGCGTCATCAATTGGCTCTGAAGAAGTAATGAAAAAAGCCTTATTGTCTTGACCACACTCTACCTGTTGCCTGGCAATATCAGTTGTCCGGGATAGACATAGTCCCGAAATATTTCAAGCCAGTGAGTTTTCCGGCTAGGCCGCGGCCTATGTCGTTCCTCGTGCAGCTTGGCTTCTAGAGCAGCTTCTTTGACAACCTTTGCAAGCCGCGAAGCCAACGATGCTGACATGGTGTTCAAGTTCTCTGGGACGGAAACCTCAAAGTCAGAGTTCCCCAGCATGTTGCCTTCCCCGTTAGTAATTTCAGATACTCTGCTTAGAAGCTCCTCTTGTGAAGATCGATGCCTAGCTCCTGGCCAGCCCATATTTTTCCGGTAAGCTGATTTTGATATGCTACAAAACTACAAGGTCTGAAATGATTATCAGACGGAGTGCATATAAAACGTTGCTGATACTAATCGCTCATCCTGGTGCTTGATCGGCTTGCCCAGCAAATAATCGGACGTTACGTGCAAGACAATGAATACTCACGCCTGACAAGGATAAGCCTCCAGAAACCATGACTCACATAAGCAACAGCATCTACAACGAAGCTAAGCTACTAGATTGCAAGCAGGAACCCGTGGGAACAACCCCTACACACTAGGTATCGTAGGGCGAACGAAGCACATCAAACTCATGGGAGCTGGAATAGAAAGGTATCAACGGTGGTCTGCTGGGGGGTGGATCTCCGCTTATCAGAAGCGTCTCCCTGCTCCCTCGCACAACAGAGAGAGTCCAGAGAGGCAATGGACGGTTTGGTGTGCTGCGATGTACTGCTATGGATACTATCTGGTGAAAGTCAGCATCATAAGGGAACGTTTCAGTTCAGAACGCGCTACGCTTTTGGGCAAGCAATACAGTAACTCTAATAGGTGTAGGTTGGATTCGAATGCGCGGACCATCTGATAACTCCCGTACAGTACACTAGTTGGTTGGAACTTGGAAGGCCCTTGACCATCCTGATTGGCTGGGATGAGGAAAGCGTGACTGCAGAATGATTCCTCGATGTCGTCTACTGCGCAGGAAAACATACGGTAAGCTCCTACTTACGGTATCCTTACAAAAGAGATTTTGCTGTGTAAACACTGAATACCCACAACAATATTGCCACAGGTACAAGAACCTGTTGAGCTCCTAAGGGATCTGAAGCTGCACCAGTAACCTCATGCACTTGACTTCGGTCCATTATAAACGCACAACATATGAATTGGCATGAGTAACATACCGCACCCAGCGGTATGGATTGTACGCCTTGCCCTTATTCAACACCTGCAAATACCTGACCTGGAGCCTAGATGCGTTGTACATGGGGACATTGAACGACAGGCTAATCGGACCAGTCTCTTTCTTCATGTTCCCCGAACCCCGCTCCTGATTCAGGGTCATCTTGGCCCGGCATGTATGCTCATTCCCACCACCAGGCATCTTCTTTATAGTCCACTCCAGAGTCTTGGACGCATCCTTGAAATCCGTTGACTGTCCCACAGCTCCAGGGTCTAAATCACAGCTCACTTTAATCACACTCTTGGGCAGCGGCACACGGACGACAATGGAGTTGGCGGTTGCTGTGGCGGGAAACTCTGCCTTTAACTTTATGAACAGCTCTACCTTGAAAGGAGTAATCTCCTCCAGAACTGGATACACCCGGAACGGAGGCTTGAACTCGTGTGTCATGCGGTAATTGATGACTGAGAACTCCCCGTCTGGTGGCACGAGAGTCATTGTCCGGTCCACATCAAAGGTATCCAACCGTACGCTCTCATGAAAGTTGCAGTCATCCAGAACAACAATTCCAAAGCCTCCGCTCCCATCTTCCCCCATCCCGCCTCCCCCTCCATACAGCAACGACGGTGGAGCGTTCCTCTGGCCTATAACGAGGTCCTCGTTAAGAGCTATCCTAACTTCAGGATTCGCGGTCAGATAACTCTTCATCTGTATGGTTCCGTCAATCTCACACGTCAGGATGTATCCGTTGGGGCTAAAAGTCACGCTCAGCCGTTCGATCACATCAACGAACACCTCCTCCCGCTTCTTCACGCCTGTATCAGGAGCCACCACGGATCTCATCATAGCCGCTCCTGGGACACGATTCCGACCGCCAGTCATGAACAGCGAAGCAGCGGCTCCTCCAAGCGCAGGAGGAACGATTATTCCACTTCCAGGAACCCCTCCCGGAAGAGGCGACGAGTCCATGATCGGTACAGATTCGTTAAAAACGAACGCTTTAAGCGCTTCGGTGGACATGCTCTGCGGATATCCGAAGTCCATCATTTCGTCGAGCAGCTCATAAACAAGGACGAAGTTCTTCCGAAGGGACTCCTCGTTAAGAATACCGAGGTAGTCCTTGGCAACGCGAGCGATTCGCTGCAGGAGCTCCAGGACGAAAGACGGAGAAACATTTCCGCGGGCCGTAGCGACGAATAGCAGGCCCGAGCACTTGATGTAGAGGTAATTCACTCCATCCAGATTGAAGATCGGGGGAGCCTCTTCCGCTGCCTCATGGTCGCCTTTCCAGAACCTAAATTTCCGGAAGAAGATCTCGGGGCTCGTTTTCGGCACATCGCAGCGGTAATCGCGAAAGATTATGGAGTCGCCGCGAGGAGAGAGGATGAAGAACTGCGAGATCATGCCTAGGTGCGTCACAAGCTGCCGGCCGTTCTTCGAACAACCGCCTTAAACTAAAAGCGAGAAATTTCAGAGCAGTCTTGTCGGAGCCTAATCGGAAAAAACACAGAGCTACTTACGCTAATGAACAACTAACCACCAGATTGACCAGCAAGAATACCAGCCAACCTAGAGCAGATGCCCTGGCGGACCAGATCTGGTGGGAGGAGTGAGGAAATCAAGCTGCAAAAGAAGCAGAAGAAGAAGGGAAGGCAGCTTTACATTGACCCTTTGTGGAATGAATCGATATTCTTGTATTGGCCGTTGGGCACCCCAAACGGTTACTGAAATGCTTATTAGGAAGTGGCAAAACAACGGCCACCTTTCTACGCAAGAACGTACGAAGTGTTATGATGGGCGAAGTGAATTTACAGATGATAGCTTTCAGATGACAGCTTTCGTGCTAGAAACCCCTAATCCTGATGGCTACAACTGAGCATGATTTGTCATTGTATCAGAGTTTGTATTCATTCTTCTAAACGAAGAGCCCAATAGTGAGGTTAAGTCTCCCTGTTCCATCAGGGTAAATTGGAATCTGGAATGGCACTAGTATTTGGTGACGATTTCATTTCACTGCTGCATGCAAGCCCTGTCACAGCATCTCCTCATGCCGTTGATTCCTCCTCTTGATATACCTCAATGGCCATTGCTATGGCTTCTCTAGGGGTCTCCTTGTCTAGAGGACTTAATATTCTGTTGCTTCCAAGGGCGGGGAATTACATGAGTTGCATCAAAGCGAACGGTTTGCACCGTTCGAGCAGCAAAGCGCATGGTCGAAGGGGTATTGTCGCAAGTGCTTGCGAGGGTCGGAGCATGAGTGATGGTAGGGAACAAGAAGAAGAGAATGGAGTTGAATTGCTTGGTAGTGGGAGTCGATCAAAGGTAGACTCGGCTGCAGCGAGAAGAGAGCCAGACATTTTAGCGAATGTGTCAGCAGATGCACCAAGAGATAGGGCAGGAGATACGTCAGTGGTTATCTCACCAGTTTCGCCACCAGTTACTTCAGCACATTCGTTAGGCGATGCGTCAGGAGGTGCATCGGCATCGAAAGGGAAGGCAAAGGGCAGCGCAGTTGATGAGACCGCACTGGTCGTACCAAGTTTTGTGGAGGTTAAATGCTGTCGCGAAGAAGCTCGTAACGAAGCAACGACGCAGCAAGACGACAAAGATGAACGTGAAAGACGGACGGCAACTTCAAGCCAGCACCATAATGGTACGACTTCGATATTTGACCTTTCTGTCACCTCGAGTCTCGTGTCTTGTTCTTTGCAGTTTCGCGTCTCTCCTTCGCATCTGACCAAGTACATACAGACTTGTGTTTCATTCGCTCCTTCTAGCCCCGCATTTGTATCGCTTCCTTTTTTCCAAACTTACCCTTTGCTTTCTGGGTCGACTCAAACATCATCTGGTTCGACCTGAAACTCGTCTTATCTCTTTCAAGTCGCCTAGTCTACTCTCACCCTGTTCAGTGTTTAGGAGTCTTGTTTTTGTACTCTGAGCGGTCACTTATGATGTTACTCAACCCGTCCTCCATATACTGTACAATGACTCTGGCTCTCCAGGTTTCACCATCCGAGTGGTCTCGTACAACGTTCTCGCCCAGCCATGTGTGTACCAACCAACAGCAGCCCGTCTTCGCCTGTGAATTTTCTCCTGTGCCTTTCTCTCTCATGAATTCCCTTCTACTGCATCCCTTGAATGTGTAGTATTGTCGGCATTGCTTACGGCTAAACCAGCTTCGCGAATATAGTTTCCGAAATCCGCTGCTTTTATGTTATTCTTGATTTTTTTTACCTTGTTCCTCTCCCTGGACCCACCCTTCGCCTACACATTCTTGCAGCTGTCTCACGCAAGAAGTTTCCCTCCTCTCCTCCCCTCTCTCTCAGGTAAAACTTTTCTCCCCTAAAATTTAGGTAGACGTCTCCTCTCATCTCCTATCTCTCTCACATACACCTCTCGTCCCCTCTCTCTGAGGTTCACCTTTCCATTCCTTTCTCACAGTTACAATTTCTCCCCCTCTCTCAGGTACACCTCTCCTCCCCTCAATTTCAGGTATACTCCTCCTCTCATCTCCCATCTCTCTCAGGTACACCTCTCCTCCCCTCTCTCTCAGGTGCACCCCGTAGTTTTGGTGCGGATTAAAATTATTACACCCTACTTCCCGTTGTGGCATGTAATTCCAGTCGTTTCCATGTTTCCGCGAGAAACCATGTTTCCATGTTTTTCGCCAACCGTCCCACTTCCACGGCCAGAACGAGTAGCTGCTCCTTAATCCCTTCCTGTCCACTCTTCGTCTTCTTCTTCCTGTCACTCATCTGTCGCCCAGCCTTCACCTTATTTCTTCTCGCACCCTCCTCCCTGCCATCAGAAAGAGTTACCGCATCCATGCGCGCCTTTCCCTCCTCAACTCATTCTCTGCTGATTTCATCTGCGTTCAGGTGAGCCCGACATATTCATTTTTGTGTTACGATCAGCTTTTGAAGCGCCATGCACTTAACGGCTCACCTCTTCCTTTTTTCTTCTCTTCCCATCCAACGCATTCCCAGGAGATGGAGTACAAGCATTTACTTCACACGCCCATGGCTCTGGAGGGATGGCATGTGGTATATGCCAAGCGGCCAGGGCCGCATGCTGATGGTAGCGGCATCTTCTACCGCACTGAAAGGTACATGCGTGCATGCATGCATGTGCTCGTAGTTTGGTGTGCGCATGTGCATGCTGGCGTGGCGTTTCCATGTGCCTTGGCTGATGTGCCAGATAGTGCCTCCGTTGACTCCATCCAGTTGTCACCTCGCCAACCACGTGGAAATTTCACCTACACGCCTAGCGCCTCTGGCTTGTGCCCTTCGCAATCGTCCCCCCTCCATGGCGTTTCAGATTCCGAGTTTTGCGTTCGCGTGTGATCAACTTTAACAACCTTGTTCCTCAAGATGACAGAACGGACGGTACGGATGGGGCGGATGGGGAGCATCATGAGCAGCAGGCGAAGCGTCAGCTCGAGAGCCCTCGCATGGAGCATCATCATGGTTCGGGCCACCACATTCATGTGCTGGATGACCATCACATGTGCAACCAGAAGAGCAATCCTGGACATCAAGAAGACTTCAGTCATGAAGACCACTCTGCAGACCAGCAGCAGCAGCAGCAGCAGCAGCAGGAGGAGGAGGGGCAGCAGCAAGGGCAGGAGCATCATGACAATCATCACCATCATCACCATCATGGCCAGCAGCACCAGCAGCACCAGCAGCACCAGCAGCATCACCAGCATCACCAGCCTCCTGACATGTCGGATCCCCAGATTCGCTTCAAGCGTGACTGCATTGCTGTTGTTGCTGCCTTTCAAGAGATCGATCCACCAGGCTCCTCCAACTCCTCTGAAACGGCTGGGGGTTCTTCTACACAGGGCGCACCTGGTGGAGGTCGCATTGTCATTGTGGTCTCGTCCCACATATACTGGTACATACAATGCAGTGCCTGTCTCCCTCCTCTTCCCCACCTCCATCCTCCCACCTCCCTCTCCCACACACTATACCCCGATGCATGTTTCTGGCAGTTTTTCCTGTGCTGTTTTCCAAGTGGGGCAGTGAGCGATGTTTGATGTGATGGCATTTAGACGGGGCATCAACCATCGAGCACCCATCCACCTGTTTGCACCCTGCCTGTGTATGCATCAAAATACTCTAGCTTTCAACTTGGGCCATCCCACTGTATTCGTGTCATCCCGCTGTGGCCGTGCCATCTCTTTGTGTTCTTTGTGACCTTTGCAGGAACCCCAACTGTCCTGATGTGAAATTGGCACAGGCCCAGTACCTGCTGCAGGAAGTGGCGCGATTCAGATCAGATTTAGAAGCTCTTTATAATCACCATTACCACGGGCCATCGCAGCGAAGTGCTGACTTTCAGTTAAGAGGAGGCGGATCTCACATGGATGGTTCGTGCGTGGAGGGGAAGGAGATGAATCATTTTCCGGTGGTCATTTGTGGTGACTTCAACTCGCAGCCTGGAGACCCGGTAAGACTTTTCCTGTAGTTTGCTCAGGGCAGTCGAAAACGTAAACCCCAACCCACCTTCTTTTCTTCCAGGGGTGGCCTTTTCTTTCTTGATCCAAGAATTCCCATGAGGCGCCCAGCCCAACATCACCCCAGCTACCCAACTATGTCATCCCGCACTTCAGGTGTATACATATCTTGTTTCTGGCGGCACAAGCAATGAGGGGTACCAAGAAGATTGCGCTAGTGGCGAGGGCTATGCGGGTGGTTGCTCAGCAGCCAATCCTACGCCCATTCCACTTGCAAGTCTCAATGCGTTGGCGTCCAAAGAGAGGTCCATGTGCCATGCTGCACATGCTTCACCGACTGATTGGGAGGACTTGCCGCAGAACCTCGAGCCCGCGTTTACGAGCTTCACTGCGGAGTTCAAGGCAACCGTAGACTACATTTTTGTATCTAGGGATTCCGGAGGTTTTTCTGTGCACTCCACTCTATGGATTCCTAATGATTCTGATGCTCACTTGGCTGGGGGTTTGCCAAACCTCTTTTTCCCTAGCGACCATTTACCTATCGGAGGGGATGTTGTATTTGTTACTTGATCACTCGTTCAGAGTGTTACTGGTACTCTCGTGTAGTTGACTGAAGCAATTTATCGTAACGAAGATGAGCGAACGACATCAATGACGGCCGAGTCTTCGCCAGTCATCGCTGTACCCCACGCTATCATCAGCCCAACAATCTTTTCTACAAGAAGATTTCGGAACCTGCCCATACGTGGGGCAGAAAGAGATGGTGGTTGCTTGATGCGTGCTTGAGAAATTTGACCTCCCCGTGCCCCCCTTTTGAAGCACATGCAATGGCGAATCTGCATCATTTGGGCAGGGTTGTTGGGCCATAGAAGGTTCGGAGGGGACCTTGGTCTTGACGGCTGCTTTACCATATTACACCGAACCAAACCACTCGGGATAGTCAGACTGAAACCGACAGATACCCGCCATATGCATCAGAGGAGTTCAAGAACACCCCTAGAGCGGAAGCTTGTGAGACCAGGAGCTGCAGTATCTAGGTCTGCTTTCAGTCAGCCTCCGCACTTCCACGCCTTATCTTGTAGAACGGCTGATCCTGTACTACGCCTTATCCTGTACTACGGCTGATGTCCTTATCTAGAGTTACGGTTCGTAGCTGCTGGCTCAGTATAGTTTTCTAAGTTGTTCGTTCCATATGGCGTCGCACGTGCATTTTCCTGGTTTAGGTTAAACATCACCACTGTTCCTTTGTGCGTCGACTGGGTTAACTTATCTCGCATCGTCTTCAGAGCCTATTAAGTATGCGAAAAGTACTCGTAGCATCCCGTTTTCAGCTGACAAAAGAACTACTGACGGCTTGATCACCATGCTCTTTTGAAAAAGGTTCTCAACTGACACTATTTCCGTCATCTTTAACGACCGTAGACGCTTCCTGGCCGTGTTTCTCAGGGTGTAGGAACACTTGAATTATATTCGTAGGAATACCAAAATATTCGAGAGCTTTTCAGAAGCAATGGACGACGAGCCGATCATTCCGATGTCTGACCCGGTGGCGCTTCTGTCCCACATCGAGGTCCCTAATCAGGTAAATTACTTTATTCCTTAACTTTCGACATTTCGTCGTTTTATGTTGCGTAGAGTTGTATATTTCAGGTACCAGCTCTCGGAAAAGTTGTGCTCGTTAAGTCTGACTATTCTTCGTCGACTTCTACCGCGCGCCTTTGGTTCAGGTTCGGTCCGTTATCATGGGGGGTCCTGGAAACAGCAACAACTCGTACTACGCGTATTTGGAGGCCATAGATCGGCTGCACGGTGCAGTGCGGTTTATAGAGGAGGAGCTAAGAAACGGCCGGTACCTCATTGCTAAGGCGATGGAGAATGTTAAGCAAGACTTCAGCAAGCTGCTAACCAACAGCAGGTAGCTTCACCACCTGATTATAATTGCATTTCGCAGGACGAAGTCGTCCTGTAGCGCAGGAAACGTGCATCAATAGCACTCGGAGGTGGTTATAACTACTTCAAAGGCGTTAATTTGCGACACCAGGACTCACACAGAAAGTCGACTATTTTCCGGGTGAAAGCTTTTAATAAGCTAGAACGATTCAAGGTATCCTGTTGTTGGACCAATGAAACTGATATCTTCTATTTTCTATGTTGTCTCATTTTGGTCTGCCATTTCGCTTGGTTACTCTCCTCGACTCTTGTAACCCGCGTACTCCCGTGTGTTTCTCCAGTTTGTTTCCAAACCTAGACGAGTTGAGGGAGGCGATGCTATCTGAGGAATCACCTGACCATATATCACCGCCGGAGATGGTGGAGGCTGCAGCCATTCCGAAACTACATGCCATGGCCCAGCGGTTGATCGATAATGACTGCGCGCCAGACTGTTGCAAAATGTACCGGTGAGTAAGCAGTGGGTTGAAGAAAATGGTTCGTTTGTTTCTCCGCGCAGGTCTGCACGGGTTTTGGGAGGTTTATACCCGCACATGACTACTTCGAAACACCTTAGAAAGTCTATCGTCATTACACAGTTTCCGGCCAACGTACCTGCACGTCACTATTTCTCGCCGTCCTATCATACAGTCTTCAGCCAACTTACACCAGCTGTGTATGCAGCAGGTATCAACCAGCAGCACCTTATTCTCTCGCCTACGTTTTCGTTTGATTGACCCGCTCCCCGTCGTCCGCTTTCGCCCGCCTTCTTCCTCCAGCGCGATGCGGGAGGCGGCGTTGAAGCGCAGCTTTCACCGTGCAGCAAAGTGATCTAGAGAATTCTCATTTTCCTCCCCTTCCCCTCCCACTCCCTCTCCTCCACCCCCCCACCCCCTCCCAACCCATTTTCTGCCTTCCCGTCTCCCCCTCCGCGCTTCTTCCGCCAACGGAGCAGCGAGATGCGGGAGGCGGCGCTGAAGCGCAACTTTCAGCGGCTGGGCGTGCAGCAGGTGACGAAGGCGGAAATCCAGAGCACCCCGTGGCCGCGGCTGGAGGAGAAGATGCGGCGCTGGAGCGAACACATGCACATCGGGGTATGTACACCATGGACACATACACATGGGGGTATGTGGGGAGGGTAGGCACATGCACATCGGGGTATGTGGGAGGGTGGACGCATGCACATCGAGTTGTGTGGGAGGGTGGACGCATGCACATCGAGTTGTGTGGGAGGGTGGACGCATGCACATCGAGGCATGTGGTAGGGTGGACACATGCAGATCGGGGTATGCAGTGTGGACACATGCACATGGGGTATGTGAGAGGGTGAACACATGCACATCGGGGTATGTGGGATTGTGGGCACATGCACATAGGGGTATGTGGAGCATGAACACATGCACATAGGGGTATGTGGAGCATGAACACATGCACATAGGGGTACGTGGAGCATGAACACATGCACATAGGGGTACGTGGAGCATGAACACATGCACATAGGGGTATGTGGAGTGTGGACACATGCACATCAGGGTGGGTGAATGTTGTGCCAGCACGTGCGCACTGAGGCACATGCATTGGCGGGGTGGTGACAAAACGCACATGCATGCGCATCTCACCCTCTCTCCTAGTCCACGACTAGGTGTTTAAGGTTACGTCAAAAGTCGTCCATCCCTTTGGTCTCTCTTGGTCTCCCTTGGAATCCCTTGCCCCCCTTGCTTCTCTTTGGGCCCCCTCGGTCCTTGTCCCACTTCACTCCCTTGCTCCCCCATGTGCGGATATGAATCTACTGAGAAGTATGCGTGTGGCCGTGTGCTAGACAGGCACCACTTATCCCTTGTCTCGCTCCCAATTTCATGGCATTTTCCTTCAGATGATTCTGGTGGCGGGGGAGAGGGAGGCGTGCGACCAGGTGTTTGCGGGACTGGAGAAGCACGGAGAGCAGTGCTTTGTAGATCTCTCACGCTCGTGCATCATCCTGCTCACGCACTTTGGCGACGCCATCTCAGTCATCAAGAAGTCTCCCGAGCGCCTCTTCTCCTTCCTCGACATGTACGAGACAACACTCGACCTCAAGTCCACGGTACGTCTCAAGTCAACGCTAGTCAACGCGCTCCTGCATCATCCTGCTCACACACTTTAGTGATGCCAACTCCGTCATCAGGAAAAGCCCCTTGAGCGCCTCCTTTCTCGTCATGTACCTGACAGCGCTCGACCTCAAGTCCACGGTACGTGCTGGCTTGAGTAAACGCTAGTCAACGCTAGTAAATGCTAGTCAATGGTACATGATCAATTCAATGATAGCCAACAACCATGTTCTCCTCTTTTCCCCCCCACTCCTCCCCTCTTCCCCCTTCCCGTCCCCTCCTCTGTGACTACAGGTGGATGAGCTGTATCGAGCAGAGGAGGGCCGGGCAGTGCGGGAAAATTACCAGGAGCTGCTGACAATTTTGGGGCGGGCAGCCCGAGACACGTTTGAAAAGTTTGAGGACGCGGTGAAGGCACAGCCGACAGCAGAGGATATGAGCGGCATGGGCGGCATGGGGGGCATGGCCAGCATGGGTCAGCCTGGAAACGTTCCCCGTGCAGAAATGCTTCGAAACGGAGGCTTCCTCAACAAGCTAAAAAAGTAGGTGCCAATTTCTTCTTTTCTTTTCTCTCGAAAAAAAAAAGAACTTCCGAGCAGCAGATGCTCAACAGATGCTGATTCCTCCCCCCACACTCATCTTCCCCTTAATTCGTTTTTGATGCTGCTAAATAATGCTGCTGAAGGCGGATGAGTGAGGTGGGCAGGCAGCAGGACGTGGCAGCATAATGCGGCTCTCTCATCCCCCTTCTCTCTCATCCCCCTTCTCTCTCATCCCCCTTCTCTCTCATCCCCCTTCTCTCTCATCCCCCTTCTCTCTCATCCCCCTTCTCTCTCATCCCCCTTCTCTCTCATCCCCCTTCTCTCTCATCCCCCTTCTCTCTCATCCCCCTTCTCTCTCATCCCCCTTCTCTCTCATCCCCCTTCTCTCTCATCCCCCTTCTCTCTCATCCCCCTTCTCTCTCATCCCCCTTCTCTCTCATCCCCCTTCTCTCTCATCCCCCTTCTCTCTCATCCCCCTTCTCTCTCATCCCCCCTCCTTCTCCTACTCACTTCATTATCCCGCTTTCTCCCTCCCCAGGATGATGCTGAAGGCGGACGACAATATGGGCGAGGTGGGCGTGCAGCAGGACGTGGCAGCACCATGCATCTCCCATCCCCCCTTCTCTTTCCTCCTCATTCCCTCCTCCTAGGATGATGCTGAAAGCAGACGACAACATGAGCGAGGTGGGCGGGCAGCAGGACGTGGCCGCATCCAACGCCAGTGGGGACGTGCACCCCATCACCAGCTATGTTGTCAACTACCTGCTTCTGCTCTGCAACAGGTGGGATGGGTGCAAAGAGGTGGAGTGGGGTGGGGATGGTGGTAGTAGGTGGTTCAGTTCACTTCACAGGGGGGCGTGCATCCCATCACCAGCTATGTTGTCAACTACCTGCTGCTCCTCTGCAACAGGTGTGTGTGGGGAGCATATTGGTGAAGAGGAGGTGGTTTCTCTCTCCCTCCCCTACTAGCACCATGCGCCCCATCATCAGCTACGTCGTCAGCCTTCTGGCACTGCTCTGCAACAGTTCACCTGTCGGAGTCTGCTCTGCGCAGAAACGATTGTTGCGGATTTTGGTGTATGAAAAACTCCCTGGAGTGCGTGTTTGAGGTCATGGCCAACACCGCCAATGAACACATGGTGCAAGGAGCCCAACTGGCATTCCCCCCGCTCACCCCGCTCCCCCTCTTCTCCTCCCCCCCCCCCCCCCCCCCCCCCCTCCCCTCCAGTGACCTGCCGTACTTCTCCATCCTGGAGTGCGTGTTTGAGGACATGGCCAACACTGCCAACGAGGCCGGCTCCTCCATCATCACGCCGCGCGTGCAGGGCCGCCTCGCCTTTGCTGCTGCTCGCATCCTGGAGGCCCTCAAAGTCAACCTGCAGCACCGCGCGCTCATGCTGAGGGATGACGCGCTGGGAGAGCTGTTTCTGATGAACAACCTGGCCTACGTGCTCACCAAAATAGACGCGTGAGTGCCTAGGCTTCTGTGACTGCTGGAGTTCCAGTTGGAATCCTAGAGGCGATCTTTGCTATTTGCTGCAGCGCGCATCCTGGAGGCGCTCAAAGTCAACCTGCAGCACCGCACACTCATGCTGAGGGATGACGCGCTGGGAGAGCTCTTTCTCATGAACAATTTGGCGTACGTGCTCACGAAGATAGATGCGTAAGTATTGCATCGCCTTTGCTGCTGCGCGCATCCTGGAAGCGCTCAAAGTGAATCTGCATTACCGCGTGCTCATGCTGAGGGATGATGCGTTGCGGGAGCTGTTTCTTTTGAACAACCTCGCATATGTGCTCACCAAGATAGACGCATGAGTGCCTTGGCTTTTGTAGTTGCTGGAGTCCCAGTTTGCATCCTAAAGCACGCTCTTCTGTGCGCTGCTGCGCGCATCCTCGAGGCGCTTATAGTCAACCTGCAGCACCGCGCGCTCATGCTGAGGGATGATGCGTTGGGAGAGCTCTTTCTCATGAACAACCTGGCTTACGTGCTCACCAAAATAGACGTGTGAGTATCGAGAAGCATGCATACTACAGGCATGTTCTCGAGGAGTCTTAGAGGCGTTTGAAGCACCATTCTGCACCACCGTCCCCAGTATTCTCACACTCATTGTTTTCTCATGAGCATCTCTTTCCCCACTCACTGTATCCCTTCTCCCCCCCTCCCGCGGCCCTCCCCACGTGCCATTTCCCCTTCCCCCATCACCTCCTCTCCCCGTCTGTCGCACAGTGCGGATGCAGGCAGGTTGCTGGGGACGGCATGGATTGGCAACTACGGGGCCATAGTGGACAGCCATCGCGACCGATTCATCAACTCATCCCTCGCCAAGGTGAGCGTTGCTTGCTATGCAGAGCCTCTCAGGCTAGTATGGGCCTTGCTGGATATAGTGTGCCCTGTCCGCAGAAGTATTCTCCCCTCCCCCCCTTCCCCCCTCCCACCCCGCCCACCCCCCTTATGTTTTCTATCCATATTTCAACAGCCTTATCTTAGCTGTTCCCACTCGTGCACCATGATCACTTAACTGCCTCCCTAACCGCCGCATCTCCCCAACCCCAAGAACAGTTTGACCCGTTGTGTTTTGAGTCGACTCAAGGCACACCTCATGCACCATCATCGCTAACTGTCCCCCTAACCCCCGCTCGTGTCTCCCCATGAGCAGTTTGACCCGGTGTGGTCAGATGATCGCCTGGACACTGCCTCTCTTGTGAAAAGGTGTGTCTTGTCACGCGTTGCTGCCATTTGAACTGTGCGGCAATATTGGCCGTGCCGAGCCTGTTTTCAAACAGGCTCCTTGTGGGAAATCTCACTCGGTTGTTGTGTCCCTTCCATTCATTCTCATAGCAAGTGTCCCCCTTTTTTTTTCACTCACCAACAATTGCCTCCTTTCTTCACACTCAACGGTTACTGATCCTCTCCTTCCTGGCTGTCTGCTCTCCCGTCCTCCCATCCCCTTTACAGGCTGAAGCTCTTTAACTACACAGTGGAGCAGATGAAGCAACGCTACATGGCGTGGACCATTCCTAACCGGGAGTTGCGGGCGCACGTCAAGAAGATGACTCTTAAGCGGCTGCTCGACAAATATAGAGACTTCATTGTTCGTCACAGGTGGGTGTTGTTCACTATTAGTTGTTAGTTATCAGACAGTTGTACAGGCAGAATGTGATTGCTCTCGAGAACAATGCCAATGCCCCGCTACAGGAACGTGGTTCAAAGCCATCGGACTCTGGATGTGAGAGTGTTTTCACGCAAACAGATCGTACTGACAGTGTTTCTAGGTCCTCCAACGTATTGCCACATTCCTTCCCCCCCCCAAACCCCCACTTCTCCCCCACTTTTCCTTTCGCTGCAGGAACGTGATTCAAAGCCATCGGACCCTGGATGTGAGAGTCTTCACATGCGAAGAGATCGAGCAAATGCTGCTGCCGTGCTTCGATACCGGGCCTTCTAGAGTCAAATAAAAACAAGACAGCTGTGGCAGGTTACGACACACCAGGGTTCAAGTAGGCAAAGCGTAGCTTGCTATAAATAGTTTGCGAGTTCACTGCCCAGCACTGATTATCTGGTGATTGGTAGGCTTTCAGAAACACCTAGTTGCAGCAACAGCCTGTGGTCAGATGGGAAGGAGTGGTAGGACTTGCCGTGTCAACCGTCAGCATTTCCACATGCTGGTAACGAATGGTACCGTGGTCACCTGTATGAGGTTTTGGGCATTACCCCTAGATCACTTGGATGGTTTCAGTGGGTACTAAGAGTGAGCTGAGATGTTCTGATCTCGCTTTTTTCCAGGTAATTTCACGACTAAATGACAATCTAAGCTTTCATAACTCATGCTACGACACTACTACTTGAGTCTACACTACATTGTGACGGCATGCCAGAGTGCTTACAGTGAAGCAACCTTGAGGCTGTCGTTTAGCTTCCAAGTAAACACTCTGTTCTCCATCGGCTCTTCCCAACTGCCCACTGGAAGATTGCCCAAGTGCCTTACACCCAACCAGTGCAAGGGTCGCGAGACGCGACCGTTTGCACGCAGCAGGGCAGGCAGAGACAACCACTGGGCGCACACAAGCAGAAGCTGAAGCACCTTGAGGTGCACGTGTGTTGAAGCACTTCCACACCATCGATCGAGGCATTATTAGCAGTGGCCCACGATCTTGACTGGAGGCAGGTCAAATGCCTCGGCTGCTACAGACGCCACAGATGCCACATGTGTGATGCTACAGATGCTACATATGCTTCACGCATGCTGCTACAGAAGCCAAGTACCCTGCTGCCACAGGGACTGCCCCTCCTCTTCATCGCACTGTTACAAAGAAACTCGCTGTTCACTCCCACCTCCGAGCCTTGCTGACTGTGAGTTCTCAGAGGCACCCCTTCCCAGGAAGAACCAGTAGCCTTTCAACAGTTGTGTCACCTCTTCACACCTCCCTTAACCTTTCCAGCAGCTCCGAATCCTGACTGTCACTAAGAAGAACAGACAGCTGCCCCGAACCACCACCATCCATCAGGCACCTCTTCACACCTCTCTTAACCTTTCCAGCAATTCTGTATCCTGGTTATCACTCAGAAGAACAGACAGTGGGCCCGAACCACCACCATCCATCAAGCACGACGAGGAAGCTGCCAAACCATCCGCCACCGCCCCTACCGAGCCTCCGCCGCCAAAGCTACTAACCAGCGCCGGGTCGCGGAATCCTCCCGAACCTGCTCCCTCCATCGCAGAGTAATCCAACAACCCCTGATGGGGCATTAGCTCCTGCCCCTCCTTTACCCCCGAATCTTCAGAGAAAGAAGTGATTCCGCCCAGAGACGCGCTTCCCCCAGACATGCCCCCAGCCACCCCTTCAAACCCACCCACGCCCCCAGGTAACGCTCCCCCCAGGCTTCCCCCAATGCCCTTCCCCCCACAGCCTTCCATCTCCGCCTGCATACTAGACGCCTCGTTATAGCTATAATTCTGCAGCAACTGCTCGTTTTCATCCGTCAAAAGCGAGTACAGCCCGTCCCAGTCCTCCCCCTCACTGTCCTCCCCATCCTCCACAGCGGATCTTAAAGCCACCTTCCTCCTCATCTCCTCAAACACGGACCGCTCCACACACGCCTGCTTGTCCCCCACCAGCCAGAGGGACCGCTGCGGGAAGAAGATTTCCCGGGCGGCGCGGAAGCGCGAGAGCGAAGGGCAGTCGGATAGGACAAGAAGCTCCACTGGGTCGCCGCGGCGCAGGCACACACTCTTAATAGGAGGCACCACGTCCATCTGCATTGCAAAAAAGGGGGGAGAGAGGGAGGGAGGGAGGGAGAGGGGGGCGCAGAGAAGGGTGCATATGAGCGAGTGGAGACAGAGCAAACACAAGCTCAACACGCCACTCTCAAAGTCTCTAAGCTGCAATGCTTACAAATAAGGTCTACTAAGCAGCTGGCCTTGATATTAAGGTTGATTACTTAAGAGCTACTAAGCAGCTGCAACTGACCTCCAGGGTGGTGCGGCTGTGATCGCCAATCAGCACGCGCCATCTGGTCTGCCGCCCCACGCGCACCACCTGCAAGTCCAGCAGCCGAGCCTTCCACAAACCTGACAGCAGCAGCGAGAGATAACAGAAAAGTGGGAACGAGACTGAGTGGATGGAGTGAGGGAATGGAAGTAGCGGTAAACGTAAAAAGAAACAGAAAGGAGGAAAAGAGGGGCCTTTCGCAATTCCACCCTCCCATTCCCCCTCCTACCCCTCCTTTCCCCCCATCACCGCACCCTCTCCCTCGTCCCCCCCCCCCCCCCCCCCCCTCCCTCCCCCCAACTTCGCACTCACCAGCATGTCTGTACCGAACCCGCATAGCTAGATTCTTCGCCACAGCGCGCCAAATCGGCCACCACGCCCAGTAGAACGCGGCAGTCACGGCGGCAACCACGCTCACACTGTACAGCGCCACGGCCAGACCCATCGACATCACGAACCGCCTCACCCACGCCGCCGGGCCGCCCAGCATCTGCAGCACCTGCGGCCCGGACCCCGCCAGCGGCACCAGCAGCGCCAGCGCGCCGTCCGCCAGCGCGTGCACGGCCGGCAGGCGCCGCGGCCGGCCGGCAGGGCGGGCGGCAGGGTGGTGTTCTTGCGGACGAGCGGGGGAGAGGGCGGGAGGACCCTTTCGCTCGGGCAAAGGGGCGAAATGAGGGGCTTGGCGGGCGGGGGACGGGGGAAGCGTGGGCGTGGGGGAGGTGGGGCGCGCGGGGAGGGATTGCGGCGCAACAAGATCGGGGCTGCGAAGGTGCGCGGGGGGAGCGGAGGGTGCGGAAGAGGCGGAGCGGGTTCGGGAAGCGGAACGGGAATACGCGGGGAGTCTGCGTGCGGGAGGCTTGGCGGTGGCGGGGATCGGGTTACCAGCAGCAGGCTTAGCGCCAATAGCCGACAATATAGAGTCATTAAGTGATTGCTTAAAAGCAGCTGTGGACGATAACGGGGCTGCTTGTACCGAGGACATTGCGGGCGGCGCAGATCCGGTCGCGCGCGGCGCAGATGCGGCTGCAGACAGGGCAGGTTCGGCTGCGGGCGGCGCAGACGCGGTCTTCAGGAATGGGGCGAACGCGGGGGCGGCGACGCGGCGCCTCAGGCGCGCGGACGACGCGGGAGCGCCAAACCCGCCCCCGGGCGTGGAGAACGACGCGCAAAACCCTTCGCGCACGTGAAACAGCGGCAGGGTCACTGCGCCAGGGTTTAGCAATGGCCGAGCTGTGCCCTTACCACGGAACATTTCCGGCGGCGCGCGTGCTGACGTGGCCCGCGCTGACGTGGCAGAGGCCGACGAAGGAAGATGCTCGGAAATTCCCAAGGGTTTACGTAAGTGCACAGCAGAGTCGGAATGTCTTGGAAAAACAGAAAACGTTGGCAGAGCTGACGGAGTCGGCAAACCGCTTAGCGAACCGGCTAGCGAACCGGCCAGCAGACCAGTATGTGTACCGTTAGTCAAGATGGACGCGCTCGGAACACCACGTGGCAAGCCCTCCTCGGCAAAATCTGGGAACCGCTGCCGTGCCGACACGGCACCACCGCCGCCACCGCCGCCGCCGCCGTGACCGTCGTCATCGAAGCGATCCACCAACAGCGCGGCGGGGCCCATCGTGCCGCTCTCCGCCATCGCCTCCGCGAGCTCCGCGCCGGCCGCCGTCATTACTTCTGTCGCATCTACCGTTTTCTCATCCAGTCCCGAGACTACAGCACCGCTTCGGCCGTGAAAACCGGAAGCCGATTCAGCTGCGACGCTTCCGCTAGATTCGCTGCTTCCACTCGTTCCGCAAGTTCCGCTGCTTCTGCGCCCTAGGGTGGCGGTCACTCCGCGGGCAAAGGTAGGGGAATCGCCGTCGTCCCAATCCCCGTCCCGACTTTCCGCTTCCAATATGGCCTCAAATTCCCCGAATCGCCCGCCTGATGCTGACGTGGAAACGGAGCGGGAAAAGCTACTCCTCCGCCTTCCCGGAGTCATCGCTTCGTTCGCGAATACTAATCTTTCGCCATAGAACTCAGAATGAATGCCAGGAGAAGTTGCCGACGGGCTCGGCGTGAGTGACGCTGGTCGAGAGCCTGCATCAGTGGACCATCGCCGGCCTTTGTACTTGAAGCTCGAGCCTGAATGGAAACTGTACGAGCGGGTGAAAGTCGCTTCGCCAATTTCGCGAGCTTCGCGAGCCTTTTCGCGGCCGGAGAAGCCGAAAGGAGTCCGCGGGGAGACGAGGGAGGAGGGCGAGGACGGAACGGAAGCGGGAGCGGGGGAGTGATGCGAGTGATACGGGCACGAGAGGCTGCTGTGAGCGTAGGAGCACGCGCAGAGGTTTCCCGGCGACGCCATGGTTACGGTTCGGGAGCGACTGCGGTATGGGAACTCCGAGAGGCCGCTGCAGGTTCGGCTAAGGCAAGCTGAAGGTGGGTGATTTACCGCATGCTTGGCTGATCGCGTAGTCGAGTCGATTTTAAGTAGGCCTTCGATCTTCATATACTTGCTAACGAGCACTCAGAAAAAGAGAGAACTAAACAGAAACGGATAGAGAGAGCTGCCGCCTAATGTGTCTTAGTTGGCGACAGGAAAGAGACGTCGTCTAGTCGAAGGGAAAGTGTTAGCGCTTTTGTGAAGAAATGGAGGATTCAGGTTTGTGGGGCTGGGCCCTACCCTCGTTCTTGTACGCGAAGGATTTGTGAAGAGTTGGAAACTCAAGCGCTGACGGCGGACCTAGAAACTAGCAGCAAGCGTAGGGAATCGCCTTGCCTAGAAGCTGCTGGAGTCCAGAAAGCAGACTCCAAGGAAAAAGTAGCTCCCGAATCCCCAGACGTGACATGTCGCACACAGGGGATTAGTTCACTAATAAAATCGCATACACGCGGAAACCATGCACTGTACGTTGCGACGGTTCAAGTTGGGTGTGCGACTGCAGTGCAGAGGACACAGTGAAGGTTTCTCAGGGGCAGGTTTGGTG